ACCACCTAAACAAAATAACCTTGAAGTGTGTCTTCAGTAAAGATTGGTTTCAAAGCAGAGCACAAGTCATGTGTCAGCAGAAAATATTTTAGGTAGAAACGTTTTTGTTGTTTTGTTAATGCAAATTTAATTTTATTGGTCGTTTGACACAAATTTATATTTTATTTTCCATGTTTTAAACATCCTGATGAGCTCCGTTGGACACAAAGGCATTGCCCTGGTTTTTGGGCTGACTTTGATGTCTATAGATCTATAACTTATAGAGTGAAGTATTTTTTTTTATTCTGATGAAAGTTCAGTTCAGTCCTGCTGCAGTCAGAATGACTGTGAGAGTGCTATTCTAGTCATTTGTAATTACCTCCTGGCTGTAGCGTTGTTTAAAGCTGGATCTGCAGCAGAAACTGAACTCTCCATCCACTTTCACTGCAGCTCCAGGCTGAACGGTGTCATTTTGGGGTTCACCTGTAGTCGTGCACCTGGAATGAATGACCTGCAGCAGCTCAGTGCGACTGTTATTTCATGTGTGATTAGAGCTAAAGTGTGTGTGTGTGTGTGCGCGCTCGTGTGTGTGTGTGTGCACGCTCGTGTGTGTGTGTGTGTGTGTGTGTGTGTGTGTGTGTGTGTGCGTGCGTGTGTTTGAGCTTTAACGTCTCCAGCAGGTACAGGTCTTTCAGGTGGAAGTCACTCAGATTGTGTTGATTTCTCCTTGATAAATCAAAAAACAGTTTTCACAGCTGACAGCAGATTTAGCACTTGAGCCTTGCCTGGCTGGAGGGCTTTTACCCACAATGCACCTGTGTGTCAGTGGAGGTGAGTGTTTTTAACTGACTCTATGGAAAGGTCAGTGATAAAACTTTACCGGTTTCTTGATGATTACTTGTTTAACTTATTTTCTAAGTATGAAGGATTAAAGAATCCATTTTAACATGATTGGTAAAAAGAATTGAGGAGTTTGTTTTAGTTTATTTCAGAATCAATAGTTCACAACAGAAGTCATCTAAAAGCTTGAAGTAACACGTCCGGATTTAGGCTGATTACCGGCAGTAAAGTCAGTTCAATTGTAATGAAATTAGATTCCCTGGACTATAAACTCCTGATTACTCAGGTTGCCCCGCAGATTTCATTGAGCCTGTTACCTGCTAAGACGTGTTACCCACCTGCCTGGACATTCCACAAATCCTGATTCTCCCTGGTCTCTGTGCTAAAGTCCACCTCGGGTAATAAATGACCTGGTGTGTAAGTTGTCTTCCTGTGTGATACCACTGGCTGCTCCGGCGTGACTCCTCAGCGGTGCCTAGATAAGTGGCGTTTGCACAGGGCCAATCTCCATTTTCCTCTGCCCGTCAGCCCAGCCCCACTCTACAGTTGCTCTGCAGGTGTGTTGGGTTGCACGTAGAGGTAAGAGCTTTCCCAGATGGGACCATTCAGCACATGCTGGTCTCACCTGGCCAAAGAAACACCACAGCTGGTGTCTAGGTTGGGCTGACTCGGTTTACCCAAAGGACAATTTCCCAATTGCCCTGTGGTGGATTGTGTTTAAGTGAAGATTTCATGCAGTCTGTTGGTTGGGAAAGACTGCGCTGATTGGCCTTTTGCTGCTGAACAAATGAAATAATCCTGTATTTGTCAGAAGTCGATTTGAACCTGGAGCTGCTCGGATCTGAACCGGACTCTTTGTTGGTTGTGTTACACTTTTGACTTTTGTTGTGAGCTGGTGTTCGGTTATTAATCTCAACTGCATGGAGTCTATTGTCCTTAAAGGGGCTATATATATATATATATGTATATATATATATATATATATATATATATATATATATATATATATATATATATATATATATATATATATATATATATATATATATATATATATATGTGTGTATATATGTATATATATATATATATATATATATATATGTATATATGTGTGTGTGTGTATATATATATATATATATATATGTGTGTGTATATATATATATATACCATGTGCTATTGTTATTTCCACATGAAAAAAATCAAACCCATTCTTGGCTGAATTCATGCATTTTCCTGTTTCAACTGCAACGTTTGAGTTTTCCTTTGAAAATTCTGTTAGTAGTAGGACACGGGGCAAAAAAAATAATAAAGAAAATTCTGTTAGTGTAAGCTAATCTCGATATGTGGCTTACCGCGGCTGCACACTGGAGGCATCAGCGGTGCAGAACGGCAGCGGTTTACAATCACAGCACTCCGGTGCACACTGAGAGTCTCAGCAGCGAAGCGGCTTCTGACGTGTTCTTCGCTCCACCCGCGAGATCCCAAAATCCCTTGGGAATTCAAAGGTTATGGTCTGTTTATGCAGCAGGGTTCCTGCAGGGTCTTAAAAAGTCTTAACCCTCCCACTGTCTTCATGGGTGACCCAGAGAGGAAAGTTGACCATTGAGCAGGATTGACGGTTTATCCCTTGAGGTCCACGTGGCAGAGGTGAGGTGGTGCTCACTCCTCACCCCTGCCACATGGACCCAAGGGATAAACCGTCAACCCTGCTGAATAGTTAACTTTCCTCGCGGGGTCACACCCATTAGGACAGTGGGAGGGTTAAAAGCATTGAATTTAGATATTTGGAAATAATACCTTAAAAAGTCTCAACACCAGAACTAAATATTTTGCATAAAATATTCAATTAAACTAAAATACGATTCCTGCTTCTGCTGGTTAAATAAATTACCACCAACACCAGGAGTGGAACAAACGTCAGAACATGGCTAATCTGGGATGGTAGACAGACGCTTTAACCGCTGGACTACCATAGCCGATACCAACTTGCCTAAGGTGCTGTTGTCTGAGCGTGTGTGGGTGGAGTTTCACTAAAATGAAACGTTTTATTTCCAGGTAGACATTCAGGCTAACTCGTATTTAAGATAGAGCCACCGGTAATATTTTATCCTATAGCGAGCCTACCTTCGCTCTCGATGGTTTAAAATAGCATAAGATGGAACCCTTAAGAATTTTATTCCTAGTCCTTAAAATCTGGGATTTTCCTGGGAGAAGAGGCGTGAGCGCATACACAAGAATAATACTCGTAACTTATCTTACTCGATCCCATGAGTCTGCTGCTGCTGTTGCTCCATAGTTTCCTATGTGAGGGATAATAAACAAAAGTTTCGTTTTATTCATGTTAAAAGGACATGAGTGTGGGTGGGCTTGAGAAATGCTTTTAAAGTTCCTGTTAGTTTGTTTAAAATGCGTTTGTTACTATATTTTAGGAGTTTTATAAAATAGACATAATGATGGCAATGTGATTCCCAAGAACCAGATGAGCTCCTGATGGAGCTAGAACTCGGTCTCTAGGGGGAGCTGTAGGATTTCTGATGCTTGTCTTCAGCGACTCCATGTTGGAGGCTCAGAGGTCTTCTTAATGCGGAGGTAGAGGATAAGCTTCTAGTGTGCTCTTCTGCTCCACATGAGGAGTGTTAACTCTGCCCTTGCGCGTAGGGTTGGGCTCCACCTACCCCCTCTCACCTGGACCAATTTTTACCTCGGAGAGCTCCCTCCAGCATCGAGTCAGAGCCACACATCTGACCCAGTCATGCGTTTTCCTCATAGGAACAAAACCTTTCTGAACACATTTCCAGCCTGATGAATTGAAAAACATCACTTTTGTACATTTGAGTTTAGAATCATCGGCTCTGATCCTGATCGGAACCCTAACTGTGATTGTGAGAGGACTTTAGCCAACAATCCTGATGAAGCTGAAGAACTGTGCAAGATGTATGCATGTTCCAGGGTGATTGGGTGCATCATAAATGTCACGTGTTCCTCCTGGGGTCTGTGAGCTGACGGTGATGTAATTGTTACTCCTTTTGCTGTTGTTGTCGGAAACAAAGACCAGCCTGAGTACACACACACACACACATCTCTTTCTGTGTGTCTCATGGTTGTTGTCCTCTACACTAACGTTACTGCACACAGCATTGTCTAAGTCACACAGATGTGTTTGGGGCAGCTCAGTGGAAATGCTTTAACCCTTTGGTGCATAATGGTCACTACAGTGGACAGGTACTCAAAATTGTTATTTATTTGTTTTTGCTATTAAGCACAGCTGTTGAAGACTTTATTGTATTTGAGCCCCTCCATTTGGACTTCAGTAAGTCAAGCCAACATATTTCATGTTCAGAATGCACGTGGTCCACTAAGGTGGACCTATAATAAATTATTTGTAAATTATAAAATTTTACAAAAAATATTTGTTGAAATTTGTTTCATTCACACCTAAAGATGAATGAAAAAAATTGTTAAAAAAATCATGGCTGAAGATTTCATAATTCATGCATCAAAGGGTTAATGATGGTACTACTTATGGTTCCTCGTCACTTTTAGGTAAATTTTAACAGCTTCAGTTCAGCAGAGTTTTGCTGAATGACATTTTTTAGTCGTGCTTAAAAACAAACAGCACTGAGTCTGACCTGTTGGTAGCCTAAAACTAAAAGTGTATTAAAGTAAAAGACAAATAACAAAATGTTATGAGCGATCTGGTCCAGCCTCATGTTTCCCAACAGTGCAACTTTTTTCCATCTGGAGACCAGGAATGTTATCTTTTACTGAGGAAGACCGCCAGCAGTAAGAGGGGTGCGTGAAAACAAACAAGTGCTGTGTGACATAAACAAAAACAGTTGTATGGTCATGTGACTCAGTTCAGACTCAGGTTCGGTTGTAATATTCAGTGATTTTTCACTGCTGTGCTCTGCAGACACGACTAAACACTTTCATGATGTCTGGTGTTTGGACAGCAGGTCTATCATTAATGTCAGACAGATGATCTATTTTAAGGTTTTGGAATAAGTTGGGGTGTCTTCCACAGGACTGGAACCTCCTGGGTCAGTTAAGGTTAGAGTGGTGCTGCCATCCGGTTATGGTTTTGTCCCTCCACCTGTCTCTTCACCTGACTGCTGGAGAAAGACAGTCGGGCGTTTGGGGGGGGGGGGGGGGGGTGTTGTTTTTTATTTAAATTTCTCAATAATTCCGTTTTCCTCCCTAGAGGTTCCTTTTTCTTATAAAGCATTTCTTTCAGGTCTTAAGTGATCTAGGGTTTGTTATTGGGAAGCGTCTAACTGTTCTGGTGGGGACGATGCTGTCCAAACAGACGTTTATATAGTCAACACATCCCTGCAGAGTATCTTCAGATTTCTGGGTCTCTCCCCTGGTCATAGGATAATATTAATAATAATAATAGTACATCAAACTTATATAGCGCTTGTTTAGGACACTTAGGACACTCAGAGATGCTTGTGTGAACTCTCACATTCACACATGGCCAGTGATGGTAGGCTACTGCGTAGCCACAGCTGCACTGGGGTGGTCTGACAGAGGTGAGGCTGCCATTTGGCGCCGTCGGCCCCTCTGACCACCACCAACACAGGCAAGTTGGGTGAAGTGTCTTTCCCAAGGACACAACAGCAGAGTACCCCTGGCGGGAGCTGGAATCGCGCCCAAACCACTCCGATCATGAGGCAACCCAATCTACCTCCTCAGCTACTGCTGCCCCAGGATAGGATGCATCTTAGCAAGGATTGTGAACCCTCAGCAGAGTACGATCCCCTTTGCTTATGACTGGTGTGGCAGAGAAGTTGTATGTTTTGTTGGCGTTAGCGTAAAACAAGTGTCGTATTTTATTTTCTCTGGTGGTTGAAGTCAAATGCATTGGGGTGTTGTGTCTGCAGCTTAGCAACACCTGGGCTGATGACATCACACTCAGTCTGCAGCTGATAGTGAATTGTATGCTGCTAGCATGACACTAGTGAGTTCCCTTTTTAATTAACTACTAGCACTTCCAACATTACGTTAGGCCTCAAGATTAGCCACCCTTCAGCCTCTCTGCAGATTAACATGTTTGTTTTAATATTGGTCCAGACTGAGATGCTAGAGCGCTTCATTTCCTCTTTATACACACAGAATTTGAAACAGGATCAGACTGCTTTATTTCCTCTGACTGAACTCTGATTACACATTTGGAAGATTTTCCTACTCTCCTCCTGGATTGTTGCCTGGCTTAAGTCGTAAGAGCATGCTGACATTGTCCAGAGCGTGCTTGTGTGGTCAAACTGGAATAAAATGCAGTTGTCAAACCATTTGGCCTCTGGTCTTTGATTGACTAGCACTTTTCCAGTACTTTATCTGGCATGAGGTGGGTGGACAGCTGTAAAAAACTGACCTGAATTAGCAGGATGTACATATTGACATTATACTCTTTGCACTTAAGTGGAAATCTATTTCAGCCTCTTGCTGTCCCTTTCCATGTCAGTTAGATAGTTCTTTCTTCCAGTTACGGGCCTGCGCCTGCACACTGCAGCAATCAGATTGGCTTAGAGCTCCAAGCCATGACCTCCTTTCAGTAAACTTTCTTCTCAGTTAAAATTCTGTTCCACTCCTGGGTCCAACCCAGTCCATTTTTTATAGCTGAAGTAATGATTTTAGATGTAGTTCCCTCACACTTCCATCTGAAGTTCCCAAACACAGCAGCCCGATCATTCCACCGTCCTGCAGTCTGACGAAAACACCAGAGTGTGTGAATAGCCCCTCTAGAGACCACGCTGTGGTTTATTTCAGTCCCACTGATTCGTACCTAACGATGGCTGCCAATAATGACCGTTTTTATATTAGTTGTTCTTTTGGCCGGTTTATGTTTACATCAAAATAAAGTGTTGCTTATTAAAAAAGATCCTTTTTAAATATAATTAAGTTCACTTTGTTTCTGCTCAAAGCTGCAATGGCAAATTTAGAAAACAGACGAGCTTAAAACATGTTTTCATGCCTCTTAGCAGCGTTCTAACGTTCTATAGCTATAAAAATATTGTGTAGATTTCAAAAAAGGAAATATTTTGTTCTCTCACATCTAAAAACCACCGTCAATAACACGTTACGATCCAAAAGCAACTATTGGACCATCCGGTTGTCTGTCTCGCCGAACCATTACTCACTCACATTTAGCAACAGAACGCCACTGGTGTGAGAGGTTCTTTGCTCATACCAGAGAAGGAGCAACAGCCGGCTGCTACCACTTCGGCTTCAAACTACCAGAGTCCCCCCTAAAAAAAAACATTTGACGCAACGGACAACAAAAGATGTTTGGACTTAGAAAACAGCAACTGGTGTTTAACACCATCTCGTTTCCTCTGGCAATGTGGGTTTCCGGTTCCAGCATAACCGTGTCAGGATAGATGCATCTGGCGTGTTTGTGTTCAAATCTAGATTGTTTGCAGATTTGCTTAAACCGCTTTAAAGGAGTTTGAATATTGAGCAGGTCTAGTGTGCTTGTGAGTTATGTATGACCTGCTGTTGGACGTGGACGGGAGTAGCTTGGTGTTTCTGCACCATTCAGTCCTGAGTCTGGTCTCCATCTCTATTACTGGGCGAGAGGTTGGAGTCACTCTGAACAGGTCCAGTCTAACACAGGGCCTTGGTGATTGTAAGTTTAGTAGGTTATCCAGTCAGAACTTTAGTTTGGGCTCTTCTACTGATGCCCGATGTTGGGAAGTCAGATTTTACAACTTCTGATGATTTAAATCCAGTTCACTGGTTTCCAGCCAGAGTTCACCGGCTGGTGTTTGTTTCAGCAGCTTTCCCTCTCTGTCCCTACCAGCATGGTTCAGAGAGTATTGGATGCTTGCAGGGTTCGGTAGTAGAGTGCTCCACAGTCAAGTGCCCCGTGGCAGAAGGACAGACACACGGACAGAAAGACTGCACAAGTGGAGGACAAGTAGCTCTCCTCCAAGAGCAACCCCTCCTGCCCTCAGTCTCTCCTCTTGCTGCTGTGTCTCTCCCCTCATCGTTCTTTGTCTTGGGAATGCACCAACCAGAGAGGGGCAGGAGGTGGAGAGAAGGGGGGAGGGGTGAGAGAGTATGTCAGACAGCGGAGAGGGAAAAAAAGCAAGTGAACTGCATGTGGCGGAGGGACACAGAAAGCAGGCGGTGAGGTGAGGAACAAAACTAGGAAAAGCTGCTGTTTTATTGAGTTTCTCTGAATGTTTTATTTCCCCACTGCTGCTAACATTGGGTGCAGATTTCCTGTTTGAATCTAACAAGAAAGAAAATGCATGGAAATGAGGAGTGGACATCACAATGGTAGGATGAGAGAGGGTAAAATGGAGGAGATGAAAGCTGTCCTACTGAGGAGTCCATCTAGGAGCCTCGCATCCTCCAACTCCAGCTGCTGGTGAGCTTGTCGTTTCTTCTGTTCTCCGTCCCTCTCCCTGAGCCTCACACTGGGAGAGTCTATGCACAGAGAAAACACGGACAGTTGACAGTTATGTCCTGCACTCTACAGCTGTGAGACAAGGCTAGATGTCCACTTTCCCTTTTTCAAAAAGACTCATTGAGAGCAGAAAGGTCGGATCGGACAGCATGAAGCTGGAAGGAATAAACGTGTTGGGAGTGTAAACTGGACCGGACCTCCTGTACGTATGACACCTTTGTCTTTCTTTGACATTTGAGCCTTTGTTCCTCGGTTCACGTTCCTGCTGCTGCAGTTAGCGGGTGAATGCTTTCTCTTTGCTTTAGGACTGCAGGAACCAGGAAATCACAAACTAGTGTTGCATTTCAGGAAATCAGATCAGGATGTCTTTGTTACTCAACCGTGGGGAAGCTGCTGTGGTCAGGTCTGGGAAAACAAATGAATAGTAAAAAAAAAATGTGTTTTTAAAATGATTGCATATATTATTGCACAGAACTTTATCCCTGCAGGAAGTACTACGACACCTCCACCTGACGTTTATGTTTGTGTGTTCTCGCCCCGACAAGCTGCTAGTGTTGTCTCACTGGGAACTTTAGTACCACTTGGACTGTCCTTACTTATTCCAGTGTAAGGTGAAACAGGGAATGCAGCATCAAAAAGTCCTAAAAGACGTATTCCTGCAGGTTTGACCAATAACATGGTGCGTTATGCTAACTTCAGAAACTGATTAAACATTTTCTCTTGGAAGTGTTTCTTTGTTTAAAAACATTTAGAAATGGCGGCATGGTGGTGCAGTTGTTAGCACCGTAGCCTTGGGACTGGAATGTTGCAGGTTAGAATCCCGGCTGCAGCCTTTCGGCGTGGAGTTGACGTGTTCTCCTCGTGTGTGTGTGGGTTTTCTCCGGGTTTTGTCCCACAGAGCAAAACCATCTTAGGCTGATCTGTAGGAAGTCCCTTTAAACAAAATGCATGAAAAAAACTGCAGAGAGTTGATGATACAACTGCCTCTCACCCAGCAAGTGTGTGTGGGTGGTGGTGGGGGTTAAGACCAACAGGTCAGAGGTCACAGGTTTTGATTCTGAGGACTTTAGGTGGATGTCTTTCCTCTAGATGAGTGAGACTGGCTGGTGTGTTCTCTGTCTGCTTCTGTGACCTGGACCCGCTGCTTTTTGTCCTAATGGTGGCTCATCTCTGAAGAATATACCAGAACACTTCGCCTCCACTGGTCTGCCTGTGGACAGGAAAGTAAACTGGTACCATCTCCTGTGAGACTGGTCAGTGTCTCTCAGACAGGGATGTAGTTTTCTGTCTCTAAGCCAGGCCAGTAGAAATGAGAACACACACACACAGCTGTGCTTACGGTCTCCCTGGCGTGGCACAGACACCATCAGAACTAATAAATACCTTCACTATCAGTGGTTGTTGAGAAAGCGTCCGCTGTGTTTTTATTGCTTGTCTGAACAGATCAACTTTCTGCTGATTAAATGCAAAAGAACAGGACAGAAAAGGAGATTTGACTTTGAACACAAACATGCCTGTTGATCGTTTCATCTGTCTTGTTCCAAATGCTGAGGTTTGGGTCGTGAAGAGCCGTCTCTTCTTCAGCTGAGACCGCTTTAACGTTCCCAACCTCTCTGTGTCTCTCAGCTGTCCCTCGGAGACGAGCAGTGTGAAGTCACACGGAATGGCTATGAGTCTAAAGAGCTGGTGTACCTGGTCCACATCTACTGTCAGGTAGGAGCGCCTACACACACACACACACACACACACACACACACACACACACACACACACACACACACACACACACACATGATGGTTTCATCCTCCTGATGCTGAGGCCGGCCTGAATCAGGTTGTGTCAGAAACTCGTTATTGTTATAAAATCTGGGATATTTTCAGGTTCAACGCCATTCATGGATGATGTTGCAACAAATGCTTTGGAAACCCCTGTTTTCTTCAGTTTTATTAAAGACATGTTGTGTATTTTCCGCAAGTTTCAGGCAGCCTAGAAATCTGGACCAACCGTAGCAGCAGCAGCAACATTTAGCTCTGCCACGCTCCAGCAAGTCTGCCATTGGCCCAAACTATTTTAGGTTGGGCCAGTCACAGCGCTCTGTTTGTAGAGGGATGTTATGTGGGCTTAGCACCAAAGCTGCAAAGGAGAAAAACTACAAAGATGGCGTCTGTTCAGGAACGGTGCTCATTTGAAACCGCTTTGGCATCAAACTTGGACGAGTTAGACCAGAGCTTTTCTTTGAGACATGAGCAGATAGAGGTACTTAAGTCTTTTATTTTGAAAAAGATGTATTTGCTTTTACTTCTTCGACGGTGTACGGTAGACTGCCTCGTTGGCAGATTTCTGAAACGATTAATATCTCCAGTCGTTTGTCGCTCTGCTTGGTCCTAGTGCTGTCCAATAGCATGCAGAGACAGTTTGAAAGACAACCGTAGATTCCACCACGACTGAGCTCTGTCTATGGGGCGTGGCCTGACTGTATATTCACGTATATAGGATGGCGTGCCAGGTACAGTTTGTTCAGATTTTGTTATAAAGACTTTAAGCTTGAGAGTTACTCCAAGCTTCATCCCAGTACTCCATAAAAACAATTTTAGACTCTGTGGTGTCTGTTTTTGTGCTCAGATGCCATAAAACAGGTATGAAGATGTGTATTTGGAAATTCCATTTTCAGCCTTTGGAAAGTTACAGTTCTCTTTAGAAAGGAAAGAAAATCCTTGCAGTTGGTCGCTCAGGACACAGAGAAGTAGCACAGTGAGTCTGGTTCAGTGCCACAAACCCAAGGAGGAGGAGCAAACCACAAGCAGAGTTTGAAACTAGGACAGAAGAAGCGAGTTGAGTGAACCACAGAGCCCTCCCAGTGGTGGTGTCTCTCCCAGCCAACTCTTTAAAAACAGCCCCAGCACCAGTGGCTCGTGCAGTCAGCTGCAGGCCCAATTGCACAAGTACTGGCCTTGGTTCTCACTGATCCTGCTTGGAAAAATCAAAGCAGACAACGTACACTGCCAGCTTCTCTGTGAGGTTTTATGTTTTTTTTTCACAAGATCAAAAAATAACAAAACTATTTAGTTTTTCCCTAAGTTCTGATACAGGATGGTGGGTTGAGAGGAAAAATTCTGGGTTTGTACTTGTGCTGTTGGCTTTGAAACGCTGCATTGAGCCTGGAAAGACTGAGTGAGTCAATCATGTGGAAACAAATCTAGTTTCTAAGTATTCAACTGGAAAACCTGACTTTTATTTTGACTTGTTTTCATGTTGATCACTAAATCAGTGTCTGTGCAGACAAAACTAAACAGAACTGTTGCAGGTTAACGGAAAAGGTTTTGTTGGACTGGTGTCACTGCAGGTTGGTTTATTAGCATCATTCTCTAGGGCTGAACGAAATTGGAACGCTTTCACGTTGTGTTTTTCTGTCCATACAAATTAAACGGCCATATTAAAACATACAGGAATTCACAACAAACCACTTGGGTAGCGCATTAAGTTATGCTGCTCTCCTGCCATCTGGTTGACACTGAACCTGTTGGTGTTTTAGGAACTACAGGAGGTAAAAGACATTCTCAAATTCCAATTACAGTCCAACTCACCGTCTAAAGCCTCGTTTTACGTCCACAAGGGCCCAGTTAGCGTTCTCCAATAAAATTGTTTGTCCACAATCCAACATATCATTGACATCTTACGTGATCCAATAAGTGAAGGGTTACCCTCCTCTGCTGGGACATAGTCTTCAGCTATTGGTCGATAGGTCAAAGGGTTGACCCCTATTCTCCCATGTGTAGCTAGAACCATTAGCGGCATGATGTATTGTTGGTTCGAGTGTCAAATAGCCAATGAAATTTGGAGAACAGATATCACTAAACCAACCGTTCGTGGTCTGCTTCCTCTAACTGTCTAAGATTGATTGTGATTGGTGGGCTGCTGTGTGTCAGGCACTATTAGATGAGAACACATTAAGTCCTTCATCTCAGCAGGACCTGTGATGTGCCCATCGCTCATGCTTTCTAGGGGTGGGAATTAATACGTTGGCAAAATATTACTGCACATGGTCTCCTGCATTACACCTGTCAGTGAATTAATAATCCATTGTACCCGTATCGGTTGGAAAGTTCTTTCCAAAAGTTTATGCTTTATGCTTCTTGTGAAGGCAGAGTCGTCTTCCTGCTGTAGCTTTTGCAAGATGGGAAGAAAGTCACCACAGGTCGGACTTTAGTCACTGGAGTCTGCTGGTGTGGAGGTTTGATTATAAGGCAAATGGTGCTAACATGATAAGCAGTGTTAGTTTATTAGTTACCTGCAGTATTAACAGCAGAGGAGGAGCAAGCGCCACCGCTGCTGCTGCATTAAAAGTCTCTAGTCCAGAGTTATAAGTACTGCATCTTTTGTGCAGAAATGCTTTTGCATATCCAAAGCGTTTCCTCTCTTTGATGATTCATCCACATTGCAATTATTAAAAGTTTCCCTGTTGTCATCCTTTCTCGTGAAGTATAACCAAACTTTGGACCGCCATGTTGCCTGCTGAGTGAATACGGAAGCTACGCTGCGTGCGTGGTGACGTCATTCGCTCCTACTGGAATTGATCTGGGAATCGTTTGCAAAAACGTCAAATGATTCCTAGGAATTGAAATGGTAGGAATCAGTTCTCAACAAGAACTGTTTTTTGATTTCCACCCAATGCATAAATTGCAATGTTGATTCTTAAACGCAACATTGTGCTGCTCTACCCGTTTGGCAAGAACACATTCTTCAAAACATTGTTGATCCACATAATTAACAGTTTTAATTAAAAACATAAAGCTGGCTGAAGTAGTGGAATGAGTCCTGTTGGGGTTAGAGTTGGTCCAGGTCCACTTAAGCTGTTGACTCCATCTTGTGTTCTGTTGGGTGAAACTTGGATCATGTTGTTGACAGTATTCAGGAACCGCTCTCGGGTTTGGTTGGAACTGAGACCTGCTCCCCCAACAGGTCTCAGAGGAATGGCAGACCAGGGTGTGACTGTTAGTGGTTCCTAAACCAGACGGTGTTTTGTTTTTTTGTCGCCCCGCTGAAGGGTCGAAGCTGGATTGTGAAGCGCAGCTATGAAGATTTCCGTGTCCTGGACAAGCACTTGCATCTCTGCATCTACGACCGACGTTTCTCGCAGCTGCCTGAGCTGCCTCGCCTGGACAGCCTGACGGACCAGTCAGAGGCAAGAACCACAATAATACACACGCCAAACTCCTCCTGAAACTCAGAAAGTAATCAATGGATGCAACCCAGTTCAAGATGGCCGCCAGTATTATGTTCCAGCAGCTCTCAGACAACTTTTCACACAGATTAATGATCCACCTGCCAGTGGGCCCAGTGGGACGCTGCTTCACCACCACGTCCAAGCTCCAGTAGCCGAGAATCAGCTTTAAGGTGTTGTAGGTCTGAAGCACCATGAGTCAGAATCATTTCTGTAGGAAAAACTACCTAACATTTAATTTTACATCCATATGTTTCTGATTTATTTATCTCTTTGAAAAAAGATTAGACAGAGTTTTTCTTTCCAGTCCATTTCTGCCTTTAGTAAAGCCGGATGGTGTTGTGTTGTTGGGAAGTCTGATTATTCCCCTTTACTATGTTAACCCTGAGTGCAATGACTGTGTGTTTATGCAATGATCAGCTCAGCTTAACTCCTGGATGGGGAGACGGGACTGTTGCTTTTTGAAGTGGATGAAATGGCACTAATGGCTCTGGTTCCCTCCTCATTAGTCCGTTTCCCAGATGTTGTTGGCCTACCTCTCACGGCTCTCTGCGATCGCTGACAACAAGATTAACTGTGGGCCGGCCCTGACGTGGATGGAGGTAACTCTCCAAGGTCCAGTCGGACCTGTTAGATGAAAACAGCTCTACACCTAAGGATAGCTTCATCTACCTTAGCTTCATTTCACCTGAGCTTACAAAGATGCTGGGTGTGCCTACTGCTGCTATAGAGGTCATAAGGTCATCCAGCTGGGGTTTATGGTTTTAAATACATACTGTATGGCTTTAACAAATTATTCAATTCAAGTTTATTTCTATAGCGCCAAATCACGACAAGAGTCGTCTCAAGGCACTTCACACAGTAAACATTCCAATACAGGTCAGTTCATTAAGCCAATCAGTAAAAAGTTTTCTATATAAGGAACCCAGCAAATTGCATCGAGTCACTGACTAGTGTCAGAGTCTTTACAGCAATCCTCATACTAAGCAAGCATTTAGCGACAGTGGAGAGGAAAACTCCTTTTTAACAGGAAGAAACCTCCAGAGGATCCTGGCTCAGTATAAGCAACCATCCACCATGACTCACTGGGGATGGAGAAGACAGAACACACACACGCACACACACGCACCAAGTAGTGTTTCTATGGTTACATTGTGATTTCTTAGTAAATATTCTATTTGGTGAGAGATAAACTGTATTGTATTTGTCCTAATGAATCTATAATTAAATAGGTAAACTAGTAGTAGCACATTCAATGTCAAAGAAAGTAAACTGTTATCAGGAGAGGAAGAATGTTTAAGTGGTTAGCAGCAGTGTTCAAGACGATGGCCCCCTCCATGAGGGCACCACAGCTCAGCAGAACATCATTGTAGCTTCTTCTGGGGAGATAAACACTTAGAGAGAAAATAAAGTTCACAGCTGAAATAGCAGGAAATAATACAGCTAAAGAGCAGATTGTAGAAGAAAGTAGTCAAGTGTGGAAAGTGGTCAGTATGTACTCCAGCAGTCTAAGCCTATAGCAGCATAACTACAGAGATAACTCTGGATAACCTAGCCTTTTAGATGGAGGCATGTTGGAGGCAGGGCAAGGGAGAGCCGTCTTTACCGACTTTACACTCCACCTCCCACTACTCTCCCACTTGTCCAGATCTGGGCTAACATCAGATTTTAACCATAGACCCTATCAAATAAAAATGTTTTAAGCCTAGTCTTAAAAGTAGACAAGGTGTCTGCCTCACGGACTAAAGCTGGGAGTTGGTTCCACAAGAGAGGAGCCTGAAAGCTAAAAGATCTGCCTCCCATCCTATTTTTAGATATTCTGGGAACCACCAGTAGACCAGCAGTCTGAGAGCGAAGTGCTCAGTTAGGAACATATGGAACAATCAGATCACTGATGTATGATGGAGCTTGATTATTAAGAGCTTTATATGTGAGAAGGAGGATCTTAAAATATATTCTGAATTTAACAGATAGCCAATGTATCAAGTTTATAAGTGCAAATTAAATTGTTTTGATTTGTTCTCGGAGTAAATGAATGAATAAACACACTAATGAAGACAGAAACAGTTGTGTTTGCCTACTTCCTCATGGTGGCTTCATCTCCAGGTTGACAACAAGGGGAATCACCTGCTGGTTCATGAAGAGTCATCCATCAACGTCCCAGCGATAGCAGCGGCCCATGTCATCAAGCGCTACATCGCTCAGGCCTCCGACGAGCTGTCCTTTGAGGTGATGACAACCATTTCTAACCAGCCTGACCCACATCACAACACGTGTGCGATAATCCACCGATTGAAACGTCTCTCTGGTGTCCGATGTCCCTGCAGGTTGGAGACATTGTGTCTGTGATTGATATGCCCCCTAAAGAAGACACCACGTGGTGGAGGGGCAAGCACGGCTTCCAGGTCCGCCCACACCGCTCAGAAGATGCTTTCATCTTTAGGCCTGAAGGCCTACCTGTAGATCTGGTGTCTGGTTAGGGTCATGGAGGCGTGGACACCAGTGTATCTGAAAACCTGCAGATCAAGTTTAATGTTTAGAAGTGAAGCTGTCTGTTGGACCGGTGGGTGTCGTCTCCGTCCTGCTTTCATTTCCATCTGACCGCTCACTGCTCTGCTCTCTCCAGGTCGGCTTCTTTCCCAGCGAGTGTGTGGAGCTCATAAATGACAAAGTGCCACAGTCCATGACCAGTTCTGTGCCAAAACCAGGTACGATTCTTGTCCCATGCAGTACTCGGGTAGAGGGACCTGATGTGTGGCTGTCTGGCTTTAGAGCTGCCCTCTCATGTTTATTTAATGCCAGTTTAAAGGTGAAATACTACTGAGGAGGAAGTATTTGTTAGTGGTTCCACAACCTGTGTCCAGTGGATAAAACACAAGGTCTCTCTGACGGTATGGCTCCGTTTCTACGTGTTTCTGAAAGACGAAACCCGTAATTCAGACTGGTTATGTTTACTTTACTCTCATTTGCAAACTACATCATCCAAGAGCATCTAGAGCAGACAGATGAGTCCAAACCATTGTGGTATCGATCACAAAACCTGTTTAGCATCAGGGAGAGCTGGAAACGGAAGGCTTAAATATGACCAGATTAATGTTCGCTACAGCATCTTATCTAAATCCTGAGCTACTGTCACAGCACCCGGCTGGTGGTGGTGTGAAGGGCGGGGGTGGAGCTGAGGCTCCATCTTCTTCTATTCCAGCAGTTTGGTTTAGTGAGCACCCATGTTGCTGTGCACCCTCCATCCACACACACACACACACAGCTCCAGCTTTAACTCCACCTGCTTGCCCACCACTCTGCTCTAATGTGTGAGAGCTTGTGTCACTGTACACGCTGATTTACAGCAGCTTACCTGCACCTGAAGGGAGAACCTGCACATCCTGGTTGTTGCGGCCGGCTGTCCTCTAAAGCCGCTGACTTCTCTTGAATCATTTCTGTCTGTTGTAATTCTAGAGAAACTTCTGGTTGCCTAAATGATGACAATGTCTTAGAATCACCTGTATTGTGTCCGATCTGACATTGTTTGCCCCCCACTGCCTGATCTCATCATCACTAGTGTCATCTTACTGCCCAGCTGTGTTAGCTAATGTTAGCATGTTTCCTGATGAGCTGTGTTTGACTGTGACTCCTCTGCCTCAGCCTCGCCCTGCTCTGGCCTGCAGCCTGCTTCATGGAGTCTCTTCCCTCCCTGTGCGTGTTGGTATACACACTCCACCTGCCTGTCTAAACTCTGTCCCCACACACACACACACACACACACACACACACACACACACACACACACACACACACACACACACCAGGTCCAGCTTGGTTTAGCAGGTCTTTGAATTCAAATCTGCAGAACATCAAATTGCAGTGTTAGCAACGGTTAGCAACAGTTAGCATTAGCATTGTGTAAATATGGTCACAAACACGAGGTAATCAGCCATAACATTATGACGTCATCTTCTGGTGAACCCAGAAAGGCAGAAATAGGCCCAAGCATCCTGATCTACACCACCATGCTGTTAGATGGACCAGGTCACAGCTCACTGGTAGCTGCAGCATGTCCTCAGTCATTCCTGGAGTGGCCCACGGACAGGACGGGTGATTGGATCACGGGGGCTCGCTGATGGATGAGGAGACATCCTGGTGTTTTGGTCCAGTAGAGGACCTACAGGACAGCTGAAGACGTTCTTGTTGGTTCAGATTCAAGCACATCAGAAATTTGTCTGCTGCTATTTAAACGGTAGGAGTATCAGGTTTTGTTTAATGCGTTTCTGTTTGTGTACCTGTAAGAGACATGGGACCAGAGGCATTGTGGGAAAACAGGTGTCTGGGTGCTACCTGTGACATGTTCTCCTGGCATAAACACTTTCACCCACCTTCAGGAGAACGTTCCTTTTGGAGCTTGTTGCTGATCCCAGCTAAATTGTTATGAAAATACTTGGGATTTTAATGGAGGACGTAATCAGATGTGAGTTTGTTGCTAGAGCAGCTTTACGCCCCAACTGGTGCTAAGGGCCTGTTGGGCGTACCCCGTTACCCAACGTTAGAGGAAGAACCATCTGAACCCATGGGATGAACACATCGTCTCGGGATCTCCTCCTGTAAACCTATAATCATGGTCCCACGGGTAGTGTAAGAGCTTTGGGGGGCTTCACATCCCAGGACCCCTACCATCAACGTGTCAGATTCAATAGCAGACCTTCAGAGGCCTGGTGGTGCTCTGGTCTCCATCAGCCCTGTTGTGGGTGGGAGATGTTGCATTTTTAGAGGGTGGTCATAATGTTATGGCTGATGATTGTAACTGCCTTCCCCCGAGATTCCGTTCGGCTGATTCGCTGATACAGACTCACCTTCATATCCAACGTTTTCATTTGTCCTCTGACCAGATGCTTTGTTCTCTAACTGAAAATGCTTCTCTCCCTCTGATTCTCTCATGCCTCCATCATCCATCCACCCAAATGTCTGTTGGTCCATCTGTCCACGGGAATGCATGCAGACTTGGAGATGGAGAGTGTTTTACAGGACAGTGCATGGGTGGCCGACCCGCTAAACCACTACACCTTAAGTTCAGGTAGAAACAGAAACTCTTGGTGTGTTGTCGTGACAACCTCTAACAAACACAGTCCTACTAACTTCCCACCTCTGGGTGACTCTTACCCGTCTTTGATTCTGGTGCTGGCTGCTCACGAGCGGTTTCTGTTGTGTTGTATGAATAGAAGAGTGTGTGCCATGAACAAAAGTGTGTGTTTACTCTGAGAGGAGAGCTGCTTCTCCACAGTTTGACTAGGTTATCTGTATTTGTTACATTTATAACGTATAAATGATTATGATCCTACTAAAACATTCAGTTATAAACTAAACAGCTCTGAACCCACGCCTCCCTCCTCCTGACTTAAGGAGCTATTGTTCTGATCCCGATCCTCCATCTTGTCCTGCTACCATCTAGTTGGTTTGTTTATGTTTCCAGATTATCTTGTGATGATTCCAGCCCGAGTGTGAAAAGCTTCACACCGTCCCGTGTTGCTGACTCCAGTCAGCAGGTGGAGCTACAGCGTGAAAAGGAACGCGTGTAGAGTGACGGTTCAGATCAGATATAATCACAGACAGTCTGCCTTAAAACTCTTCGCTACTTTTAATCAGTGCAGAAAATTATTATTCAATAATTTCCTGACCGAGCGCACTCGACTTGAGATTTCTGTAGTTAGCAGTCGTCTGTTTACATTTCAGAAGGACGTCACCTCGTCCTAAAGAGCCACGCCCACAAGAACATCTGCCTCCAGCAGCTGTCATTACAAGTGTGTATGACACACACCAGCTGTCTGTGCTGACTCTAGTCGCTGTGTTTCTGAGCAGGGATGTGTGTGCTCAGGCTGGCCGGAGGACCAAAGCTGCTCTGTCTCAGTAAAGGACACATAGACTGTGGGAAGATTTGGATTTGGTTTCTGAAGTTGGTGGTGCACCGTCAAACCAGAGCCACGCTTGAATGAAGCGTCATCTCCGCAGCTCTGTCACCTAGCTAGGTGTGTGCGAAAGGATGGGGGGGGGGTTTAGCTGGGTTGCTACGGCGTTAGTAGAGCTGCTGTGTGTGTGTGTGTGTGTGTGTGTGTGTGTGTGTGTGTGTGTGTGTGTGTGTGTGTGTGTGTGTGTGTGTGTGTGTGTGTGTGTGTGTGTGTGTGTGTGTGTGTGTGTGTGTGTGTGTGGATGAAGGCCAAATGTGTGTGCGTGCGTGGCTGTTGAGTTGAATCTGCTGGGCCACCGTGGAGCTAGCTAGGTCCTGACCAGCCTTGGTTTATTTAATCCTTTTACAATGAAACCCTGTAAATCCGTCTGTGGAGCGCGGAGGCTTTGTCTTCCTCTCCATGGTGACTGAAAGAGCACATTCCTGCAGGGAGCCACATGGCTCTGGAGAAAGATTCCCTCTCTTCACCACCGACCGTCGCTGCATGGAAACTGTTAGCACAGTTGGTGTGTAGGGATCAGGGTCACTCCAGTCCCCAACAGTCTTTTAGTTTGTCTGTTTGAAAATAAAAAGCTAAAATAATGGAGACAGTCAGATCTGGTTCCCCCCAGTCAGCCCAGTAGACCTGACCCAGATGCAGAGCCCAGTGTCGTCTTTAGTGCAGACACCAGTGCTTTGGGCAGCTGTGAGCAGACTGGAGCCAAGACAGCTGGTTATGTGAGGCAGAGGAAGGGACACGGGGAGAATGTGTGAGACAGAGTGTGATTTGTCCAACTGTTCCCGAGGATTTCGGATCATTTCCTGGTACTGTGAAAGAATGCAGGATGCCTGGGGTAACTGGAGCTTCAGCCAGATGCTGCACCGTCTCTGGGTTTGTCATCTTGTTGTACAGCAGGTAAAAAGACAGGAAACGTGTTTTTTTATTCTCACTGGTGTTGTTGCTGGTTCTTTTTCGTTTTAGATCCTTTTAAGGACAGGAGTAAGTTTGTTTTTTAAGTCCTGATAGTTTAAAAAGCTGTGGTTACATCTGCCCTTACGGTGGATGACATCAACACTCTTCCTTTGCTGCGGCTGTACAGCATGTGGGAATTTAGCTAGCTGGTACAAAGTCGGGTTTACTGACACTCGGATGTTTGCAGCAGCTTTAATCCGGATCTTGTCTTGTTCTTTCAACAGGAAGACAAATGTCCTGAGTCTCTTCACCCCTGAAAAGTCAGATATATCATCCACATCCATGCAAAAATACCTGCTGCACGCGACTGCATCCTTAAACAACTCTCATGCTGTTTGTAGAGTCGGATATCAGGTCAGGCACTCGCTGCGTTCTGCTCACTGAAGCAGTAGGCCGTAAATGCCGATGGGGTCAGAAATGAGCAACAATCCCGATGTTATTGCATGAAGATGTTTACTTATTTTGTACTAAGGTTGTTTTATTTTTATTTGCACTGGCAGCAAAATGTATGAAAGTCCATCGCCTGATGTGGGTTGAGCTTTACCACTCTGACGTTCCTATCTGTAAGGTTTTCCGTCTTTAGATTACTGGCACCTTGAATTTTATGGCCTTCCACTCGGGTCACTGGCATCTAACGAGTGTAGTGTTTTGGTGTTCTAGCGAATCTGCTCTGCTCCCGTTTTCTACTGAAAACTTAACACAACATTAAATGAGTTTCTCGTTTCTCTGCCTTACTGGTTGAAAGCAACTGTCGTAAACAACCCCGCTGTTTCTAGCGGCCTAGCGCTTAAAACTAGCTAATGCTAACACGAGCCAGCTGATATTAAATGAGCCACAAAGTAAAAAGATCAGATGGACAAAAATGCTATTACGTAAAGGTTGACTATGGAACACGGACAATCTGGCTAACTCTGGTGTTCAGAGGTGGTGTTGCAATAACAGGACTAATTTTCCAGCCGCTGGGATGTTGGTTCAATGCTGACACGTTCCAGCATCATGTGCAGAGACGAATCGTACAGGATAAGGACTCATTTCTGCTAATAAGTATATTTTACAACTTGATTTACTGTTGGAACGTCTTCTGGGCTCAGAATCAGCTGCTTGACTTGTCAAGTGTGCCATTTTACACAGTCCCAACGTTGCCTTGCCGAGCGGATATTTTAGCTCAATGGTGCCCTCTAGCTAAACATAAACAGTGTCGTGCCCAACAGAATAACAGTTTGATTGTTTATCTTTTTAAATATAGCTTTAAAAGGAGAAACGCTACATTCATTCTGCACACCGCTGAACGCACCGTGGGGGTATTGTTTATTTTTTAAATATAGCTTTTTATTGAAATGTTTCATATTCCAATTTTTAAAGTCCAGTTGCAACAAAGCCAGGTCACCATCAGTCCTTGATTTCGTAGCCTCCTTTAGCTCCCTCAAACTAGTGTAGGCTACACTGATGTTCACTCTGGTTTTAGCTCTTGGCTTCACCTCCAAAGATATTACTCTTACTTTCAGGCTCCGCCATGATGCCAACAAAAATACAAACTTCTTCCTCTTATTCTTGTGCTTTTTGTTGACGGCCAGTTAACTGAAAAAGCTAACTGCTAACCTTTATATCAGCTACAGCACAGTAGTCAGCTGTTGTCGTAAAGCAGGTAGAGACCTCTCACTAATCGTATCTGACCTTCAAAACTTTTGAGTACAGTTTCTGGTCAGCAGAGTGCAGTCCAGTGTGAAGCTGCTTATTGCTCAAGAACCATTAAAACCAGTTTAAAAGCAATAATGAAAAGTCTTAGTGTTGCTTTAGTGTAACAACTGTGGTGTTTCTGCTCACACTCACTATCGGGTCTGTTTATTACATGTTGCACTTTAATAATTAATCATTTATGGCGCTGGTTGTCATATTTCCTGGTGCACTTCAAGTTAGTGCAGGTCGGAGATGACAGAACCTGAGTCAGGTGCTGTATCACAGGTCTGGTCTGGGTCATCGGTCCTCTCAGGAGGTTTAGTTATATTCTGGCAGGTTTTAATTTCGAGAAACAAACCAGTTGGACCTTTTCCAGCTGCTGTGGTGAAACTGGAGGGACGCATTCCTGGCTCTGGAGCGTCTCTGTCCCTTTGGACTCCAGCTCGTCTGGTTATTTGTGGGCATTCTGGATCAAGCTGGGATTGGTAAACGTTGTCTCATTTTATTTTGATTATAGAGTTTGTTTGTGTCACTTCTTAAAATCCGTTTGTGCTAGTCTTCCTAACTTTTACATGAAGTGGGCACACAAAAGGAGCAGTGGTGGATTATGGTGTTGATCAGTAACAGGGTAATGAATCTCCATAGAACATCTATATAAGTGATTAAATGGGTTTTTATTGGGCGTGTCGGTGTCTGTAGTTTTATTAGATGGCAGCTTCAAAAAAGCACAAAACGTATTTTAATCCTAACATCCTTGTATGTAATATAACGTTTTATAATGTGGACCATGGACGTAATTTTCACTTTAGAAGTGTGGGAGGGGGGGGACACGGGTGTGTCTGTGTGGGGGTGGGGGTGGGGGGGGGGTATGATATACTTACAGTATGTTTTAATGGGAATCAGGCCTCAACACAAATGGTTGTTGTCTGCTTGGTCCTAGAGCTCCACCAGTGTCCATTTAATATAGTGTAATATTGTTTTTGGACGGTAAAAAGTGCAGGGGTCAAAACTTGACTTTGGAAAAAGTGGGGGGGGGGGGGACATGTCCCCCCTGTCCCCCAAAAAGTATGTCCATGATGTGGACTGTTTCCATGTCTGGTTTTCTTGCTCTAGTTTTCTAGTTCAGACACCAAAGCCAGCCTTCCTGGACTGATGGGTTGTTCATCATGGAGAACCAGGCAGTCGTTGTTGTCAGAGGGAGATTTTAGTTTCACAGTAAGGAAAAATGTTGGTTTAGTTCTGTCCTAGCAGCTGGGTTTTGTCTCCTTCAGTGCTTGAAGTGGAAAACAATAAGTGCCAGTACTCGCCTTAGAAAAATATTGGGGGGGGGGGGCGTCCCCATTACCAAATGACTATCATACTGTTTACTAATCAGTAGGCACACGTCACATGAAAGGCCTCTTTCAGCAACGGCACAAGCCTTTTGCAGATGCACACATTTGTTGTTTTCTGGATGCAAATTCATCAGTGAGGTCATTTAATGCTGAGTTACTTCTGATTCTGAGCTGAGCTAATGACAGCCAGGTCACTCAAGTGATGAGCCTTGGTTTCCCTCACTGATGGTGCAGCTGTGGCTACATCGTAGCTCATCATCAGTGTGTGAATGGATGAATGATACACCGTCCTTACTCTGAAAGGCGCTATACAAGTGCGGGTTATTTATCATTTATCAGCAGAAGGAACTGTAACAGGGAGATGTAGAGTTAAGTTCAAACTTCAGTAACGTTCCTGTCATGACCAGAAATCAATCATAAAAGCTGATCAGGAATTGTTTTGGTCCTATTGGGAAATCACACAAAGACATTCTTGTAAATATAACTGCAACTAATCACTAACTATATATATATATATATATATATATATATATATATATATATATATAATCTGTCTCTCTCAGGCATGTATATGCACTAATAATATTATATTCTGATAGCATGGACTGAGAGACAAGTGCAGGTTTATGCCTTTAATAAGGTGATGATCAGGACTGCTGTCACATTTTAAGTCTACATCCAGACAAAATTATTCTCTTTATTATTAGCAGCTGAGACATTTATGCCCACAGAGTTCTCTTTGTTTTAGTCAACATTTCCACGTTTGAGTGCAGCTCTCTCCTCCTCTAGTTTTGACCTTTTTTTCTTGTGTTTACCGCTGATCCAAATTTTTGTTTGGATCTCCTCTTTCCACCTCCACTACGCTTCCACCTCCGCTACGTTTCGTTTGCGCTGCAGCCGCAAACGAAACGTAGCGGGAAAACAGGTAAACAAAAACTGCTCTGTGTTTTAGAAAAGATCTACATTATGGAATGAAGACTTCCTCCTGTTTGTCCTCTTTCATGTGTCGTTCAGGCTGTTGTGGCTCTTGAGGATGTGTACCTGAACACGGTCCTGACGGCCATGTGAACGTAAATGTGAACGCTCCTAAAGGACAGAAGTGGAGGTCTGAATTCTGCGCTGCCCTCTAGTGGACGTGATGCTTAAGGACCGAACCAACAGTTAGACGGGGACATCCCTGCTTACACACCAAAAGAGCAGAAACACAAGACAAATGTTAGTGTAGCTGAAAGAAAGAAGCCCTAAAAGGTTCTGATGAACACAGCTGGGTCAGATAAACGGAGCCCAGGGAGCAACAGCGTGCTGCTCCTGGGGGAGCGAGGGGGTGCTCCTTCTCACTGACTGCACAGATCATCAGATCCACTCGATAGCTTCTCCACATTTACTTAATACAGAAGGTAGAGTTTAAGGCGCTTACGGCCGCTCCCAGGCGTGGTACCAGATTAACGCTGGCTGGGTTTTTAGGAATGTCTTTTCCCTTTTTGTTCAGAGGGGGAGCAGATGATGCTGGAGTCGGATGTGGAGGATTCTTTTGTCGTTGCCTAGCAAGCAGGCATATTTAAAAATGAAGCCTTTGCTTCAAGGAAACCACTCATGAGTAAAGAAAGCGATTGTGTCAGAAGCTGAGCGAACAATCGGACGGCCTGGGGCAGTTTTGTATCGCTCCCCTGAGAAATGCAACGTAGTGTCAGTCCCACAGTTGCTGTGGTGCAGGGAGCTGTTGTTTAAGGCATCTAAGATGTGACTCTTTTTCTTCCATGGCTGCTCAGTTTCGAAGAAGCATGGGAAGCTGATCACCTTCCTGCGCTCCTTCATGAAGTCCAGGCCCACTAAGCAGAAGCTGAAGCAGAGAGGCATCCTCCGGGAGAGGGTGTTTGGCTGTGACCTGGGAGAACACCTCCTTAACTCAGGACACGATGGTGAGGAACGGCTTCCTGTTCACCTAAAACCTCTGATGAATTTTTAATGATAACTTAACACAGTGGTATTATGGGATGTAGTGTTTATTTTACTGCTTTGAAGCAACAGCCAGCAGCTCAGGGGCTGGAAGGCAGAGACAGAACGAGATCAAAGCACTTTGAGGGGATTAATTATCTGAAACTAATGTCGGTCGAATGCCCACTCACTTCCTGTCTGTTCTGACGGAGCTTGTTGATTGGTCGGTTGTTTTTCCAGACCACTGCTGTTTAGTGGTGAATGGGTCGTGGCTGGATGCCTGCAGCAGACCTCTTCCCCTCAGCTCCTTCTGTCAAAAACACGTCGAGTAGACAATTCACTCGTTTATTAGACCAAAGAGACATGAACGCCTTTCAGAATGTTTTACAATAAATTCTGTTTTACATGAAGAATTATGCCGGTTTTTCATGTGGTGGATATCAACGAACTACCCATCGCTGTGTCGGGGGGTGTCTCGCGAGGACACCGACAGCACGTAGAGCACGACACGAGCTTACAGGAAAAGTAGCGCTTCACACGGCATGTTCTGAGCTGTTCGCCCGTTTCTCCTCGGCCCGGTACCGCTGCCCTAATCGGAGCAGTAAAAGCACTGACATGCTGGTCTTCATGCTCTGTTGGCAGTGCCCCAAGTCCTCAAGAGCTGCACGGAGTTCATTGAAAAGCACGGTGTGGTGGACGGCATCTACCGCCTCTCTGGGATCGCCTCAAACATTCAGAAGCTGCGGTGAGGAAACGAGTTCTCCATGTTGGTGTGCAGAAATGCTTCCTGCTGACACAAGTTAGGAGGCCTTTGGGGTTCCCAGCAGCAGAAACCCAGTGGCCAGAGTCAGGTTTAGGATCCAGGTGACACTTATGTGTAATATTTGTTCCTTTGGCCTCTCTGTCTACCCCCTCAGACATGAGTTTGACTCAGAGCAGATCCCTGACCTGACCAAAGATGTTTATATCCAGGACATCCACTGTGTTGGCTCGCTGTGTAAGCTCTACTTCAGGGAGCTACCCAACCCGCTGCTCACCTACCAGCTCTACGAGAAGTTCTCCGTAAGCAACTTCTGACCCTCACATTGGTTCTCTGTGTGTGTGTGTGTGTGTGTGTGTGTGTGTGTGTGTGTGTGTGTGTGTGTGTGTGTGTGTGTGTGTGTGTGTGTGTGTGTGTGTGTGTGTGTGTGTGTGTGTGTGTGTGTGTGTGTGTGTGTGTGTGTGTGTGTGTGTGCCCGTGCCCCCCTCCTCTCTATAAAACAGCTGCTGTATGTTATCCACCCTGTAGAAACTCTTCTCCAAACATTATGGAGCCACGCCTGTGGGTGGAATAAATGTTTTCTGGTTGCCATGGCAACAAAGGAGAGGAGGGGGCTTGATGATTGCAGACTAATGTCCCTTTGGCAGCAGCTTTCTCCAGCGGTGACAAGATAATGATCCCTCTCTCCACCTCTGGTTTTAGGAGGCTGTATCGGCAGCAACAGATGAGGAGCGACTCATCAAAATCCATGATGTCATCCAGCAGCTTCCTCCACCCCATTACAGGTCAGTGCTGGAACGCCGCGTCCTCCGTCAGCGGGTCACGGTGTTCAAACCAGACATTTGTCAGGCTCCTTTGTTCAGACAGACTTTACTGCCTGCACAGGGACTTAAATAACCAGTGGGATGTCCGCTGTGCAAACAGTCACTGTCTAAAGTTCCCCAGCAGCTTCTGGTCCAGATCCAGATGGCTAAGAGCCATTCTTCATCATCCATGTTGGGTTTGTGTTTGTCCTCCTGCCTCTGGAGGACGGACCACAAGTTCTCAGTGAGATTATGGTCTGAGCAGGTTCCTGGACCTAGACCCACGTAGTTCTGACTTTATCCTTCCGTCATGCTGGAGAAGACATTGTTCATCAGCAGACCTGTTGCATGGTTGGAGGGGTTCCTCTGGGAGGATGTTTAGGGATCATTCTTTATTCATGGCTGAGTGCGACTGAGGGATCGCCACCCTCACCTGTTAACAACAGGATCTGTGAAATGATGTCAGCAGGTTCTGTAGTGGGGGGGGGGGAGTTCAGGTTCATGGGAAAGCAGATCTTTGTAAACACATTTTATCAGAACATTGTGGAGTTTTCACAAAACTGGTGACAGTTTTTCTGAAACCCTTTGGCCACAGCTGCAGATGCTTTTTTCTGGTGATTAGTTTGACCTCACCGCTTGATTCCCAGGACTCTGGAGTTCCTCATGAGACACCTGTCCCGCCTGGCGGCGTTCAGCTACATCACCAACATGCACAGTAAGAACCTGGCAATCGTCTGGGCGCCCAACCTGCTGAGGTGAGCTGCTCTCAAACACACACACACACACACACACACACACACACACACACACACACACACACACACACACACACACAGCTATGACATTAAAAACGTGTCTAGTCTGTTATCATACCAGGGCTCAGCTGTTGATTTTCTTTGGTAAGATACATCTGTAAAGAATAACAAGAATTCGGTCACATCACGGAAGGTTTCCGGTGTCAGCTACAAGTTAGTTTGATAAAAAAGATCTCTTCACTCTTTTGTTTCTAAATAAACTTTGTTTTGGAAAGTAGAAAATGTTTCTCCTTTATTTATTAAAAGAGACATCATGAAACATCCTCTTTTTAGTCTTTAAATTCAAATTCAATTCAAAGATACTTTATTAATCCCGGAGGGAAATTAGAGTTTCAGCACACTCAATTCAGAGATCAGACATACATGCATAGACACGTGACAAGAATTGGTGACTGTGGTCATTCGCAACCCGAGTCACGCTACCGTTATTGATCATGAGGGTTTATACGAGGATAGAGTCGGGGGGGGGGCACTTCAGAGTTACCCCCGACAGAGAGGGCAGCTTTGCTATGCAAAAAACACCTCAGACAGATGGACAGAACAGTGTGTTGTGTATTTTAAGTCTCCAGGTGTGCAAAAAGAATTAAACTAGGCACTTCAGGTAATAATAATAAGTTCTAGGATAAAGTTTTGGTCTTAAATTTTAACCTGTTAAGTTTTCTCGATTTTTCTATTTCATGTAGTTGTTTATTTCATCAGGAAACTGTCAATTATGGTGATGGACTTCCAGCTATACACAGAGACAATTCGCCATTTTGTCTTCTTTGTAGTCCATTTAGAAAAATGCTGAATGTCCGGTCATTTAATCCACATGCCTCTCTGAACTGTCCCTCACATGCGTGTGTCTCGCTCTTCATGCATGAGAGTTGGCAGCCCTGAGACGCAGCTGGGCGGACAAATCTCCCCACAGGTTTTAAAAATGCAACTATAATGTTTCTGCAATAAAAACAATTTCTCTGTAAAACTACTAAAATGTCCGACTGGGGGGGTGCGGCTCTTCCTTCAGATTTAAAGAGACAGAACCAGACAGACTCCAGCCACTGGACCAGAGGCTCTCTGTTACCAGTATGTTGGTAAGAGCCCAGTACTGGGTGGGACTGGTGCAATCATCAGCCCAAACACAAGAAGTTGAAGAAGAAGAAGAAACTATCTTTTATAAACTCAACTCAGACTTTATTTCATTTACAGACATGTAACATGGCACCAAGGTGCTTCACATCAATCAATCAATCTTTAATCAATTTCCCTCTGGGATCAATGAAGTATTTTTGAATTGAATCAAAATAAAATCCAGTAAAAACGTAAAACCAACAGTGGGTAGCCCTAGCCCTGATGCTAACGCTAACCCTGGCTGAATAAAAGAGTCGTTTTAGAACCTGCCACTGAAGTAGAGGCCCTGAGAACAGTCCTTTGTCTTTATGTCTGTTTGATCTTGTATGTTTTAAGTGTTTTCTCTGGTGTAAAGCTAACTATGCGTCTGTTGCTGCTGCCTCTTGGTCAGATCGTCGTAAATGAGAATGAGTTCTCAGTCGACTCATCTGGATAAATAAAGGTCAAATTAAATCAAATTACGGATGGAGGAAGTTCGTTCCAAAGTTTCAGGCCTGCCACCGAAAAGGCTCTATGTCCTCATGTCTTAGACGGGATCTAGGGACCGAAAGCAACTTAAGGTTCTCGGAGCGAAGTGTCCGAGCTGGGGTAGGCGCCCATAATGGGGCTCTCAGTAACGCGGCGCCAGTCCATTCAGGGCTTTGAAGACCAGTAAGAGAAGTTTAAAACGAACCCTAGAAACCACCGGGGTTACATTCTTCCGCTTGTATAGATAAAGATAAAATTATCCATAAAATAATACAAGAACAAAAAAAACATTTTTTGTAATGTTTTTGTATTAATATCAGAACAAAAATGGAGAAAAAGAAAAACTGCAGATAAAAAAGATGAAGGAAGGAAGAACAGCTGGGGGTGCAGGGACAGAGAAGATCACCAGTGTATGCTGGTGTCCATGTAAGGCCCGGAGAACCAGATCCAGGATCAAACAGTTCAGCTGCTGTTCCAGAAGCACTAAAGAGCTTTCAATGTTTTCATTTAAACACGTTATTTTATTTCCATTTCTGATGATTTCTCTCTCGTTGCCAAAGGTCAAAACAAATCGAATCGGCCTGCTTCAGCGGAACGGCGGCCTTCATGGAAGTACGAATCCAGTCTGTTGTCGTGGAGTTCATCCTCAACCACGTCGATGTTCTCTTCAGCGCTAAACTCAGCTCACTAATAAGAGACGGCACAGGTGTGTGTGACTGCCACGCTCACACACACACACACACACACACATGGGTATTTTTGACCTTTAAGCTTGTAACCTCATCTCCAGGTCATAACTCTTTGTCTCGGCCCAAATCGCTGCTGGTTTCATCACCTTCAACAAAACTCCTGAGCCTGGAGGAAGCCCAAGCCAGGACCCAGGCTCAGATCAACTCTCCTGTCACTGAAGACAGCAAATACATCGAGGTTGGAGAAGGTCCAGCTGCCCTTCAGGGGAAGTTTCACACAGTCATCGAGTTTCCCACAGAGAGGTTTGTTGATTCCGCTTTCTGTCGGGCCTGACTTATTTTCCAGAAGATAATGAACAGCAGTAAAAGTCCTGGACTTTGTCTCCCTCTGCTGGAGCCGCCCTCCTCCTGCTGCAGCGTGCTGTTCTGTGTTAGTGAAATGATTAATTCATAGAACCGCTCTGATGCAATTCAGTGATTATTTCTTTGTCATCCAAAGTCTTTATTTAGAAGTTTTTGATCTAAGATTTTTTTGTTATAGGAAACGGCCGCCTATCAAATCGAAGAAGTCCCCTGTGGGTAGTTGGCGCTCATTCTTCAACCTGGGCAAGTCGTCGTCGATGTCCAAGCGTAAGCTGCAGCGTAACCCCAGTGAGCCCAGCGAGCTGAAGGCTATGGCTCTGCCTGGTTAGTCCTTCATCATCACCCAGACTGAGCCCAGAATAACCAGCTTAACGTAGGAAACTAGACCCGTGTGTGTTGTGTTTCAGGAGGCCGAGGAGACACTGTGACTTTAAGGTCAGCCAAAAGTGAGGAGTCATTGAGTTCTCTCCATAATGTTGAAGGTAACGCTGTGCTGCTGAAAGCCTTTTTACTCGCTCTGTGTGGTCTACTTTTGCAAAGAAGATGATATTCATGAAATGTATCCGTTCCTCTAGGAGAGTCCAAAGTGTACCGTCCTCGGCGACCACGCTCCAGCAGTGATGCCCTCTCAGCATCTTTTAACGGACAGCTACTGGACAGCCGGCAGCACTGCAACTCACACGATAACCTTGATGGTACCGAGGACAGTGATGGAGATGATGGGCCCATCTGTGTGCCTGCTCTCATCTCACCTCCCCGCTCAGCAGGTGAAGACGTGGACCTCAGCCCACCAGACATTGGCATGGCCTCGTTAGACTTCGACCCAATGTCCTTCCAGTGCAGTGTCCCCGATGCCTCCTACGCCTTTCCCGTAAAAGACATGCCAGCTGGGGAAGAGGACGCAGCACTAAAGAGGAGCCCTGGCGGCCTCTGTGGCAAGGCCAGCAGCTCTGACCTCATCTCAGCCTCCTTCCTTGCTAGCTTTACCTCCCCTTTGCTGTCCACAGACTACAACCTGACTGCAGGAGAGACGGGGGAGGGCAAGAAACTGATCACTTCATATTCTTACACCGATAAACCCACGCAGGCTGTATCGCCTATTAAATCTGCGAAGACCACCAGAATGACACCTTTTGCCACTTTGGAGATTTTCTCCTCAGAAACGTCTGACGCAGCCGTCCCCCCACAGCCACCATCTCCTCCGCTAATACCCAAAGATTCACCTCCCCTGATGAGCAACAAGCTGCTGAGGGCAGCTGAGCTGTCGCTGAGTGAAACCTTTCAAACGGAGCTGCACGCTAAGCTGTCAGCTTTTGACAATTTGACCAGGAAAGACCTCAGTGGAGAGGAAGGAGTCCAGCAGACACCAGCTGCCAGCAGCCAACAGCAACAAGGTAGGCAGCATCTACTGGTTCTTGATGTGTTTCTGTTTTTCCTTAATGGGTAGATTTCATTATAGTACTAGGGATTAGGGTTGAGCGTTGGTTTGAATCGGGACTAACTGTAATTTTATCTCTGAATTGTTCACTTTTTTTTATTTCAATTCCTAATTCAATTCCCAGGCTGCCAGCCGGAAGAAGAATCCGCGATCTCCATGGAAAAATCTGATCAACGCCTTTTAGATCCAATCACACCCTCTGTTTGTCACTTTTACCCTGCAGCCTGCAGAGTCCCTGAGAACAGCCTCTGTCCTTTCACTGCGCAGGCACGCAATGGAAAAATGTAAACAAACATGTCTGCCAAACTTACGCCGTGACAGCTGTGTAAAGTTTACATCTTGCAGCCAAACGGCGTGGAGGAAGCTCGTTAAAATGCATCAACACAGTGGATTTAATAGAAGTTTTAAACAACAAACTGGGCGGTGTGAGGTGATTTTGGCTTACTGCAGTAAAGAAAACCACACTCGGAGGATCAACAGTCAAACGTGGCCACTCACCAACACCCGTCTGTGTGAGCGTGACCGTCTGCCTATCAGTTAGTCTCATGTGTGGGACATTGCACACTTCCTAGCAAAATCAGCCTCTTTTTTTACATTGCCATTTTCTATGTACGTATATTATATATATATATATATATATATATAAAACTTTTTAAGGCCGGGAATATTAGCAGGTTAATTATTAGCATTATTTTTTTTATTTTAACGTGTTAAAAGTAAATGACGCAATTCATTCGACCCTCTCTCCAACCCGGAGCCAGCATTCTCCAAAATTTCTCCATCTTTCCCCCTGGACAATATGGCTAAACAACCATGTACTGAACCCGAAAACAGATCAAGTTTTTCTACCCATATTATGGACTCTCAGCATCGAGGATTCTTTTGGGCGGAGATGAACAAAGGCAGAGCGCTCATGCTCTCCACCGGCATCTGCATCTTGCAAACGGCCACAGTAACATTCTCAAAGCGGCGCCACCAAAATATGTTTAACGCACGATCGTTCATAACTGCTTTGGTACTTCCTGTCTTTTATTCATGGCTGACGCGCATCCCTTCTGCGCTCATCACCCGTGCTCCACGGCCGCGGCCAGGCAGCATTTTTTCTGGAGATCTAGATCCCGCATCTCCCTGTGGCAGATGCAGGACCAGAAGCAGACAGGACAGGATAAGAGTCACATACGGTAATAAGAAAACAAAACAAAGAGCTTGGAAAGGAAAGTGTTGGTAGATTTATCCCACTACATGTTTTAACGTTATAAAGTAAATATTATTTATAAGCTCATAATATTCATATATTCCATACAATTCAGATCACCTTCAAAACTCCGTCACACCCAGGGCCGTATCAAAGCATTTGGGGGCCATGCCAGCGAGGTGTCCCGTATTTATTTTTTGGGGAGTTGGCAATCCAAGTTCAACTGATGCTGTGGAAAATGACATTTACATTGAATAACGTAAGCTAACTGTGCTAGATTTATTTTCTGTTCATTGTTTACACAATAGACTTTTTCTAACCATGTTTTTGAACAGAAACTGGATTTGACTTTAGGTTTTCTCTGTTAAAGACAGTATTCAGTGATTTTACACACTTCAGCAACTTCACTTATTTCTAAATAAAATGAACCTCTTTTGTATATTTTTGCATGTTTATTACTTGCTAATTTTGGAAAAAAATTATAATAAAGTGCGATAAATATTTTTCTGATTTTTGATTAATTAGTTAATTTATTTTAATCGATTCCCAGCCTTTATATATATATACATATATATATATGTATATATATGTATGTATTTATATATATGTATATGTATGTATATGCATATGTATGTGTATATATGTGTATATATATATACAGGTGCTGGCCAGTAAATTAGAATATCATCAAAAGGTTGAAAATATTTCAGTAATTCCATTCAAAACGTGAAACTTGTACATTATATTCATGCAATGCACACAGACCAATGTAGTTCCGATGTTTATTACGTTTAATTTTGATATTTATAGGTGACAACCAATGAAAACATCAAATCTGGTATCTCAAAAAATTAGAATATTCTAAAGGCCAATGAAAAAATGTTTGTTTCTCTAATGTTGGCCAACTGAAAAGAATGAACATGAAAAGAATGTGCATGTATAGCACTCAATACTTAGTCGGGGCTCCTTTTGCCTCAATAACTGCAGTAATGCGGCGTGGCATGGACTCGATCAGTCTGTGGCACTGCTCAGGTGTTATGAGAGCCCAGGTTGCTCTGATAGTCGTCTTCAGCTCCTCTGCATTGTTGGGTCTAGCGTATTGCATCCTCCGCTTCACAATACCCCATAGATTTTCTATGGGGTTAAGGTCAGGCGAGTTTGCTGGCCAATCAAGGACAGGGATACCATGGTCCTTGAACCAGGTGCTGGTGGTTTTGGCACTGTGTGCAGGTGCCAAGTCCTGTTGAAAGGTGAAGTCTGCATCCCCATAAAGTTGGTCAGCAGCAGGAAGCATGAAGTGCTCTAAAACTTCCTGGTAGACGGCTGCATTGACCCTGGACCTCAGGAAACAGAGTGGGCCAACACCGGCAGATGACATGGCACCCCACACCATCACTGACGGTGGAAACTTTACACTGGACCTCATGCAACGTGGATTCTGTGCTTCTCCGCTCTTCCTCCAGACTCTGGGTCCTTGATTTCCAAAGGAAATGCAGAACTTGCTTTCATCAGAAAACATAACTTTGGACCACTCAGCATCAGTCCAGTCCTTTTTGTCCTTGGCCCAGGCGAGACGCTTCTTGCGCTGTTTCTTGTTCAAGAGTGGCTTGACACACGGAATGCGACACCTGAATCCCATGTCTGTCATGAGTCTCCTCGTGGTGGTTCTTGAAGCGCTGACTCCAGCTGCAGTCCACTCTTTGTGGATCTCCCCCACATTTTTGAATGGGTTTGTCGTCACAATTCTCTGCAGGGTGCGGTTATCCCTAGAGCTTGTACACTTTTTTCTACCACATTTTTTCCGTCCCTTCGCCTGTCTGTTAATGTGCTTGGACACAGAGCTCTGCGAACAGCCAGCTTCTTTAGCAATCACCTTTTGTGTCTTGCCCTCCTTGTGCAAGGTGTCAATGATTGTCTTTTGGACAGCTGTTAAGTCAGAAGTCTTCCCCATGATTGTGGTGCCTTCAAAACAAGACTGAGGGACCTTTTAAAGGCCTTTGCAGGTGTTTTGAGTAAATCAGCTGATTAGAGTGGCAGCAGGTGTCTTCTATATTCAGCCTTTTCAGAATATTCTAATTTTTTGAGATACCAAATTTGGAGTTTTCATTAGTTGTCACTTATGAATATCAAATTTAAATGTAATGAACATTGGAAATACATTGGTCTGTGTGCATTGCATGAATATAATGTACAAGTTTCACGTTTTGAATGGAATTACTGAAATATTTTCAACCTTTTGATGATATTCTAATTTACTGGCCAGCACCTGTATATATATACATATATATATATATATATATATATATATATATATATATATATATATATATATATATATATATATGTGTATATATGTATGTATATGTATATATATATGTATATATATGTATATGTATGTATATGTATATATATATATGTATATATATGTATATGTATGTATATGTATATATATATATGTATATATATGTATATGTATATATATATGTATATATATATATGTATATATATGTATATGTATATATATACCGGTATGTATATATATCCCATCCATACTTTCCCACCATTGCTTTGGAACTTGTACATAGTGGTTTTTCAAATGACATATCAAATTAGTGGTTTTGAAGGACTTACCACAACATCCCCCTAATAAAAAGCAATACCACACTGCTAACATAGCTTATCTGCTTCAGTTTAACGTCCCACAATCTTGTGTTGGATGACATGTAGATCGTGTCAAATGACCAAACAAACCCTGCGTGACCAACCGCCTTCCCTCCGGAAACAGATACACAAAAGGCAACTAGATGGAAATAAACACTTGTTGTTAATACCGGCCCAGTTTTATTTATCAGATCAAAAGAAATATGTATCTAAATCTAGACCAACCAACCAAAAAGTTATGCTTTGCTGGTCCGTTTAGGTGTGCTCCATTGTAGCCTAGCAGGTCTACCATTGGCCCAAACAGTTTTGTGTCTTGCCAATCACAACACTTCTCTTTTGGCTAGTTTTGCACGAGCGCTGTGACGAGAAAAACAACAAAGATGGTGCTCTTTTAAAATGGCTTGGGCACCAACTTTGGATTATTTAGACTTGGGCTTTTCTTTGTGGCAAGAGCAGATAGAGACAATCAGTAGTGTTTACCTTTAATTTCTGGAGCTATCCATCAAAACTTTGTTAAAAATGAATGAAATGTTGTCCGGTTGTTGAAACATATTGGCGGCTTCACCATTAACCATAAAAATCATGTCTAAAGTACACAGGAAGCAGGTCTAGCATCTTTGGGGGACACCATGTTTCCTTCTGGCCAGTTTGCAGTCCTGCGCCTGTCGATGACATCATGCTAGCTGATTGGCTGCACGCACGACTTACGGAAATTACTTTACTGTGTTCAAAAAAATTTAGGTAGTAATTCATTAAACACAAATTTAATAACAAAACTGATACACTTTCCAAAACATGCATAATTTATGTAGGAAGAGAAAGTGTAAAACTACCCTGAAAAGTATGTATGTACTGCCCCCTAGCGGCAGGAAACTACACACTGACACTGTAAGCCCTTTAAAGGACGTATTTGTGTCTTCTTCTTCAACAGTGCCCATTGACTGATTTCTGTAACGTTGAAAACATCACATTATTGCTCCTAATGGTCCTAACGCTGTCCAATTGCATGTGGAGACTGTTTGTAAGACAACCAAAATTCTGCCCCATGACAGAGTTGTTTCAGACTTTATATTTATTTATTCATCTTTTAGGCAGAGTCAACCATTTGAGATAAACCATCTCATTTACAAATTAAAATTAAAATTAAAGAACAAGATGACATGCACAACATTTTCCAAGCAAATCAATGGGACGAGAGCAAAAATAGACAGAAAAATATCAAATCAAAGGGTTACTGTAGATGCATAAATAATAATCTATAAAAAAATCTAAAACTGTTGCAGGTGGCCATTATATGTTCATATAACGAAGTTCTAAATACACGAAAAGATGTAATAGATTCAGCTGGTAATTGTTTCTAGTCCAATGGAGCTTTAATAGAAAAAGCCAGCTTCCCTGTGTCCTTTACGTATTTACATATACAGACTAGATATATCATGCATACCTAAAGGAAATCCTTCATCTTCTCAAAGCAACATGCCTGTCCCTGTCCTCCAAACCTGTCCCCCTGCTGCTATTTAAGCTCATTCACTGTTCAAATCCACATTCCTTCTATTTTTGTGTTCTAATAGGAGTCCTACCTCCAGACTCTTCAGAGGACCTGACCCCATGTTCCCTCGGCTCTTCTGTCCCTCCTCCCCCTCCGCCTCCTAAAAATGCTGCCCGCATGTTAGCCCTGGCCCTCACCGAGTCTGCCCAGCAGGTCTCTGTTCAGTCTCAGTCCTGCTCATCTGAGCCCCTCATCCCAGTATCTCCTTCTCTGCTGCTGCAGGAGACCTCAAACTTTCAGGACTTCTCACATCATCTGTCCCAACAATTCCAGGCTGCATCTGAGGGGGGAGCAAGAGCTACTTCCTCACCGCCTGACAATAATCCTACTCTCATTACCACATCCTCATCCTACTCCTTCACCTCCAGTCCTCCAGTCAACTTCCAGCCACTAGAGGGAGCCAGCCAAGCCAAGCCACCCGACAGTGCAGCTTTACCTGATATACAGCAGGAGCCGCCTACAACCCCCCCTCACAAATGTTCCCAACTTCAGCGTTCAAGCAGCCTGAGATCTCCAACCAGAAGTCCAGAGAGGCAGCAGCCTGTTCCAGCGTCGATCCCAGTTCAAAGCGTACCCAGCACCGCTCCAGCCACCACTACCAGTGGCAGCTGCAGTCACATTCTGTTACAGCCTGTTTCTGAGGTAAATACAGTCAGTTTTACCTGCCTAGATGTTGTTCTTTTTCATATAAAAATTCTCCTTAGTTAGCACGATCCACTCACATGTGAACTTTGCAGTGTGCTGAGACTTCCTTACATTTTTTAATCCCTATTTTTTTTCTCATTTTAAACATATTTTTAATCTTTTTTTAAATCTTTTTTATATCTTAATTTTTTGTTTTTGTGAAGCGCCTCTCTATATAAAAGATTGTTTTCATTTGTCCTCTCCCTTGTCTCCTGCCTGCTGAAACATTAAGAATTTCTCTTTCTGTGAAAATCTAAGCCGAAGCTTTTAGGAGTTAAGAGTAAAAGTGAAATGTTTCGAAATCCCACCAGTTAACATTTTCCTGCAGCACATCAGGAGCCAGAAACTCCTGTTACGGTAAGGGTCTGTCATCCAAAACAAAAGGACATCCCTCTTTATTCCTGCTTCCACATAAACACTAGCTCCACATGTGCTCCTATTTATTATGATAATTATAAATTATTTCCATGATAATAAAAACAACCAGTCCAAATCTGCTTATCTTTAGTTTCAGATGCCCTTTTTGAACTACGAATAGAATAAATACAGCAACACCATCTCTGTGTTACAGTAATAAGTCAGATATTTTCTGAAGTGAACTCCAGTACGCCAGTGGAGCTTAAGGCACAATGACTAGGTGTAAATCACACACACACCATGGACATCAGAACTTAGGCTCACTGTGGACCTTTCTTCTGCATTGTTGCCATATAAGAGGCTCGGGTATAGTTTTCAGTACAGTCAGTCGGATGTCAGAGTTCAGCTAAACGTTTGCAACATATCAGTTTTTAATTATGTTTTCTACAGAGAAATACTGTTTCCTTTATCCACCTTGTTCCTAGCCCCATGAGCCCTTGCGTGAAATATGCGACTTCTGGTCTGGCGTTGGTTTGCATGGAGGCCAATGATGGGTGATGCCATCCATTCATGCTAATCTACTTTTTATGGGTTTTTAAAGACGTAGATGAGGTGGGAACAGGATTTGGTGTCTTATTTTCTGTGATTTGGACATCTCTTCTCTGATTGGCTAACAGCAATGCGACTCTACCAATGACGGTCTGCTCTGAAACATTGATGTTTCGTGTATAATGTTAAACATTGAGCTTTATTGTAATGATTTGTCTGCTTAAAAAGCATAATTAATGTTGGGGTCTAAGGTCTATATTTATGAATTATTTTTAATTCAGGTTGAGAATGCAGCCAGACAGGGAAAGACCGGGTCTTCGTGCTCTGATGTACAGCCAAAGTGAAATGTGTGTGATCAACATCACTCATGTAGTCACAAACCTAACTTTCTCTGGTTGTTAGTGCAACCGTGAACATGTTCCCAAGTAGCTTTTTGGTGACAAATACATTTTTAATCTTCTTTAAATATAAAAAAAATATGCTACTAGCAACAAACTCAACATGCAAGCTGAAGGCTATGCTGTACTTCCGGCTTCTCACCGAATGTTGCTCGCATCATCGTCTCTGCATGAGCCAGCACAGGAATAAGGTGGATAAAACCATTCTCTAACCAGATCACAGTCATTAGCAATGGTTGAATGCAGCTTTGTGTTTTGGATTGGAAAATGTGTAACAAGCCACTGTAACAAACATGGACTTGTTTGTGTGTGTGTGTGTGTGTGTGTGTGTGTGTGTGTGTGTGTGTGTGTGTGTGTGTGTGTGTGTGTGTGTGTGTGTGTGTGTGTGTGTGTGTGTGTGTGTGTGTGTGTGTGTGTGTGCGTGCGTGTGCGTGTGCGCTTGTTTAATGTCAGGTCAAAGCTGAAGAGACTGCTCCACCTTCAGTCCCACTGGAACCATCCGAGCAGCCACCTCCAAAGGCTCAAAAACCTAAAAGGCAGGCGGTTTTACTTCCCCAACACCAAGCAGAAACTCAACAGCTGAACTTGTTTCAGATGCAACCTTGTCTTCCAGCACAGTCCCACGTGCTGTCACAGCCTCACACACAGTCCCAGATACAACACCAGCCATCTAAGGCAAGTGCAAGAGTAGCACCCAACACTGCTGAACCTGTTGAGAGGCCTTGGGAGGCCATTAAACCAGTGCAACCCTGTACAGAGTCTGCGAAGCATAATGTACCATGTGGACCCACACCTCCAGCTCCTCCTGTCCGCACTTTGGACAGCAAACTGGCCACTGCAGCACTCAGCCAAAGTGAAGCTTCCTACCACATCTTCGATGAAGGTTCTCAAACCAGCCACCTGGAGGAATCTCTACCCCATCACCCTCTTTCTCCTCGTAAGTCTTCTGCACACCAACCCGCCTACCTATATCACTTCAAAGGAGAACCAGTTCACATTGAACCTCCAGGAGCAGCATACTTCCACCAGAGGCCTCTTCATCTAGCACCACAGTCAGTTCCACACCATTACCGACCAGAGAGCATCACACCACACCCCAGCATGTCCAAGTCTGAGCCTCAGATACCTTACGGTGCCCGATTGGATAATCGATACAGCACTTTAGGCCCCAGGTCCTACCACCACTCCATGAAACTGAGAGGCAACCCTCGTAATGTATATGTATCACCAGGATCAGGTCACCAAGGTTACGTTAATGACCGAACCCACAGCTATCCGACCATCCGTAGAGTGCACTCTCTACATGTTCCCTCCACTATTCGCTCCTTGCCTATTCAAAGAACTGAAGTACCCCCAGAAGATGACTTGTTCTTCTACCATCGACCTGTGTACCAGTGCAAATCCTACCAGCAGCCTCCACTGCAGTCCTCTCAAACTGACTACCATGTCACCCAGCTACAGCCTTACTTTGAGAACGGACGAGTTCAGTATCGCTACAGTCCATACTCTGGTTCAAGCCCTTTGGAGTCACCTTTCTACGACATAGACCCATATGGCACAATCCGAGTCAGGCACTTGCACTCTTATGGCAGTCGAGAAGCTGGAACTGTTGGTGGGCGACCGGGTGGCAAGGCTGCTGGGTACCACTACGTTGCTCGCCATGTTCTTCCTCCAGGAAAAGAGCACAGCTTTGTCAGCAGGGACATGCCTCCAGGTCATGGCAGCAGTGATGCCGCTACCTACCTCCCATGGGATCCAGATGAGGCAGAAAGGCTTCGCATGCAATCCATCCGCAGAGAGAGCAGAGCCAGACTTAAAACAAAAGGCCCTGTCCTCTCGCAGTATGACAATATTGGCTTCTTCACCCCAGCAGATATATCAGGGTACGAAACCCTACACCTGCGTAGTAAATCTGACCCAGGTAAAGCTGTGCTGGCAGCTGCCGAGAATGGGCGTTACCTCCCAAGACACATGGCATCGGATCCTGATGTTCTTGTGTACATGGAGACCGATAAATATGTCCATGGCAGTGGAGTGGGAGACAAGTCAGACACTCTTACTAAGCAAAGTATATCCAAAAAATGCAAGTCCTCTCACTCCCTTCCTACGTCTCTGAGCCACGGTGTGTCCCATCAGCAGGAGGGCAGCCGACACGAGACCAAGTTTGAGACTAGTGATGGAAAACCTGGAAGAGATGTCAGCCGATCCAAGCACTGGCAGGAGTTTCAAAGCAATAGAAATGTCCAACCACGTTATGAGTGCCCTGATTCCGGGCCCCCCCAGATTAAAGCAAAGACAAGCGTCTTTCAGAGTACAAATGAACATGCTCCACGGGAACAACTTGTGCGCTCTAAACCAGAGCGATCATCCAGCGTCCGAGAGCAAACCAGTCAGAGCAAACCGGATCCAGGCAGAGACTACACCTATCCGAAACACAACACTAAAACCGTACAGTCTCACTACGACAACTTGGACGATTACCAGCCAGTACCTCAGCCTCAGGCCTCTGTCCAAAAACAAGGAGGCTCCGGCTCGTATCCAACCCCAGGTTTTTCTGTTAGCCACAGCAACTGGGCATACTCCACTGCACTGGGCCAAGGAGCCTTCATCCAGACTGATGTGGCCATGCAGAGGCCAGAGACAGAGATCCGTACAGAATGAAGGGGCGGGAGGGGAATAGAATTATCTTTAGCTGTGCAGAATAAAAACTGCAGCCTCTGCAGGACAGTGGACTGTTATATCCTTAATATTTTTCCGTCTCGGTATTTTTAACAAATTGTAAAGAATATGTTAAGACTGTTTACAGAGTCTTAAATGTACCTGCAAATAATGTCCATGAAGTCATTGTTATTGTGATTGATTGAGACAGTAGCCAGTCGTAAATATATGATAAATTGTGGTACTTTTGACAGAGACACCCAAAATTGTAAAAGATATATTCTATATAAATAAATAAATATATATGTATACAGATAGAATTACTTGACAATGGGGATTTTTGTTAGTTTTTTTGTGTGTGGCACTGGGCAGGAGCATCAGCCAGGACTAATGTTTGCATTTTAGAAATGCATGCACTCTTATTTCATACAGAGCAATTCTGTGTGGTTCTTATTGTGTTCTGTCTGAATGTTACGGTACATATGAATGACGGAGGACATGTTTAGCTCATCACTCCCTCCTGCTATTATGAAAATGATACTGTGGGTCCATGTTTGCTTTGATGGATGAACGATTTGATAAAAGCAGCAGCAGCCTCGGGCTCATTTTGGGTTATTAGACTGGTTATTGGAGTCTTGCTTCCTCTGTTCTTCTGTGCCATGTTGGGTGAGCCAAGTCAATAGAGATTTCACTAACTTATGATTGGAGTGTTTTGGTACTTGTCTGTTCCTGTTAGATAAGGGACCAAAGACTTGGCACAGTCCTTGCACATATGGGATAAACGTGGGAAGGTGAATTAATGTTAAAGTGTAAAAGATTTGTTTCTTATTTCTTTTTGATTTGTGGTACTTTCATAAACTGGACTAACTGAATAAAGCTGAAAATATTGTCTTTTCTGACAACATTGTGAAGAACTTTGCAGCTGCTTTGTGGGGAAAACAACTTGATTTGACGAGCCTTAAATTTTGTTCAAGAAGATATTTTATTTACTGTTATTTTCATAATGCATAAAGATTTAAATATTTCTCAGCAGTTTGAAGTTGAAAGACAATAGTTAATTTAGCTTTGATTTGGGAATGAGGGATGGTTGTTTTTCTTTTTTTCAAATGTGTGGGGCCAATTTTTTTTAGGGTAGAAATAGATTACATGGGGTACATTCATCCATTACTTTACTACAAGTCCATGTGGATAAGTGTAACGAACAGATTATGGTATCATTCAGTCTGTTTATATCCAGATGTACTCTGCTTGCAGGTGTTGGCCCTCTTGCCTTATCTAAAGCCTCTGTTCCTTCTCAGATGCGCTGTTCATGCTCAGGCACTGTGCTCCTGAATGTGACAACACTCATTTCACACCGGAAGAGTCTGATATGAATAAATAAAACTGTTCAGGAAAAGTTCATGTTTGTGGCTTTTATGTGGTTATGAACGTTCAAACTAAATCAAATCCTAGGGCAGAAAACACGTGTTTTATACATTTAGGCCTTTTAAACCTATCTGTGCCATCGATGACTAACCTGTTAACTTACAAACTAAGCTTAATGCCAAGTGTCTAATGATCTGGGGTGCCTTCCTGTTCGCATCAGGTCTGCAGAAGAAAACACCTGATTTCTAGCTTCTCTAATGTGGTGCAAAAACAATTCTGCTTGATTTCCTAAATTCTTAGTTTCAAAACCTGCACCAGCTCCCGTGAGAATGCTAGAGCTAAATTCCTTCGGCCATCCAGTTGGACCACATGCAAGATGAGTTTCTCAAGACGTATGAATAAAGTACATCATGATGTAAATGCATTGTGTGGATTTCTTCGTTAGGGCACGTGTGTAATAGGAGCGTTGGTGCTTATGGCCATCCCGACGTTTTACTTCGAACACCTTGCACAAATAACAGTCGTGGGTGTAAGAAACCTAATCTGCCTTGTCAGAAGCCAGCAGGCATGCTTTAAACTGGGAGGAGGTGGTGCAGAAGGAACGGGCAAAAAAGCCTGTATAGGCTGATTGGGTTTAGCAGTTAAATCATCCAATGCAGCGCAAAATCTATTCAAATTTAAGTGTTCTTAAGGAAAATCTATTAATTTTAAAATTTATCTATGAAAAGAAGAAAAAAATCCTATATTTTTATTTGTGCACTGCAGGCTTTTTGTTTTCGGACAGCTTCGTCGTGACACAAAAACGTTCCCAAATAAAAGTTCCTTCTGTTTTAACCCTAAACGAACTCATGGACCGTGGCGGTGCTTCCCGGCGCGCGCGCGCGCGCGCACACAGCTGACTGACCCTGGCGCCATTTTGCCTCCGCTCTGCTTCCATTGTGTGAGACATAGTAAATATCTGACACACAACCACAACACACTTGTATCGGAGCGAAGCAAAACAGGAAAACTCACCCCAGGTAAGATATCATATTGGCCTATTTTCTAATCTTGAAACAATGTTCACCGTTAGGTGATGAAAACGGGGCAGGTGAGGTGGTTTGGAGCTAATTTAGTGTTTAAATTCGACGCCGGAGTGAGAAAGCAGCTGCCTCGCTGACCAGAGACAAACGGCTCCGTACTTCCACCGCTCAGATAGCTGCTCCGCTTTCAGCGCCCGTTTCTACCCCGCTCTTCTGCGTTACACGGCGTCGCTTTTCCAGCCAACCTCCGTGTAGTGACACCTGCTTCTGCCTCCTGTGGTGTGTTAATAGTCGTGTGTCTGTACGTTTTCAGGTTTAATAGAAACATGTCTTAAGTTGACGTCCTGCCCGTTGTTTCTACATCGGTAGCTACTAGGCTCTTTCAGTCTGCGGCCATAGTCTTGCGGTATGGGGCGGGGCCATGCCCACTCGCCCCGCCTTAAACCTTCCATTGGAAACCGCTATTGGTCCTTTTACAATCCAACACTCCCCTGATTGGTCTGACTCACATCCGCCTGACACTCTGATAGGTGGAATATGAAGACCGTAGTGCTCTGATTGACTGGATGCAGTGTGTCTAGGCCAATCGTATCTGCATCGCAAGAGACACGCAAATGTCCCAGTCTCCCTTTCTCCTCCCACCGCAGAAAGAAGGGAGGACATGGGTTTGGGGGGTCTCAGGTTACACTGAGCCAACCGGCCTCCTGTTGGTCACAGAAGTCATGCTGGGTCTGTGTGTGTGTGTGTGTGTGTGTGTGTGTGTGTGTGTGTGTGTGTGTGTGTGTGTGTGTGTGTGTGTGTGTGTGTGTGTGTGTGTGTGTGTGTGTGTGTGTGTGTGTGTGTGTGTGTTGTGAACTGGACTGAAGATCAGTGACAAAAAGTCATCAGAATAATAAAACTATATTAACACACTTTTGGGTTAAAGTGATGATCCCATTATACTGGAAGTGATGAGAGAAGCACAATCAGGGTGAGATGATATTAGATCTGGGCCATGTCGCCCACCCTAGGCTCAAAGAGAATGAAATACTATAGATTTCATTAAAAATATCTTTCCACTCTTCTCCAGGTTAAAGCAGCTGAGTTAACAGGTGTGTCATTCAGGTAAACAACCTGGTCTATAACAGAGTGTGCACGCAAGCTTAGCAAATGATAGTTATAATAACAACAATAATAATAATAATATTAGAACATATTATTAATCCCACAGTGGGGAAATTCACTTGTCATAGCAGCTCTTAGAGAAAAGGAAGAAGACAAACAAGATTGCAGGTAAACACACAAAGACAGTAAGCTAGCTATTATTGTAACCTTTAACCCCTCAAGACAACGAATAAATAGGAAATGTGGATTTCCAGAAAAATGCATCATCATCATAATAATAAATATCCTGAAGTTTAAACTTGGTATAATTTAATCGTGCAGGTTTTCACGTAACATAATTGAGTTGATTTAGTTGCACTTATTTTATTACAAACTTGGTTCTCACAAAAAAAATGTTTTTGTTGTTTCCAAACAGCTTCAGATATTATTTATGAGTCATAGCTCAGTTGTGATTTACCACTGATGTTGTGTTACTGGGGTGTTTGGCCCCTGGGAGCAGGGCCCGCTTGGGGTGGCTCCTGCTTTTCCTGCTGTTCAAGGGTCCAGTTATGGCCAAATGACGTTTTTATGGATTCATCCTTTTGTGTTCAGAAATATAACCTCAGAAGATTCCCTGGGTATCTGCAAGGCCTTGTTAGATGGTGTCTTGAACGTTATTGCTGTGTGGCGGTGGGTTATGAGCAGGATGATTGTGAAAACACTAGGGTTCTCACACAGAGAGCCTGCTGGGGTCAGAACACACAAATTATTTAGAACATTTTAACTTGAGAAAAGTGAGAGTCATTGTTGAAGCTCTGCCAGGTGGAGAATTTTGTATCAGTGGACCATTTAGTTCACTAATTACTACCATTTAAACCAACATTACTGAAACACTCGATCTCAGATCGTTCTTCTATAATCAACTTCATCCAGCAGCCTCCGCCGGTCATTTTGACTGAGAATAAAACCGAACCCAAAGATCAGCATCTGAAGAACCGTTCCTAAAAGTTCTCAGTGAGCTCTTGAGGGAAAATCTCTAGTCAACAGGACAGTTTTGTTTATTTATTCATTAATGGTTACATGAACATTGATTTTACATTTCCATCAGGTGATACGCTGACATCATGGCTCGTACCAAGCAGACGGCTCGTAAGTCCACTGGAGGAAAAGCTCCACGCAAGCAGCTGGCCACCAAAGCAGCTCGCAAGAGCGCCCCGTCCACCGGAGGGGTAAAGAAGCCCCATCGTTACAGGTAAGGAGCCGTGTGTGTGTGTGTGTATGTGCATGCGTTCTGTAATGAAGTAGAATTACATTTAATTAATGAGCCATAAGGCGTGGGATTCCATAGGAAATATGAAATCGATCTTACGGATTGAGGGTTATTTAAACCAGAAGATTGGTTAATCTATTGCAGAGATTAGATAACCGTTACGTATTTACTCAGAGACAACAGAATAGAGAGAGTCAAGTTTAAAAGTTAAGAATTTTATTACTAACAAATTAAACTAGACTTCAAAACTAAATGTGTAGTGTAACTAAAAATGGATGAGACGGTGGATGGATGACGTGTGATGTTAAATCAGAACCAGCAAATCCGAAGAAGCGATTATTCTGACGGGAACTGAAGATGTTGTATCGCATTAAGCTTTGGTTAGCTTCAGAAACACATGAGACACCATCATGCCGGTCTACCTTGCCTTCGGTGGAAGTCCTCTGTAGATCAGGAATATCGAGGTCCAGTGAACCCTCTCTGGAACCGAGCCGGTAGGAAAAGCCGCGGTTCCGATCAAACCCGTCTTGAGTTACTTCCGGGCACACAACACGTTTATTGGCGTCTGGTGAGACCCAAGCCTGGGTCCGGAAGGTGGAGCTTTTGTTCTGAAAGGAGCTGTTACTGAAGGTTGGTATAGCGACTGGATTTTTCAGCTTGTCGTTGTTCTTTCAGTTAAAGAGTTTAGATCAGGATTGGCCACTCCGTCACATTCTCTGGAACGCTTTGAACTGGCGTTAGAGCTGGCGTGGCATAGTTTTATACTTCGGATGTTATGGTTTATTGTCGAATGAAAATTACCAAACACCATCAGAACCACGCCTCCGTCAGATCTGTAAGATTCTGATTGGATCAGTGAAAGGAATGTGTTATGTCTTTTTAACACTACGGGAAATGAGTCCTGTTGGAACACTTAAAGTCATATTACTTATTAAATTCTATAGGATCATAATAAAGTAATAAATATTTTGATTTCACAGGTCGGTCACATCTTATTTATTGACTAACACTTTGATGGATTAGCTTGATTAAAATAGAGTTCTTTGATTAATTAAAAGAAAAGAGTTCAGTCTTCATTCTTCTGTTGAGCTGAAAATAAGCAGGTTAGAAGGAATGCATGAGACCTTGAGTTATATCTCATGCAGACTAGTCTTGAGCAAAGAAGGGAAAAACAAGAGTCATTCCGTTCCGTTCCGTTACATATCCCCCCTTTTCAATGGTATGGTGGTCCGTGCAGAGACCACCTGGCGTTGAACAAACCAGAGTCCTAAAGGGACTCAGATGACAAGGGAAGGTGTAGTTCCTCCGGAAGAGGCCAACAGTGGTGAGGTACGAACCCCACTCCGAAGAACAGTCTATGGTTTCAACAGTCTCGCATAATCCCTTTGGAAGCACACAAGTCAGCAAATTAGTAAGGTATCCACGTGGGGTAATAAGTTGAAGCAGGAGCAAAGCTTTTCCTATCCACGGGTAGGGAATAATTCCAACAGTATATTGATCTTTGTAATTGCACTTATCGTGATTCAGTGCGGGAAAGAGCAGCAGGCAGGTCAGGTCCCAGTGAGCGAAGTATCCCAGCAGCCATGCCGGAACACACGGTCGTCCAGGTCCTACGAGCCGAAACACCCATCAGGAGGAGCGGAATCCGACAACGAGTCACGGGTCCACCCCAGGGAAGCGAGGATCATCAGCGAAACTCAGGAAAGGAGAGAGAGCACAGCACAGGGCACCTCAATGTAGAAACAACATAATGGCGTCTCATGCAAATCAACAAACAAAAAGAAACCTAACACTGTGAGTACATGTGTACTATGCATATGTTTTACGTGAATTAGCCTTTAAGTGAAGAAATGGGTGCACTACCACTACGTTTACTGCAAAAAAGGTGGTGCTGAAAGCATAAAATTAATCAAACTCTATCTGATATGAGAGAAATCACTGCACTAAATTAACTCTTTATGAGAATGAAGGGCAAAAATTGGTTATAGCCCTTTAAGGTAAGTTAACCAAGTCAATCATAAAGTTCTCAAACTTAATTACCCTAGCAAAAGTACTATAAAAAGATAGTTATGTAAGTGTCAGAACACTAAAAATGTAAATCAGTGAAGTTAGTAATCCCTAACTGTGAATGTACCCATAAGGAATTGTGATTAGTGAAAATAATAAAAAAAATAATTGGATAACAGTAATATGTGGACTAAACCCATCTACTGTTAACTACCTGATTACCTGACTTCAGGAACCCACAGCATGTTCATCTCCAACCACCCAAGTCTGCACGTCATGTATAAACAGGAAAGACAACCATGCACACACACGAACATACAAACTTGTGTAACTCAAGATAGAGAGCTATGGAACCGACGAGGTGCGAAATCACCCCCCTTTCGAAGTCGGTAAGTTGTTGGTGGTAGAATTGACCAAATTAGTGGAACCCTTGTGCAGTTTGATTTGGTCCCTGTGGACCCATTTGTAGACGGGCTCCTTGTTTGTTTGGGTAATCTTGATCTGATACACGACTGGAGAGAGCTTATCTGTTATCAAGTATGGGCCTGAACATTTGGGCAAAAGTTTCTTAGCCAGCTTCCCAGAGGTGTTCTTCTTGTTACCAGTTTTAGAAGCAAAAATGTAGAACATGGCCTTATCACCTACGTTGAGTTCAGAATGTGAGGCCTTCTTATCGTAATAAGCCTTCCTGCCTTCAGCCGATTTCTCCAGATTTGTCTGTGCAAACGAGAATGCTGCAGGCAGATAGTTTTTTAGGTCGTGCAAATATTGTTCATTCGTGTAAGCCGGGTCTGCTTCGGACTGAACAGGTTGGTACAGCAGGTGAAGTGGCAGGGTCATTTGTCTACCCGTCATAATTTCAAACGGGGAGACACCAGTAGACTCGTGAGGGGTGGCCCGTATGGCCATGAGGACCAACGGAAGCTTCACATCCCAGTCTCGGTGGTTAGAGGACACGTACTTCTTCAAAATGCCGACAACCGTTCGGTTCATCCTTTCGACCTGGCCGGAAGACTGGGGGCGATGGCTAATGTGGAACTTGGCCTTCACACCCAACAGTTTCCAAAGATGTTCCATCACTTCAGAGGTGAAGTGAGTACCCCTATCCGAGTCAACCCAAGTGGGCAGACCGAACCGGGCAAGGACGTGATTCATCAAGAGAATAGCTGTCGTTTTCGCCGTGTCATTAGGTGCTGGTAGACATTCAACCCACTTTGTGAATGCACAGGTCACGGTCAAGATGTATTTATTACCCCTGCTGGACCTGGTCAGAGGCCCCACCCAATCAAATTGCAAGTCCGATCACGGAGTGGACGGTCCCTTTTTCTGTAGGGGAGCTCTGTGTGCGGGGTTGGATGGCTGAAACTGACAACAAATCAAACAACGCTGGACGTGGTCTGACACGCCGCGACGCATCCCCGGCCAATAAAGCAACCTGGCTCAGGGCTCCCAACGTGGCCTTGGCACCTGTGTGTCCAGCGGAGGGAGAGTCATGAGCTTGCTTGATCATGTCCCCCCTCAGTGGCTGTGGCGTGACAAGGACAGGCGGCAAAAGAGGCTTGGCGGCGTGCATCAGCAACCCTTCAACCATTCTCAGCGTGACCCGAACACGAAAGAGAGCACGGAGCTCAGGAACGGAGTCAAGCTTGGTGGAAGAAGGCAGATGAGTTGTAGGATCAGAAAGGTACAGGATCATCTTGCTTATAGCAGGGTCCTGGGACTGAAGACTGACAAGATTGTCACCAGAAAAGAGAGGTTGAACAGACACCACACCCTCGGATGGTTTGGAGGTGGACGCGTTAGCGGCCTGAGCTCAAGTCACGACACACACACAGGGTGGGTCAGACCGAGAAGAGACATCCTCAGGAAGCAGAAAGGGGTTGAAGACTCATGGACTACCATCGGCCGCACCCTGTTTGGCAAGAGAGTCTGCACGGTTGTTCAGATCTTTATCAGTTCCGGGTGCACGAGAATGTCCTTTGACTTTACGCCAATAAACGTGCATGTCATGTGCCGTCACTAGGGCGTCACATGCCATGAAGAGGTCCTGATGTTTAACGGGCTTCCGATTAGAGGTTTGGAACCCGTTACTCTTCCAAGAAGGTAGATGACAAATGAAACTGAGACGCACTTAGTCCGAGTCCGTGCAAATCACCAGCTCAAGGATGCCACGGCCCCTAGCATGTTGTAGTGCTATCAAGATCCCAGCCACTTCTGCAAACTGTGAGGTCTTAGAACCCAACCAGTAACATTGGGAGTCCTTCTGGTCAGCGTTCAACCAGACGACACCCACGCCTGCCCTAGGCATAGGACCATGTCGAAAAGAACTGCCATCGACGTACACTGTCGGCAAGTCCAAACAGAGAGACTGATCGAAGTAGTGGTGGTTGGGGTTTTGAAGAGTCTGAGGACGGCTAGCTGGCGGGACTGATGCGACAGTGACGTCCGAGCAGTGTTGGCATGCAGCCAAACCCATGCCACGAGGGCTACGTCGGTTCTGGACGTAGCATACTTTGATGTCGAAGCTTTGAAGAGCCAGCAGCCATGACGCGATTCGCTCATTGGTCACCACACCATCTCAGATGCGCTGACTGTTAAGGAAGGTCACTGGCTGGTGCTGAGTCTCAATGATGATTTTCTGTCCACCAGTGTAGCTAGAAAAGTGTTTCACCGCCCACATGGTGGAAAGCAAAGCTTTTTCACAGCCAGAGTACTTCAATTCAGGACCGGACAAGAGCTTACTAGCGTAGGCTACGACACGCCTGTCGCAGTCGTATACTTGGTAGAGACCAGCACTCAAACAGTGAGCTGAGAAACCGACCTCAAGGTAGAACTCCTTGTCGCAATCGGGGAGCGCCAAGCACGGAGCTGAGTGTAACGCGGCCTTCGGGTCATCCATGGCCTGTTGCTGCTGCTCAGTCCACTCGAAAGGCACATCCTTCTTCAGTAGATTAGTCAGAGGTCTCGCTATCTCAGCGTAATGTTCTACGAACTGGCGCGAGTAGTTGCACACCCCTAGGAAGCTCTGACGTTCTGAGACATTCGTAGGAGGTGTGATGGTGGCCACACCTTGAATTCTGCCAAGTTGAGGCTGCATCCCCTGTGGTCCCACAAGGAGGCCAACAAACTGAACCTGTGACCTGCACCACTGACCCTTGGCGAGAGAAATCTTTGCAGCTGCGAGCTGACCCATGACGTGGTCCAGCTCGGACAGGTGGTTTTCCAAGATACGCTTACGAACAAGAATGTCGTTGACATAGATGAGGGTACCTCGCTCTCGAGCATCAGGGCAGGCTTTGTCCAAGAAGATGTTGAACTCAGCTGGCGAGTTGGAATAACTAAAAGGACACTGAGTGAAGGTGTACTTGCGGTTAGCAAAGGAGAAGGCTAGTTTGTGTTGGTCCGATTTATGGACAGGAATTGTCCAAAATCCAGATGCAATGTCAAGGGTGGAAAAGTATTTAGCATCTTTCACTTTTGGAAGTTCTTGTTCCAGGCGCGCCATTGGCCACCTAGACAAGGGAACCTGTTTGTTGAGTTGCCTGTAGTCAATGGTTAGTCGCCACTTACCATTAGGATTCTTTACTGGCCACAATGTAGCCGAGTAGGTGCTGTTGCAGGGCCGGATAATCCCTTTAGCCAAGAGGCTTTCAATGATTTCCTACCCGAGGAGCGCCCCGGCCGCCGCCGCCCCTGACCACCGGCCCCAAGGCAGAGGGCTCCGCAGAGGAAACACTGGAGGATTAAAATATATAACATGTAAAATAACAAAAGCTAATATGGATAAAAAGTAACTGATAAAAAGTGATTATAAAGATAGTAAAAGAAAACATAATCATGTAAAAACACTAAGATGTAGATAAAATTATAAAATTAATTAAAAGAGATAAATATGTATATATAGATATAGGGATGGGTACCGAATTCTGTACTTTTTAAGGTACCGACCGAATTCCATAGTACCTACCGAGCACCGATTCACGTCATTTCAAACGGTGCCTCGTTTCGGTATCCGTCCATCATAACGAGAACTTGCCTAGACAGCTGCGCATGCGCAAGAGCGTTATGTTGTCGGTCCCTGCGAGTGAGTTGTAAACAGAGCAGCATGGTAAAAAGAATGCACGCTAACGCTTGGGTCTACTTCACTAAATGTGATGGGTAACTGGGTGATGAAACCAGCGACAGACAACGATCTAAGTGAGTCATCCTCATCTTAATCTGTTCCGGTAGGTAAATAAAATGTTTAAGATAACGTTACCTTGATATTTTAGCTTCCGTTTCGCTAATGGTGCGTTCGCTTTCTCCTCGGAACTCCGATTTTCCGCCTAGAAGAACATGAACGTGCTCTAAAGTTTGGCTTCACTTTACTAAATGAGACGGGTGATTGGGTGAAGAAGAAACCAGCGACAACGATCTAAGTGTGAGGCATCATCGTTTTAATCTGCTCCAGCAGTTAAATAAACTGTTAAAGATAACGTTAGCTTAATATGTTAGCTTCCATTGCCACCGTTGTTATCAGCTAATGGTGCGTTCGCTTTCTCCTCGGAAATTCTAACTTCCCAGTAGGAAAAATCAAATGAAAAAAGACGGCAAAAGGAATGATGATATTCAGTAAATTTAGTTCACAGTAAAGATATTTGCTTCAGTTTAATTATCAGCTTATAAAACTACAAGGATGATGTTAAAATACAAACAGTTGAATGTTATTTATCGTGATATTTATCAAATATTGTTACATATAGAGAAAAATATATATTTAATTATAAAAGAGAATTAAAATAAACACTCAAAAGTATCGAAAATTGGTACAGTTAAGTACCGGTATCGATTCGTAGGTACAGGGAATTAGTACCGGATCGATTCAAATGTCAAAGGTACCCATCCCTATATAGATACATAGTGATCAGTTAAAAGCTAAGCTAAAAAGGTGGGTCTTGAGCCTATTCTTAAAAGCCTGGACGTTCCCTTCGGCCCTGAGGTCCTCTGGCAGCCCGTTCCAAAGGCGAGGGCCGTAGTACTTGAAGGGCGCCTCGCCGTGGGTGTGAGTCTTAACTTTAGGGATAACTCGGAGACGGCTGCCAGAGGAGCGCAGAGACCACGAGGGTTTTATATAGTAAAAGCATTTCTGAAAGATAAGAAGGCCCAAGACCATTAAGACACTTAAAAACCATTAAAAGAACCTTAAAATCAATCCTGAAACATACGGGGAGCCAGTGCAGTGATTTCAAAGCCGGAGTGATGTGCTCCCGCTTCCTGGTCTTCATCAGGACACGTGCTGCTGAGTTTTGTAAAAGTTGTAAACCTGAGATGCTCTTTTTGGGAAGACCAGAAAGCAGGGCATTGCAGTAATTAGGGCTGTAGCGAAGCCTCGACGAAGTCGACGGCTCGATTCTAAAAATTTGTCGATGTCAGATCCGGAAGTCGACGCACCGCGCCCACTTGTTGCATCCCCAGGAGTTTGTAAATAGAGGAGGAATCTGCCTGTTTTTCCTCTAGTTCGCCCTCTTCACCGCCTTCACTAACATCTCCGCCAAATACCGAAGACCCGGAACAATGTCCGTCCACTACTAGATTCCTTTCCTGTTTTGCCCGCCTTCGTCTCCCGGCAACAGACAACAACTTCCGGGGTCAGATGCGCTGCTTCGTGTCTATCGCAGATGTAGAAAATCACCGGGAGCGTTTCTCCCTTCATTAAGGAGCTTCTTTCAGACATTAGGAGAGCTGTTTTGGTGGTAGCAGTCTCTCCTCCGTGCTGGTCTGTTTGCTGCTGGGTGTTTTTGGTTTATTTAAACTTGGTAACTTGAACTTAATGTTGGTAAAGCTACTGTTAGCATCTTCGCTAACAGCTTCTTGCGTTGGGATAAGCTGTTACGTTTTGGTTTAGAGTTCATCTTTTTTGTGGTGTAGATCTCCCTTTTATTACATTTAGAGTGTTATGGGTTTTCGGTTTAGTGTAAAATATCACCTGAGTTTGGTTTAACCCGTAACACCACTCGCCTCACGCACATAAGTGACCAAAACAAAGCAGCATGGAGACACTCCATCTTCTACCACCTCTCAGGCAGCAGCCTGCACTCCCAAGTTCTACACATCACCAGAACATAACCAACCAACACAATAAACGCAGTGTTATACAAAATGGAAGGCCTGTAGTGTTTATCCTCTCAGTAAGAATTTATCAATTTTTTTGAGGAATTTATTTGAGATTTTCTGGTTTTTGTTAATTGTGCAATAGAAAAATAATCATTAGATTAATCTTCTAAATAGTCATTAGAATAGTCGACTATTCGATAAAATAATCGTCAGAATAATCGTTTTAAAAATAATCGTTTACCCCCAGCCCTAGCAGTAATCAATTCTACTGGTTATAAAAGCATGCACTAGCGTCTCTGCATTGGCCCAAGAGAGAATGGGGCGGACTCTGGCGATATGCTTAAGATGGTAAAAACCTATTATTGTGATGTTTTTAATGTGGGGGATAAAAGTCAGCTCAGAGTCGAAAATAACGCCCAGATTCTTCACTTGTAGTGATGGATAAAAATACATTGATTGTAGTTTAGGTAAAAGTTTCTCTCTCTGGGCCTCAGGACCGATGACTAAAACTTCAGTTTTGCCCTGGTTGAGCTGGAGAAAGTTTTCAGTCATCCATGATTTAATATCTAAAATGCAGTTAAAAAGTGTTTCCATTGGCTGTGCGTCATCAGTACACACGGAGATGTACAACTGTGTATCGTCAGCGTAACTGAAAATTCACCCCGTGTCTCCTGATGACGCTGCCCAGAGGGAGCATATAGAGGTTAAAAAGCACTGGGCCTAGAATTGAACCCTGAGGCACACCTCATGTGATGCTGTGGACCCCAGAGGAACAGGAATCCAGACTCACCATAAAAGTCCTGTCTGTGAGGTAGGAAGTGAACCAGGTGTGGTTTTGTGTTTCAGACCTGGTACTGTTGCTCTGAGAGAGATCCGCCGGTACCAGAAGTCCACTGAGTTGCTGATCCGTAAGCTGCCCTTCCAGCGCCTGGTGAGGGAGATCGCTCAGGACTTCAAGACAGACCTGCGTTTCCAGAGCGCCGCCATCGGAGCTCTGCAGGTGTGTGTGCTACAGTGTAGTCGTAGTTACCTGACCATCATGCTGCTAATACCTGTGGTGGTTCTGTGTCTGTGCAGGAGGCTAGTGAGGCGTACCTGGTGGGTCTGTTTGAGGACACTAACCTGTGTGCTATCCACGCCAAGCGTGTCACCATCATGCCCAAAGACATCCAGCTGGCACGCCGCATCCGCGGGGAGCGTGCTTAAGCGCCCGTATTCTGTCTCACTGCGGTCTTGTTTTTCTTTCCTTGTCCTGCCCTCACACATCCCCCCCCACGCCCCCAGTCTCTCAGTAGACATTAGGGCAGGGGTGGGCCACTCTGACCCTGGAGATCTCCCATCCCTGTTTTAGTTGTTTCTGTGCTCCTAAACACCTGAATCAACAGGTGAATCAGGCGTTTTGGAGCTGAGAAACTGCTAAATCATGCTGGCTAGGGGCCCTTGAGGGCCGGGGTGGCCCACCCCTGCAGTAGGGTAACTCTGATTATGAACGTATAGAAAAATGTTGACGTCTGTCTCTGATAAAATTTTTTGTCTTCATCAGATGTTTTTAGGGTACCCTTTTCTGCATGTAAGGAGTTTTACTGATCAGATGGACATGTGCACTCATACTCTGGGTTTGGGTGTGTCACTAACAGCTGAAGCACAGGGCCAAGGGGCTAGTCTGCTTAAGGGGAGCTGCAACTTCCACAGCAGGGTGCTATTAAAACTAGTCTCGAGGCCCGTGTCTCTGAGCACCCCCGATCCTGCCCAGCATGGCCCCGCCCTCACCTGGAACAAGCCTGGGGAGCAGATGGACTGATGTTCTGCTTGTGTGGACCTGTCATTTGTTTAAAGTTGTAGATTTGGTGTGTAAGTTTTTACATCTCACAGAGAAGCGTCCTTTCTGTTTTCACGTACTACATTATCCGAATGAAGAGTAATAAAACAGCTGATGGTTCTAAGCAGAGACCAGACTATGATTCTAATGGCCGCCACATGGGGGCGCCAGCTGATCGTGCTGCTGGTGGTATAGTGGATGCCTCTGCATGTAAAGGGTCTGTGTGTCTCTGTAGATCTGAGCATTTAAAATGTCCCTTTCTTGGAATTTGTGATACAGAATATAACCTCATTCTCTTTTCTTTTATATTTTTTCTTATTGCTCGAGATTTTCAGACGTATAAATAAGCTGATCTTTGTATTTTCCAAATTTCTCATAATATGGTGGTAATAAATAGATGTTAGAACAAGTAAAAGTTGTTTTATTTGCTGAATTATAAAGGTTTTGCTTTTCATAGTAAAAGTGGGTATAAATAAACTGCAGCAGGAGCCCAAGAGCAACATGGATCTGTAGCATCAGTCCACGGCCTCGCCACATCCATAGGGGCCTGGGCATGTGGCCAGAAGGCCCCCTGGTGGAGGTGGGGTGGGGGGGTTCTTTTATGGCACTTGCACACTAGCATCGGCTCTACTTCTGGACCGGGTTTGAAGTGTTCTCTTTTTTCCCACAAGCAACCAGAAGTCTATCCCGGACGGTCTGCCTGGAGCCGAACTGGTCTGCTGACTGATTGGCTGGCTCGAAATCACACCTACCAGGAAGGAGCTGATTGGGGGATAGAATCAGCCTGTGGGGGCTTCCCTCATGTGCAGTTCCTTATCATTCTGGATGCTATGGAGTTAATGAGCCTCTGGCTGAAGCAATTTTTCTCTGTATCTCACTACTGCGAAGAGTGCACATACACAGTGCTGTCAGACAACGCAAAGCAGGACCCAATACCAGAGTCAGGTCTCCAAAAAAATTACTCGGACTGCTTTTGTTTGTCCCATTAGTTGTCACACAGACAACACGTGAAGTTTGTTCTCTGTGACAGTGTGAATGTCCTGTCACTGTGTCCCGATTGATCGTGCGCCCTGGCTACTTGGCCAAGGGGATGTCCCCTTGGCTGACTGGTCAGCGCGCATGACTCACCCGGGAGTCTGGGGATCAAATCCCGCCCAGGTTCTCGTTTCTCCACCTTGCCACATCTGCATTTGACCCATCCCCAGGGGAAGCAGTGAGCTGCAGACATGGCTTTGCTCGGGAACCATTTGGCAGTTTAACCCCCCAATTCAACCCCTTAATGCTGAGTGTCAAGCAGGGAGGCCTTGGGTCCCATTTTTTCAAAGTCTATGGTATGACCCAACCAGGAATCGAACCCAGATCTCCCAGACTCAGGGTGGACACTCCACCACTAGGCCACTGAGCTGGTCTAATGTTTGATGTCATATATTAAGTAGTTCCTCTCCACTGCCAGGAATAAAGCCATAAAAACATGGCATTGCACTTCTGGTACAATGCTGTGAGTAAATAAACCGTTGGGTCACACGTAATCTTCAAATGAAATTGCATCATTGCAGCACTTTTATTTTGAAAATTACTGGAGATTTTATAATGAAACAGTTTGTGATTTCCTGTCTAGTCCCATGTTAACTACGGAACTTGACGTGTCCAAGAAGTGAATAAACATAAACATAAGAAGTGGCTCGCGGCCAGGCCCCTGGTCGCAATGTGCTTAAACCCCAAAATGTTGTCAATCTGTGTCTGCTCTTGGGGAAAGTGTTGCCAAGTAAGTCTGCCGTAAATGTATTGTCAAAGACCAACAGGAAGTGATGCAGCCTGTTTTGGCAAGTACCAAAGTTGTGTAGCATAAACCTAGTTTATAACTCATAGTATTGGAATGGCAAATGTCACATTTACACTCTGTTAGACAGAAGTGTCCTTGCTAGGCCCTTAGGCAAAAAAACATTTTTTGATGAAACCTTCATGTCACAATTAGAGATTAAACATTTGGGACATCACCACCCTGTGGATTTTAACATTGAAGAACTTTGAGAGATTTTAAAAAATTTAAAGGGGTTAATTTGAAACATTGTACAGTTATTGAAAAGTATGCAAAGATGAAAGATCTAGACTTTCTTTTCAAAAAGAAATGTGGCGAGTGACTATTTGTAATTTCATGTATTTACTGCTTTTGCCAAATAGATAAGAAACTTGTGTCTGTTCTAGTTTTGTTAGATCTCAGTGCTGCCTTTGACACAGTTGATCACAATGTTCTTTTAGAAAGGCTTGAACATGTTGTAGGGATCAAAGGAACAGCGCTAGGCTGGTTTAAATCCTACCTGTCTGATAGATTTCATTTTGTAAATGTACATGACAAATCATCTTCATACTCCACGGTTACTTGTGGAGTACCACAGGGTTCAGTGCTTGGACCAATAGTTTTTACTATATGTATGCTTCCAATTGGTTAGGGTTAGAGTGGGAGTGGGAGCTGGCCGTCTGGTTGGGGTCTGGGGTAGTGGGCTGCTTTGCCCTGTGTTGGGCAGGGTGGCCTGCTCATTGTTACCCCAGTAAGAGTCATACCATCTTCTGGGTCCAGGAATGGCTGAGTCCTCTGTGCAGCAGTACCTGGACTAAAGTTTGCAGGGTGTGAATGGGAAGTGTGAGTGGGCATATGACGTGTGTTCTTGTGTGACATTAGGTTGGATGTGTTTGTGTGTGCGCATGAGAGTGGAATTGTGCAATTGTGTTTGTCTGTGACGGTTTATCTGTCAGGTAGGGCCTTGGACTCCTCTCCTCTCCTGGGGCATCTTGTGGCACTACAACTTGTTGGCATATTCTCCCCCGCCACATGTCATGCTGGTAGGTGGTGGCTCTGTCTGCCTGTGTATTTGTATTTTTTACACATTACCTTGGGCTATGGTTGGCACTAAATACAGGTCCTTCTCAAAACATTAGCATATTGTGATGAAGTTCATTATTTTCTGTAATGTACTGATCAGATTCATTACACATAACTGAAGTAGTTCAAGCCTTTTATTTTTTCTAATATTGATGATTTTGGCATACAGCTCATGAAATCTAAAAAAATTAGCATATCATGAAAAGGTTCTCTAAACGAGCTATTAACCTAATCATCTGAATCAAGTAATTAACTCGAAACACCTGCAAAAGATTCCTGAGGCTTTTTACTCCCAGCCTGGTTCATTACTCAAACCCGCAGTCATGGGTCAGACTGCCGGCCTGACTGCTGTCCAGAAGGCCGGCACTGCACTCTGCAAAGCAAGAATCATAGAGCAATCTTGTGTGGTTAAATTGGAAGGGAGGAGGCTGAGGATTGGTCCTTGTGGAGCACCATGGGGTTGAGTACAATAGTGGAAGAGGAGACATCAGTTTGGATCTCCACAGACCGCGAACCTGCCATCAGGACATTCATCTGATGGTTTCTCGTGCATAACAACAGTGTGTTGACTCATGTCTGTCTTTTGCCAACCAGTAAAAAGTAACCTATGTTTGACTTTTAACAGTTTCACACGTGCTTAAATGTTATTTCTGTTCTTCATTATCTTAGCTGAAGTTTTCTTTCTTGTGTCGATTTTTTAAATTCTGCATTCACCTTCTCCAAGGTCTGCAGGGAGCTCTCCATCCCCCATCACATCTGCTCCTCCATGGGATTACAGTGCAAATGTTTGTCTGAAACATACCGTGCTGGGGGAGATTACAAGTGTTCTGCCCTCTTTGAGAGAGGTTATCCAATCAGGGTGTGCAGACTCAGGGATTAACCAATAGCACCACAGAGAGGGAGGGCATTGGGATTAAACATAGCACAGAATGGGATTAGGCCAGTGTTGACTGCAGAAAAGTGCTTCTGCTAAAACATTTCCTTTGCTCTCTAAATAGTTTAAAGCAAAAACATTTTACATGATTTATGAAAGAAAACACTTTTGTTTGTTTTGATTTGTTCAAAATTCAGGTTTTTTAATTTTTAGGGGTTATATTTTATCAGACATCATATAAACATCATCAAACTGTCTTTCTACTTCATCTATCTATCTATAGATAGATAGATAGATAGATAGATAGATAGATAGATAGATAGATAGATAGATAGATAGATAGATAGATATATTACTGAATGCTGGATGTAAATCGATTGGATTTATTTGTGTTAGGAAACCTACACAGTTTGTAATGGAAATTTCCTCCACCACCAACCAAATACACTCTTCACTCACTCATGTAAAATATTTGCGCACATTTGATGTCATAGAGCAGTTTTAGTAGTAATCAGGTCATGTGGGGATTACCAAGTAGTCAGAGGCATGGTGGAGGAAGGTGGAGGGGGTGGTAGTCAAAAAGAGATGGGAGACCTGAAACCTGAGACAAAATATTAAAACTCATTTATTGTCAGTTATTATGATCACTTATGAGATGTACAGAAAACAACCGAGTCAGAAACAGTTAAAAGTAACCAACCAGGTGAAGGGAAACAATGACAGAGTCAGGGATGGAGGGGGCACAAGAGGTAGAGGTGGGGAGGTGGGGGGTGGACAATAATCCTAACTAATTCACTTAGGACATCGCTGAAGGGAGGCTAAGAGGATTGGGTCACTCCCAGAATGAGCTGAGCTAAAATAACCAAGATGGACCAGTGAGAACCACTCAGACCACTTGACAAACATGGCAGGTCCAAACTGGACTCCATCACAGCCATCCATTCTTAAGGTGAGCTTGTGGATCAGGTTCTGTCGCACACATCCTCACAGGCACCAGAACCTCCAAATACACCCTAATGACCCTCAGAGGTACGGAAGAAGAAATTATTTCAATGTGTCACGTTGCTAAAACAGGAAATCTATTTTCTCATCAAACAGGTGAAAATAAAAACATGAAACTAAAAGTTTTACAAACACAAAAGCTCTGAGAGCTCTAAACGACCTCAAACCAGTCAGATAGCATGTGTGTGTGTGTGTGTGTGTGTGTGTGTGTGTGTGTGTGTGTGTGTGTGTGTGTGTGTGTGTGTGTGTGTGTGTGTGTGTGTGTGTGTGTATTTCTGTCCATACACTAGAATTGAGTTTTCTTCCCTAGATTGTTGGTTAAACAGAAACATCAGCAGGCGGCATCGACATCCTTTCTTCTTAGACAGGACGGTGTTTTCTACAGCGATCACGCTCAGACAGAGAAAAAAGCAGAAAATGAATCAACAATAAAAAGTTTCCCGGCTGGACTGCTTTGCTATCTCACACTGGTTGAACGAAACCACACCCTTCCTCACTTTCTAGAGGACCTGGAATTTCCAGGAGTTTTGGTCTTTGTGGTCCAGGCAGTCCATAGCTGTGAAGCCCAGTTTCCAGGCCTGCTGGTCCTTGTAGTCCAGGCAGTCGACAGAGGTGAAGCCCAGGGAAGAGGCGGTGCTGTAGCCCTGTGAAGACAGAGAGGCTGGGGACTGGCTCAGTGAGCCCCCCATAGAAGGGACAGTGATGGGACTGAGGGCCCCCCCAGTGCCTGACAGCTGCGAGTGCATGGGGGACAGGTAGGCGCTGCAGTCCAGGCCAGTGAAATAAGAGGTGGTGCTGGCGTAGCCCTGGCTGTATGCTGATGGCTGGCCGTAGCTCATGGGGTAGGGCGATGGCCGCTGCATGCAGGGCACTGAGGAGGAGGCCAGGGGGTCGGGCAGGGGCGAGATGGCCGGGCTCCAGATGGACACAGCGGTGTTTCCAGTGCTGGAGGTCTGGGCCAGGCTAGGGCCAGCTGCCTGGGCTGAGGAGGGGCTGTAAGAGCCAGATGGGTTAGGAACTGGATCAGGGACACTGGGCTCCTGGACTGGTGAGGCCTTCTTCTTTGGAGGGCGGGGCTTAGACTGGCCGCTGCTCTGCTGTTGCTGTTGGCGGCATTTAGCACGACGGTTTTTAAACCAAACCTAAACACAGAGGAAAGGTATACACGTTACAGACAGCTGTCAGGCTGGAGCTCTGAGGTGATACCAGCAGGAGAACTCTGCCTTCAGCACTGGGCTGGGTGGGACTTACCTGCACACGGGACTCAGGCAGGTTGATCTTAAGGGCCACCTCCTCCCTCATGAAGATGTCTGGGTAGCGGGTTTTGGAGAACAGAGCTTCCAGGATGTCCAGTTGTGTCCGAGTGAAAGTGGTGCGCTCTCTGCGCTGCTTCCGGGGAGTGGCTGCAAATCAGGAGACCCAGATTACCATGATGATGTTGGCGGCTTCACAAACACAATTCTAACTGGTGTAAAAACTATACCTAAAGATTTAAGACGTTTTTCCATCAAAATTTGAGCTTGTTAGAATAATCTTTACCAGAAAAACAAACAGAAAAACAAACAAAAACAATGTTTCCTTTATTTAGTAATTGTTTCTGAATCCCTCCGAGGTGTAAGGATTAGTTCATCTCCTCTACTTGAGGTTTCTGTTTGGGGTTAATTTGTTCAAGTCTGCTGTTTTCTTCCTTTCAGTTCACAGAAACTCAGAGTAAAGATTAAATAGAACTTTTTTCTGAATGTGCCGAAAGAACATTAATAGCACGCAAGCGACCGCAAAGCACAGTGAGATCAAACTCATTTAAATTGTTTTAAACAACAAGTAATCCTAAAGATTTGTTTCTAATTCAGTAAGTCATCTTACACGTGTTTAAAGTCCGTTTTTGAACAAACAAGATTATTTTTGTCTCGTTTGGCTGTGGCAAGACGCACCAGCCGGTGCGCTTTTACGCACCACGGAACGCATTCAATTTCACTAAAGCGACGAGTGTGTCACTACAAACATAAAAATATTTAAAAAGAAACATTTTAACGGTAATAATACTTACGTGGGTACGCCACGGTTGTGTGGAGGACATCCATCCCAGGAGCCGGCAGGTTCAAGCCGTTCATGGTGTAATGAGGTTGTTTTATGTAGGACATCATCTTTGGAGCGGCTTTAAGTCCTGGCGCTGACTCGGAGGTCGGACACGCCACGCAGCAGCTGTGGGACCCCGGGAGCGCTGGTGGAGCCGCGGACTGCACAGCACAGAAACACCAGAGGGAACGGATCTCTGGGCCTTAACTGGGCGTTAACTGGGCGTTAACTGGGCTGTTTGCAGCAGGACATCCAGAGTGTGACTTCACACGGTCAGAGGCACCGCGCAGGTGGACTGGCCCCGGATCCCTCTGCGCCTCGGACAGGTCCCTGTACTGACTGTCTGACCGGAACACGCTGCTAATTAGAGGGACCAAGAGACTCCGGCAAACCCCTCCCACACTCACACACACAGACACGCGCACCACACGCGCTCAGGGGAAAACACCCGCAGGCTGTGCGTCAAAGTTTACGGTCTGTCCAGAATTTAATGTTTCGGGCTCTGGGTTCTGATTGACACCCCCCCCCCCCCCCCCCCCCAAATAATTTATAGATGCATGTATTTTTTTAATTCACATAATTAATTCACGCCATTGTGAGGACATTGTGAGGAAAATACAATTTAGAGGTAAATAATTTTATTTAAAACAAAGTTTATTTTGACTTCTTTTCCACCCCATCTGTTTCTGCTGCACCAAAGTCCCCTCCACACCAAAACACCTGCACACACTGAATTCCCACGCTCAGCCACATAAACACCCAGATGCACCAAAGCAACAAAGCTCATTTGATTTATCGTAATATGCTTTATCTGAAAAGTAAGTATCTTATCTCCAGATAAAGAGAGGAAAGACTGCTCAATCCTTTCAGTGGTGGAGCAGCAAACAGGCAGGAGGGACGGAGGCATCCACACCAAACACCAGAGGGTGGATATGAATAAAAACAGGATGGAGAAGATGCTGTGGAACCAGTGGATGAACACAGACCAGACAGCTGATGAAGATATGCCTGCTGAATGAGAGAAAAGTGTAATAAAAGGTGAGTGTGTGTTTGTGTTGTTTAGAGCTTTAATTATTTCACTTTATTTTTGTTTTTCACTAATTAAGTTTGTTACTGTTTCAGACCTCAGGTGTTGTAGCAACTGACCCAACGTTCCACAGGCTTTACAAATGACAGAATGCATGTTTAGTGTGACACCATGGGTCTCGCTAAACAAGCGTTTGACAACAACACTTTACAATCAGCAATGCAACAGATTGCCATCCCAGCAAATGGGGAAATAGGCAAGAGCACTCAGCTAGTTTAATCCCTCACCCATCCCCCCCTAAAGCTGCAGAGCTCACAATGTTCAGAACGATGCAAGCAAGCATTTTTGTTTCTAAACCCAAACTGAAAGGCAGAACCGGAGACCTGGACCCTCGGGAAGATGGGCCCCATGAGAACAGAGGAGGAGACAGGTGGGAACAGAAGGGGGAGTGATGGAGGAAAAAACAGGTGAAGGGGCAGAGGGTGGGGGGAGCCTCCGGTCCTCGTCCCCACTGACACACTGGTGCCGTTAATCCAGATTATAGAGTCTAAAACAGGTCTGCTAAATCTACATGCCAGCCAGCAATACAGAGGCTGCTGTCAGCCCCAATCACTGACCCTGCACACACACACACACACACACACACACACACACACACACACACACACACACACACACACACACACACACACACACGCACGCACGCACACACACGCACACACACACAGTTATAATCTCCTCTGCTCAAACCAGGTGCCACAAGCCGTCCCCGAACACACACACACACACACACACACACACACACACACACACACACTGAAGGAATAAAAAAAGAGAAAAGCAAACGTTTGGGAACAAGCAGGTCGGACGCAGGAACACAGATACAAACACGTCTGATTGGTCAGCAAACTCTAATTCTCATGTCTCTTAGTTACCTTCACAAACGTATCCAGACAGCTCTTTCAGACAGAAACACAACAGGACAAGCAGGAAGTAGGTTTTTCTTTTTTCAGCGTTTTACACGTCAAGATATTCTGAACAGTTTTGGTTTTGACTGGAATGTAAAATGACATGTAACACTGAGTTATTATCAGGCAGTTCAGTTCCATCCATCCATCCATCCATCCATCCATCCATCATCTATCCATCCATCCATCCATCCATCCATCCATCCATCTATCCATCCATCCATCCATCATCCATCCATCCATCCATCCATCCATCCATCATCCATCCATCCATCCATCCATCCATCCATCATCCATCCATCCATCCATCCATCCATCTATCCATCCATCCATCCATCCATCCATCCATCCATCCATCCATCCATCCCTTTTCAGCCTCTTATCCGGAGTCGGGTCGCGGGGGCAGCAGAATAAGCTGAGAGACACAGACTTCCCTCTCCCCAGCTACTTGGGCCAGCTCTTCCGGGGAAATCTCAAGGTGTTCCCTCGCCAGCAGAGAGACATTGTCCCTTCAGCGTGTCCTGGGTCTTCCCTTGGGTCTCCTTCCAGTTGGATGTGCCTGGAAAACCTTGCCAGGGAGGCGTCCAGGAGTCATCTTGTTCAGATGCCTGAGCTACCTCAATTGGCTCCTCTCGACTTGGAGAAGCAGCGGGCCTACTCCGAGCCCCTCTCGGACGACCGAGCTTCTCACCCTGTCTCTAAGAGAGAGCCCAGCCACCCTGCGGAGAAAACTCATTTCGGCCGCTTGTATCCGCAATCCCGTTCGGTCACTACCCAAAGCTCATGACCATAGGTGAGGGTAGAAACAAGCCCCTATAATTCGAGTCTGGATTTGAAGCAAAACAGGAAGTAACAAAAATTGCAGTTCCACCCTCATCCGCTGGGGGCTGGTATCAGAAGCGAGCAAATCCTCGTTGACTCCCTTATTAAAAATACCAATTTCACAGCAGAAATAAACATGTTTACAGCCTGTTACCAAAACATGTTTTAGGTTTTAATAGATCTAGTTTACACTCATGACAACTCTGAGGGGGGTGAATTTTTTGTCACTCTTCTGTTTAAGTGTATTAAAAGCCTAAAATTCTGAATAATTAATGAGCATCAGACCCACGTGACCACAGAGCTAGCTCCATGGAAAGGCCTCAGCCTGAGCCTCGGCCTCGCCTGAAAACTGTTTCACCATTTTCAGTCTCTCAACCTAGACCATTAGTTGTAGCGTTTGTGCGTCTTTTCGGACATTATTTGTGCAATTGTTGGACAAAATGACTTGCTGTGGCATTAATTGCACTAATAGCGCGTCCAAAGAGTCTCCACTTCATTTTTTTTGGTAAGTAAAATTATATATACTGTATGTATTTTAGTATTGGTATGGACACCCTCCCCTCAGCGGCAGCTCGATGCATCTCTGACTGCAGCGGCGCCTGTCTGCTGCGCAGGCTGCCGGCTTGTGGAGCTTTTGGGAGACCTCTGTGTTCCACCCGGTTGTCCCTAGCGGTCAACCCGGCGTATCTGTGACTCAGAAGCTCCGGTGTTGTGCACAGTTAACTCCGGTTGTAGCTAGGTAGCTACCTCCATTAGCTTATCTCCCACCTCCGCGTTAGCTTTGGGTTAGCTTGTAGCTACGTCGCTTCAGTTTGACTGGTGTCGTCATTTAATCCCAGCCTTACAGCCCCACCCCCAGCACCACCTCTTTCCCTTTCATAGAATTGTCTGGGCGTGGTGAGATGTGTGACACAATCAAAATGGCGGTGGTGGCGCACCTCCCATTTCAGATAAAAAATTCATAATAGGAGCCTATGTACAGGAATTGTCCAGTTTATATATGTCGATGGGTAGGAACCTAGATCAACTGGTAAATCGAGAGCTTTGCCTTCCGGGTCAGCTCTCTCGACAGACCGGTACAACGCACGCATCACTGCAGATGCAGCACCAATCCACCTATTGATCTCATGCTCCATATTTCCTTCACTTGTGAACAAGACCCCGATATACTTAAACTCCTCCACTTGTGGCAGGACCTCGTCCCTGACATAGAGAAGTCATTCTACCCTTTTCTGATTTAAGACCATAGTCTCGGGTTTTGAGGAGCTGATTTTCATTCCAGCCGCTTCACACTCGGCTGCGAACCGCTCCAGTCAAAGATAGAGATCATGTTCTGATAAAGCCAACAGGACCACATCATCTGCAAAAAGCAGAGACCTGATCCTTAGGCTACCAAAATAGATTTCTTCAACACCCTGTACATAAAAGTTATGAACAGAATCAGTGATAAAGGGCAGCCTTGGCGCAGTCCAACTCTCACCAGAAACTAGATTGACTTACTGCCGGGACCTAACAGCCCTTATTAAAGGGCCTGGTACTCCATACTCCCAGAGAACCCCCCACAGGGGCCCCCGGGGGACGCAGTCAAATGCCCTCTCCAAATCCACAAAACAAATGAAGATTGGTTGGGTGAACTCCCACGCATCCTCTAAGATCCCCCTAAAACTTGGTTTATGCTTGACGTATTTACTTTCCACTTGGTGATGCGGCTCGCGGATAGAACGCGCTTCACAACTTGCAGCGTTTATGGTTCATGCGGCTTGTCTCTGCGGTGAGCCAATATTCTCCCAAACTGAACGGGGCAGCAAGGAGCTCTACGGCATGCATCCAACACTACACCATAGTAGAAGTAGAAATTACTGTTTACAACATGGCATTCCAGCATTTTTAACAGCGTCCTCGTCTTTTCCGACAGTGCGAGCTATTTCTCTCCAAGAATTATTAACAACATGTTGATCACGGTGATCTTTGAGAGCTGAATCATACAAATGTCTGTATTTTAAAACCTCTGCCATACTAGTTCTTGCCGGTCCGCCATGTTTCTCAGCGCCCAACCATCCGCGTGGTTAGAAAATTTCCTAGGTGCGCGGTGCGGAAAATTTGGGCTGTGCGGAGGCGCGGTGGAGGGGCGTGGTTGTTAAAATGACGCAATTTTGCCGCGCGGAGCCGTGCGAACCTCGCGGACGCATAAAGCATAAACCAACCTTAAGGGTATAGAGCTGGTCCAGTTTTTCACAGCCAGGACAAAAACCACATTGCTGCTCCTGATTCCAAAGGTTTGACAATCTTTTTTTTTTATCCCAGCCTTACAGCCCCACCCCCAGCAACAACTCTTTTCCCTTTCACCACGACAGGCACCGACGACCCTGAGACTGCAGCTCCGGTCGGCCACTCCAACAATAGAAGCATGGAATATGGCCCACTTGGACTCAATGTCCCCTGCTTCCCTCGGGACATTTGTAGTTCTGTCGTTGGGAACTGAAAGCTTCTTCTGACAGGAGACTCTGCCAGATGTTCCCAGCAGACCCTCACAATACGTTTGGGCCTGCCAGGTCTATCCCTAGCCCACCATTCCAATTCAGAACAGGGAAACAATTCCTCCCAACTACACCTCTCCAGGTCTCGCTGTCGTTGCCCACATGAGCAATAAAGTCCCCCAGCAGGAAGAGGGAGTCACTTGAAGGAGCACTCTCCAGAACCCCCTCCAAGGACCACAAAAAGGGTGGGTAGTCTGAGCTGCAGTTTGGTGCTTAAGCACAAACCACAGTCAGGACTCGTCCCCCCACACGAAGGTGGAGGGAGGCTACCCTCTCGTTCACCGTGTTAACCCCAACATACGGGCACTAAGATGGGGGCAACAAGTATGCCCAACCCTGCTCAGTGCCTCTCAGTGAGAGCAACTCCAGAGTGGTAGAAAGTCCAACCCCTTTCTAGGAAACTGGTTCTGGAGCCAGAGCCATGCATTGAGATGAGTCCGACTATGTCTAGCCGGAACCTCTAAAACTCAACCGCCAGCTCCAGCTCTTTCCCCACCAGAGAAGTGACATTCCATGTACCAAGAGCTAGTTTTTGTAGTTGAGGATCAGAGCGCCAAGGTCCCTGCCTTTGGCTACCACCTGGCTGCTGCCGTGCAGCCGTTTGGCTGTGTGGCGGGGGGTTGGGAGCCACAAAGAAGGGGCCTGTGGGCCGCCTAATGAGGCCCACTGCCCTATAGTCAATCTACCCGAAACAAAATCAAAATAAAGACATATACAACATAAAAAGCAATATAAAACCGGTTAAGAACAGTTAAATGCAGAGCAAGATGATACAAAGACCATCTCAAATGTCTACTGCAGACTTATAGCTTATAGCCATGGCATCTATTGCATCTAATAGGAGACAGCCTGTACCTTCTCCCTGAAGGGAGGAGGACTAACTCGTCTAACAGAGGATGGTTCCTGCTGGTTAAAATTATATTTGACTTTAATTTCTGTGATAAGCCCTGGCCACCCCTAGAAAATTGCTGCCCCCCCCCCCCCCCCCCAGGAAAAACCAGTGTTAATAAATCATATTAATGTTCACTCAAACCATGAATTAATATTGTTTATTAAAGACGTTATTGTAAATAAAAATAAAAATAATGCAATTAATAAGTAAAGAAATAATCAGAATTTAAAAAATGCATTTGTTTCTGTTGCTCACCATTTAAAAAAAGTTTTTCTCCGTAGTGTTTTGTGAATAAAGCAACAGCTTAAACAACCAAAATTTTAAAAAAATAATTAGAAATTTAAATTACATTTAAAATAACAGATTTTTTTCTGAAATGTTTGTGTTTGTTAAATCTAAATTAAATATTTTGGATACAAACTGTTTTTTTTAACCCTCTGAAGGCAGGCGTTGCAGATTTGCAGCTTTAAAACCTACCTACCTGGTTACTCCTCATACGTATTTCATGAGTTTTTTTTAACTCAGAAGTACCCCTGAAGGACTCAGTTGTTCGTCCTTTTATCAAAACTCATTTTGAGCCTGAGAGGGTTAAACTTGTTCACTGCCGGCCGTTTCCTGATCAGAAAACCCTTCGCTGCCAGCGTTTTTCAGAGTTTTGACTGCTTTTTGAAGAGTCAGAATGTTGTGCTCTATGATGATGTCAATGCCAAAACTGACAAAACAAAGAGGAAACTCATCTCTTACATCAGGAAGAATCCGCATGTTTCGAGCGTTATCCGTTCCTTAATAATTTGTTGTTCAATTGAGATCGGCAGAAGCTTTTCTGGTTCTCGCCTCACTTTTTTTTACAACAGCGGCCCAAAACGATCTCCTAACACATGGATTTTCTGCTTCCTGATGACGTGACATGTGACATCGGCTTTAGAGCTGAGATGTTTGTTCATGCGGTGCAGGGGTTCATTCCGACGCCCACACAGTAAAAATATGCAAATGATGACTTTAGTCATCAATGGCAGTGAACGGTTGGATTTAAAATGACAACTTTTATCGTCAATGGCAGTTAGTGAGTTAATAAAATCGAATAAAAGAGCAATGCAATACATCGCTACAGGCTAAACTCTCCCAGAGGGCCCCGTCTGGCCACCCCAATCAAAATTTTCTGGAGGCGCTCCTGCAGCCAGAATGCTTCTAAGTGGGAAGCGACGGCTCCAATAGAGCGTTCCTTCACTGTCTGGTTCACTAGGCTATGTTATTTGGACATCTCACCCCGGATTGGAAAACACCAGCACAACTCTTCCACTGACTTGTAACATGGAAGTTTCATCTCGACAAATTACTCAAGCTTGGAGGACTTCTGTCGTGAAGTGAACTTGCTAATGCTAACGGTTAGCTTAAACTAGCCGACTCCTGGCCATTTACACAACAACAGCCTTCCCCGTCGAGTCTTATCGATGAGTCCATAAATGCTAATTCACAGTGTGACGTAGATCTGTGACGATTTTCTAATCCTAGATTTTCATCATCTATTTTCTATCAGAAGCTAATGCAGCAGATAGCCATAGGGGACTAGACGCTCATGCTACCTGTCAATCAATTTGTCATAATTTAATTACACCTAAAAGTTACAACAAAAACACCCCCTCTCAGAGTTGTCATGACTGTAAACTAGATCTATTAAACCTCAAATGTTTTTTTGAACCAGGTTGTAAACGTTTATTTCTGCTATGAAATTGGCCTTTTTAAATAGGAATCAATGAGAATTTGCTCCTTTCTGTTTACTTTTGTTCTCTACTGTGTTGTGTGTGCATGTGGGTATGTGTGTGTCACTGGGTGGGTGGGGGGGGGGGGGGGGGTTAATTGGCAACGACATTTGTGGGATATATGGGGTCTTTTTAATCTGTACAGCACTTTGAGTTACATTTTCTGTATGAAAAGCACTTTATAAATACATTTGATTTGATGAGGGTGGAAGTGGACTTTTTGTCACTTCCGGGTTGGCTTGTGAAACTGCATAGATTAGGGTGGACTCTGCCCAGCTTCCCTCATAGTCAGACCATGGTTTATGACATGGTCCACCAAAGTTGCTCATATGTCATCAGAAACAATGGTCCTTGCATGCTCTCTTCGATCACGTCCTCCTCTCTCTCTCTCTCTCTCTCTCTCTCTCTCTCTCTCTCTCTCTCTCTCTCTCTCTCTCTCTCTCTCTCTCTCTCTCTCTCTGTCAGGTGTGGTTTTGAAAAATGCCATTATGGTTTTGGAATTTGAGTTCAGAAGGTTGGTTATAGTGTTTAAGCAATCGAGAAAGACTGTAATGTAAATACACCTGCAGATGGTTAACTGTCCAACTACACCACTACAAACTCCTTATGCAAGGTGCTTGTGTGTGTGTGTGTGTGTGTGTGTGTGTGTGTGTGTGTGTGTGTGTGTGTGTGATGACTCAGGAGGTGTCTGTGGGGATGATTACAGCAGACAGTAATCCTGCAGATGGATCAGCAGGTGGTATTAGGAGAAGTGGGGGTGTAGCACATGGCCACCTTTGAACAGAAACAATATGGAGCAGCAGATCACGGGGCTTCACCTCCGTCTGCTTCACCCCATCCGCAGACGTACAGGACGCTGGAACGCTGCAGTGGACGGGACCAAGCTGCGGAGGCGGTACATGGACAACAATGACCCTGGTGAAGTCTCCCGTCAGAATGGTCATTACTGGCCTGAAGATGTTTGCAAGAGACTTGCACGTTCTGTTCCTTCTGCCTAGACTTCATATTTGTAAATGAACATTTGTCATTTTGACTTGCCAGCTCAGCAACAGCTTCAGCAGTGTTTCAGTCATTTTATCCAGCATTCAGAAGTTGTTTCTGTAGTGACTACAAGTACATGCTATGCTTCTGTTGTTATGTTAAATATTTTTTTAACATGTGGTTGTGAGCAGGCATGACTAAAGATGAGGCGTTCAGGGCTAACCCTGCAGTGTTTGTGTTACAGCACTGGAGTCCTAATCATCTGATGTTACTAAATATCCTTTATAAGGAGCTAACCCCTCGTTTGTTAGAGATCATCAGAGTGGTTTCACCTAGACGTGCAACAATCTGCTGTGTCCTTCATAATCTAGCATTTCTTTTTTTATTTTATAAATGAAAATAAATGTAAGGAAAACAAATTTGTAAAAAATTTTTTAGTTCCTTTTGCAACCAGAAATAAAACTGAAAACATTTCCTCCATCTTGTAAAAGAAGTAAATTTACATCTAATTAAGGACCGTGAGACATTAAGATTCCATATCGAGTATGAAATCAATCTTACGGACCACTGAGTTATTTAACCAGAAGATTGGACCTTTTTATTGCAGGGATTTTGTAACACTTGTATTAAGTCAGAGACAAGAGAAGAGAGAGTCCTTTAAAACGTTTAAGATGATTTATTTACTAAACAATTTAAACAATTTTAAACAAGACTGACTCTAACTCTAATGGTGGATGGATCTGGTGTGAATGAGACTTGAGATGGGTGGTGTGTGTGTGGTGTTATTATCAGAACTCTCACATCCGGAGAAGCAAGTCTGAATGATGTAATGATGTTTTGCTCCTAGCTACGATCAGAGTTTGATCGGAGTTTCATAAACACATGAGACGCCATATTGCCGCTCCACACATACCCTTGATGAGACACCCGTACAGATCCAGAATGCCAGGTCCTCTGACCCTCCTTTCGGTACTGGAGCCAGTGGTACAGCGTCAACAGTACGACAAACTAGTCCTTGGATTGTCTCCAGGTAAAAAGCGACAGTTGGTTCACAGCGTCAAAAGGGACCCTCCTTGGGTCAGTGAGTTCAGCTTTTATTCTGAAAGGAACTGTTGCTTGGTTGGTAAAATGCAACAGATTTTATCCAGCTTGTTGGTTCTCAGCTTAAAAAGGGAAGTCCGGATGGCCGGTCCGATACTCCGCTTAGCATGAGGTGAACTCCAGTGAGATCTTGTGAACTGACATAAGATGGCGTTGGACTGTTTAAATTAATCTGGATGTTTTGATTTCTGGTCGAATCAAAGCAGGCAGATTTATAAACACCACAGAGACTATGCCACACTTCAGACTAGGAAGGTTCTGATTGAATCAGTAACAGCAATGTGTCCTGCGTTTACACTACGTGTATCAGTGTGTCTAGTGAACTAGATTAAAGTCATTTACTTATTAAAGCATATTAATCATAAATTTGTTATTCCACAGATCGGTCAACATTATATTATTGACTAATACGTGTTTTGATTAGCTTTATTCCAAAATAGAGTTCTTTAATTTAATAAAAGAAAAGAGTCCTTTATCTTCATTCTTCTCTTGCTGGAAAGTCAACAGTTTAGAAGCAAATGCATGACCTTGAGGCAGTCTCACGCACTCGAGCACTGTGTCAGAGGTATTTGTGGAGAGAGGTCAAATAACCTTGGAGGAATAGCTCCTTCATTACGCTACAATCTCCACACCTGCTTTATTCTTCTCAGGGAGCTGGTGTTTGTCTCTCTGGGGTGGTCCACCACAGATTCCCCCAGAAAAACACAGCCCTTCACTCACTCATACCTGTTGGTCACCAGTCAACCTCACACAGATATTCTACATTTGTTGGAGGAAACTACATCACAGCCAGAGAATGGGGGTGGGATGGTCAGGTGGAGGCCTGAGGATGTGAGGGATCACAGGACAGCCGGACCGCGTCAGTCTGATGAGGACAAAACGACAAAATGAAACGAGGAAAGAGAGACATGAGACAACCGGCTGATCTTCATCCTGATGAAGATTCCATCCTACATCTCTCCAGGAGAGAGAGAGGGTGGGTGACCACCAGCTTCATGTGCAGTTTCTCTGGTCACTACAACCCTGTAAGCATGTTTCTCCTGCCCTCTAGTGGAGATGAGGGAGTGGTTTGTTGCTGATGATGATCCATTCAGGCAGAAAAAGCTCCTAAACTCATGGATGAGTTCAGTCATAGTTTTTTTTCCAGCTCACTTTCTGTTTCAATGAGACAAAAAAACATGACAACGTCCTTATCTTGCAAAAAGATACTTCAGCGTGTGACAGAGCTTTATTATACACTTTCTATTTTAAGTCATTTTTATTTGCTCGTTATTTGCCAGACTAAAAGAAAGATCTACATTATAAAGACATTTGTGAAGCTGAATGAAGAACCTCCTCTTCATCCACCTGATGATGCAGCAGGAGAAACCTCTCCGCCTGCTGGTGTCCGACCCACAGCTCTAAACTCTCACAGCAAAAGCGCTGTGGTGTGTGTTTGCTCCTATGGCAGCGCGTCACCGCTGGTGACAGATGTAACCATGGTGACAGATGTTGTGAAGGAGATGCATGAAATACAGAGGAAGTAAAGCAGGGGCATGCTTAGAATTTTTTTGGGGTGGCACAGAAGGGGCACAAATATGAACAAGGGTGGCACATGTAAACAAAACTAGAGGTGTTTATCATCATCTAATGGGCTACTAGTAAAGTCAAGGCACAATACCAATGGAGAAATTTCATTAATAATTATGACATTTTTCAAATAAATTAAATTAAAATTGGGATATTCTCTGACATTGTAAAGTCGGGCTTTTTCAGAAAAGAAACTTAGGTTCAGGGCCGTCACAAGCATAAAAAAGTGGGGATGTGCACTTTGAATGAAGTAGATTTCCAGCATTTCAGTGCATTTAAACCTTTGTAATAATTTAAATATTTTTCAGCTATCTGAAATAAGTGAGCTTTAAAACTTAAAAATATCAACGAAATAACATCAACAAATAAAGAGAAATGACATGTGTTTGTTATTTTGTTTGAACCCAATGGTCCCATTATCTGAACTTCAGAAATGCTTTGGAGCACGCCAAGCTCTGTTTGATGCAAAAAATACAAAAATATTAAAAAGTGATGGACTTCCAACAAAAATCTTGGATGTTTACTTTATATTTGCTGAAAATAATAATATTAATACAGTTGAGAATATTCAGTGTCAGCATTGCTGGTATTATTTGTTACCATTGATGGAATTCAATGGTATACCCTATATAATTATGTCACATTGGTTAATGTTGAAATATGTATTGCTACTGCAAAAAAATGTAACGTGATGAAGGAGCTATTCCTCAAGGTTATTTAACCTCTTTCCACAGTTGCCTCTGACACAGAACTGGTGTGCATGAGACAGCCTCAATGTCATGCATTTGCTTCTAAACTGTTTACTTTCCAGCTATAGAAGAAAGAAGATTAAAAGACTCTTTTCTTTTATTAAATTAAAGAACTCTATTTTAATAAAGCTAATCAAAACAACTGTTTGTCAATAATACAACGTGACCGATCTGTGAAATCACAATGTTATGATTAATATGTTTTAATAAGTAAATGACTTATTTTAGTCACTAGACATGCTGATACACGTAATGTAAATGCCTTTTGTTTATCGATTTATTGTGAAAAACGGAAGTTGTTCTTGCTCCTTTTCCTGTTGGGCGGTTGTGATTTCTGTCCATTTACAGCGGAGGTGCTCCGGCGTCCGGCGAAAATAGGATCGATTCTATTTTTGCCGGACACCGGAACAGAGGGCGGCGCCGCACTGCCGGAGCACGGCCGCAGTAGTGGAATTGCTCTGATTGACTACAACGGGACCGATTTTGCTCCGGCGTTCGTGTCGGAGCGGAGCGGAGGTAGTGGAATTTGGGGGTAAGAGGCCCTACTTGGGATGCTGCCCCCACGACCCGACCCTCGATAGGCAGAGGAAGGTGACGTTTATGTTTATTCATTTAGCAGGTGCTTTTATCCAAAGTGACTTACAATTTATAACCTATAGGGCATGTTGTCATCTGCGGGGGAAACCAGAGTACCCGGAGGAAACCCACACATGCATGGGGAGAACACACAACTCCACGCAGAGAGGCTGCAGCCGAGTTTCGAACCTGCAACCTTCGTGCTGCGAGGCAACAGTGCTAACCACTGCGTCACCATGCAGCCATGAAGTGATGTGAGGTGAGATTAGGGAGTTACAATTATTTATAATTTATTTTCACACTACTGTTATTATTGTGTGTTAATAGTTTCTGTTTTTCATGATTATTTGTCTCTTGTGCTTTAGTGTGTCGTATTGTGCTCATGTCATGTTATCTGTACAGTGTGTTTCTACTTCTGTGAATTGGACTAAAAGTCCAAAATAAAAAAATACTTGACTTGACTTGACTTGTGCATTTTCTCGAGAAAATGAACGCAACTCTCGCTCATTGCGTGGGGCTCAAGAGCTCTGCATTCGTGCGGGGTTCATTACAAATGTGTCATCTTACATTTGATATTTTGTTGTTTATAAGCTTTAGATTAGATGTTTTTATTGTTTATAGGTATTAGAATTTAGGTTGTAATTTTTCATGTCATTGATGTTTTACTGTCTCAGTTTAGGGGTGGCACAGGGATGGCCAGACTTCCACCCCACCCCAACCCCCCGACACGCCCCTGTAAAGCTTAAACCACAGACTGAATGAAAAGTTAATCATGTCATCATGATAAAAACACACAGAGACTCCACGATCCGCTTAGACCCCTTTAGACCACACTGAGTAGAGTGGAGTCGGTTTCATTAGTGCAGAATATTAGTAGTTTTATTTCCCTGCAGCTTGACTCCAGCTCGGCAGACGGCGGTAATGCACCTTTCTATGTTTGTTGTAGATACTTGAACGAAGAAAAGGAAGAAAAAAGAAGCAGTAGAAGAAGAAAGTTGTGCAGCTTTATCATCACAGAAGAAAACAGGCTGATTTTATAGAGCTTCTGCTGACGTCACAGGTTCGGGTGTCTCGTGTAGGATGCTCCGGGAGTCGTATCCCTTCGTGGAGGACAGTTTCAGTCGTTTCCCGTCGCAGAGCAACATCTACGGACTGTGTCAGGCCGGGGAGCAGGAGCTGTTAGCGGCCACTCTCAAAGGGAAGGTGGTCTGTTTCCGGTACCAGGAGCTGCAGCAGAAAGTCCGACCGGTGGCCAAGGAGGTTCAGTTCACTTACATTCCAGGTACTGGTTCTAGCAAAGATTACGGGTCCGTTTGGGTCCTTCTAACCAGCTTATGCGCAGAATCCGTCCTGATTTATTTTTCTAGTTGATGCAGAAATTGTTTCTATTGATGCATTCAACAAGTCATCACCCAGAAGAGGCCTGGTGGTGGGCATCACCTTCATAAAGGTAAATAAACCAGAAAAGTTCATTCATTTAACTCGTTTGAACAATTCAGGAGGTGAAAACTTGAAGTCGTGATACTAACAAGTGATCTGCTGCAGGACTCTGGGGACAAAGCTACGCCCTTCCTGAATATTTACTGTGACTATGAACCCGGCTCTGAGTTCAACCTGGAGTCCATTGCTCGTGAGTGACATGTGTATGGAGATCACTAGTGTGTGAGCGAAGCACAGCATGTATGTGCGATGCTCACTAGTGTGTGAGTGATACATAGTTATGGTGTGCACACTACACACTAGTGTGTGAGTAAAGCATGGTGTATGCACAATGCTCACCAGTGTGTGAGTGATGTATGGTTATGGTATGCACGATGCTCACTTGTGTGAGTAAAGCATGGTGTATGCGTAATGCTCACTAGTGTGTGAGCGAAGCACAACATATGCACAATACTCTAGTGTGTGAGCGAAGCACAATGTATGCACAATACTCACTAGTGTGTGAGTGATGCATGGTGTATGCACAATGCTCACTAGTGTGTGAACGAAGCATGGTGTATGCACACTACTCACTAGTGTGTGAGTGATACATGGTGTATGCACAATACTCACTAGTGTGTGAGCGAAGCACAACGTATGCACAATACTCACTAGTGTGTGAGTGATGCATGGTGTATGCACAATGCTCACTAGTGTGTGAGTGATACATGGTGTATGCACAATGCTCACTAGTGTGTGAGCGAAGCACAACGTATGCACAATACTCACTAGTGTGTGAGTGATGCATGGTGTATGCACACTACACACTAGTGTGTGAGTGATGCATGGTGTATGCACAATACTCACTAGTGTGTGAGTGATGCATGGTGTATGCACACTACACACTAGTGTGTGAGCGAAGCATGGTGTATGCACACTACACACTAGTGTGTGAGCGAAGCATGGTGTATGCACAATACTCACTAGTGTGTGAGCGAAGCATGGTGTATGCACACTACACACTAGTGTGTGAGCGAAGCATGGTGTATGCACAATACTCACTAGTGTGTGAGCGAAGCATGTTGTATGCACAATGCTAACTAGTGTTTGAGTGAAGCGTGGTGTGCACGAGGATCACTAATGTTTAAAGGGGCATTATGAAAGTTTGACAGCCAAAACATGTATAGAAATAATAAATGTCTTCTTCATACATTCTCCTGCAATGCCCTGGTCCTGTAGAATGAGCCCTGGCATTTTTACTGATTGCCTGTTTTTCTGTAAAATCACAGAAAAAGAGAGAGGCTCGGGTCGAGCAGGCTGCTTCATGCACGTTCACGCTCAGGCATAGGCCGTAGCATTTGCTCTCCGTAGATTTAGTCTTTGTCGCTGTTCCTAATGCCTAGTGATGAACCTAGCTACATTTCTGAGGACCCTTAGCTACTTTCTGTAGAACTTTCTTCTAGATATTTCCTGCAAATTAGCAACAAAATAGCCATTTTCGCTCTGAACCGTTCTTTGGTTTGACGTTGTTTCAGCTGTCATCAAGGATATAAAAGTTACAGATACAAAGGACGTCATTGGCTGTTTAGCTCGCCTAGTAAGACGTCGGACTCTTGTGCTGGAGAACCGTGTTCGATTCTGTATGTCAACATAGTTTATTTAGAGTTTCTTTTTTACATTAATGGTATAATTTTTACAGTAAGATGCCCACATTTTTATTTGAGACGCGCCGAACGGCATTGAGTTCACAGATAAAAAAGATGTGGGTTCAACTTTCATTTAGGAACAATTTTTCAAGCAAGGGAAGGGAATGATCTGAGCATGCAGGAGGACTGACCCATCATAAACCTTTGTCAGCTGTGCTGAAGAGAAAGGTACAGAACCTAATTGTTTAATTAATTAGCTGTATGTTCTCCTGTCCTCTGTCCTCCGCCCCCCCCCCCCCCCCCCCCCCCCCCCACACACACACACACAAGGGACTGTCTCAGCTGTTATTTTCGTTAAGGAGTGTGCACGTACAGCATGCGCGCCTCGTGCACGAGCCTACTATTGAAGCTGCCGTTACGCTTTTGGCCTGAGGGGGCAATCGCGAGCATAAAAATTCAAAACTCCTTAAAGTCCCTTTAAGTGATGAGTGGTGTATGCACGTTGCTTACTAGTGTCTGAGTTAAATGTGGTGTGCCGTTGCTCACTATTAGTCACCAGTACTGAATCTTCACTTTTTCCTCTGAACAGAAAGCTGCCTGAATCTGGAGCTGCAGTTTACTCCATTTCAACTTTACCACACAGAGTAAGTTTGCTGCAACAGAGATACTTGTGATTGCAGAGTTTAGTTGCCATGGTGACTAACTGTGAATGGTGGGTTTCCCCCAGATGATGGAAATGACCTTTTTCAGAGCAGACATATTGACTTTATTGGATAGGATGTTCCTCCAAGTACAGAGTGCTGCAAAGTGCTGGTCCTTGGATTCAGTGGCTGGTTTACCTCCTATTATGTCCTCAAGTAGCCTGATGATCACCCAGTTATCCAAATCAGGTGTAATAGTGAAATAAAACAATCTAAGAGAAGGATGAATGTGGTCCTCGGGGACCAGGATTACAGACCAGCCACTTTTCTCACAAGTAAAATCCTCAGATCTTAAAGCGATGGACCAAAAGATACAGAAAAAACAAAACTGACAAGAAACTTTTTTAGTGTTTTATAACTTTTATTTTCACTTGTGTGCTCTAGTAGCTTTCTGAACTATGAGAAAAGCCAGTGAGCTCCTCTGTGTGTGTCAGAGTGCAGTGTGCTGACGGAGGCAGCGACACGGTGTTTCTGCTCAGTGGTCATGACCAGAGGATCCACCTGTACAAGGAGGTGAGTCTGCTCAGCGGGGCTTGGTCACACTTCAAGTGTGTTTCTACACGGTTGTTCACTGTGTTATTGCTCATTAATAAGTGTGTGTGGCCATCAAGTACACACTCCTTTAGTAGCTACACTTCAAAGATGATTAATACAACTTTTTACTTTAAATTATTATTTTGCATTGAGCTTATCCCAAAGCTAAAGCAAAGAGCCTTTCAAACAGAGGAACTCGTTAAGGACCCGTTAATATGGAGGTGATGCGATGTTTTGGTGTGGTGCGAAACTTCCCATAAGAACCAGCAGATCTAGATCAGCTGACTGGAGCTCCTCTCCTCTCGGTCTCCAACAGAACGTCTCTCTGCACCAGTTTGAGGAGCAGCCAGTGGAAAGGCTGTTCCCTGAACTCCAACAGCTGCCCAGCAAGTGAGTTCCTCTGAGCCTCTGTTCTGTCGTGTTCCTGGTGAGGGATCACAGATAATTTATCATTTTATTTTACAGTCTTGTCATTTACAAACCTTAATGCTGCATCCTGGAGGATGGATGATTCTTTACACTTTTGTTTAAATCCATTGGATGGTTGTGTCTAACCCCCCATTGTGCAGTGTGTTGTGGTTGGATATGTTGGGTGTGGCTGCGGGACGGCGACTCTCGGCGTTCGGCTGTCAGAATGGCTGCGTTGGACTGGCTCTGGTCGACCAGAACGGACCAGGTACCGCTGGAAAGACTTTCTTTCTTCTTCCCTGGAGTTTGGCTTATCCAACTTTGAGACAGTTCCACCAGGAGCAGTGTTACACCTCACACAGGTCGGGTCCACTTCTGGACACACGCGCCAGCTCAACCCTGGACAGATGTACACGGTGAACCATCCTGAACTGAATGAGAGCGTGTGGTGCACACTGATGAGGCATGAATTAGTCCTAAAATATAATCCCACCATCAATCAGCAATGTGAAAGTTAAGGTCTTGTTCCCGTTTGGATCTGATGGTGCTTATTTAGGTGTAGATCTGAGATGAAGTAGTTCTAAACTGATGTTACACCCACAACAGTTAGACTGGCCACTAGAAGTCTGTCAACTCATCTGGAGGTTTCTGCACATGATGTCTGACCTGGAGAAACTGGAAGAGAGTGTGGAGGCCGTGCTACATTTGTAGATAATTGGGCGAAACTTGTTTTAAAAAAAAACGGAACAAAGACAGATGTGCAAAAGGAGGCTGGCTTTGAAAAGCTGCCTGATGTTTAGAGAAGTTGGTAAATCTTCTGCATGTCTAAGACAGGAGGGTTTTATTCCAGTTCTGCTGTGTTTCAGAGGTTCTGCAGAGCTGGCGAGTCCAGTTTGACAGTCCAATCTCCAGAGTGCTGCTGTTCCCAATGAGCTGCCAAATGAAGTCCAGTGAGCCCAGTTGTGAAAAAAGTACGTGACCGGCTAGCTGAGGTTGGATTCGTGTTTCCTGCAGCTTTCTGATGCTTTTGCTCGTGTAGGTGAGGAGATGGAGGTCTACAACCTCCTGATAACCAGCACCATAGAGATGGCCATTGTCTACAGGTTTGTGTCAGATGAGTGAAGATTCTTCAAATTATGCTGTATTCATAACTTCATTACTGTGTGTGTGTGTGTGTGTGTGTGTGTGTGTGTGTGTGTGTGTGTGTGCGTGCGTGCGTGTGCGTGTGCGTGCGTGCGCGCTCAGAGACCTGCAGAAGCATGGTTTGTCCTGCTCATCGTGTCTCTCGGGGAGTGATCAGTGGGATGCGGTCCTCTGTGCTCTGGTCATTGACCTGGACTTTGATGGGCAGAAGGAGGTTCTGTTGGGGACATATGGACAGGTATGCAGAGACCAGTAATGGTTAGTCAAAGTGGGCCTAGAATTAAAAACCACATTTACCTTGTTGTTGAATTTCGTCAGCTCGGGGTGTCTAATGTACCAAAAACCTGTGCCGCCTCCGACCGGCTTTCCTGTGTAAATCAATCATGTTGTTATGGCAACAGAGACATGGCTCAATGTGAGAAACGCTGGCTTTACACATCATGAGCAAAACACACTTCCTCAAAGCCGTAATCTGGCGTTCGTTTACCCAACAGCATCATCTAGAGGCTGACAAATGTATCACACGTCGGAAAGCAACGCCTCTCGTTTGTCAACCTCTCTGTCATGCAGGAGCTTCTGTGTTACAAGTTCCAGCCTGCAGGCAGTGAACAGGAAGGAGTGTTTCAGCTGCAGTGGAGGCGAAGCTTCAAGAGTCCTCTGCTGTCCATCATCTACTTGGACCTGACTGGAGACGGTCTCAGAGAGCTGGCTGTCCTCACGCTGAAAGGGCTGCACATCCTACAGGTATGACTGCCACCTCACCAGCTCAGGGGCGGGCTGACCTCTGCTGCCCACAACCTGACAGAGATGGAAGAAACATTCAGTCTTGCAAAGTCAGTTTTTTCCTTGACGGTTGGACTTTAGTTTCACCACAATCCACCAGTTGTGGTGTTTTTTTCAGCTCTTCGCGTTCCCGCTGGAGGTTGACTGATGCTGGTTTTTCCGTCGCCGATGCAGATGTGAAGCGGTCAGGGCTGGAGGAGAAAGAAAAATGCATATCGATTAACAAAAATTCATATGGATCGATGTTGATTATCGTTGAAAAATATACTTTAAAAACAGTAGAAAATATATTTTAAGTGCTGCCCTGGCCATTTTATGTTATTCCTTAATGAACCATTTTCAATAAAAACAGACAAACTGTTATGGGGATTATGACTCTAATCCCTGTCTCTAAACAAAGTACATTTTTCTAGTGCAGAGTGGAGACAACCCATAGAAGCACTGATTTGATCTCATTTCAGAGAAAAATAGAACAGGTTAGATGCACCTAATAAATAAAATTACTAACAAACTCAGGAATCGGTTTGTTTGCTTCACTGTTCTGGTGCTGAAAATATCACTAATGCGGATCAAAGGAGATACACAGATGAATGCATCTCTTATTTATTATTTGGAAACTACATTTACTGCAGCTGGCAGAGGCAGAGATTTTTTCTATTGATACACGGATTTACAGAGTCATTTTAAATTTTAATAGGGGAAGACTGCAGGAGGGAGCGGTAAAATACAGGGGGTCCCCAGCAAAAACAAGAAACTACGAGTCTGATGAAACCCGCTGGTTTTCCATCAGGCAGTCACGGGGCAGCTCCAACGACCCAGTGGCTGTGCTGGGTCAGTGTTATCGAGCTCAGTCCGGCTCGGCCGTGAACGAGCCGAGGCGACGTCGTGCTCTGCTTAAGAAGAGGTGTTATTTTCCCGCTTCAGAAGAAGCGTCCAACGTGTTTTTATACCTTCTCCGAGACATGTCACGTCGCTAAGTTGTCAATAGTGCAACGTAGCCTGCTGGAGGTTTTAAGGGTTCAGATGAAAACACCCGACCTCTCAGGCTGCTCACACATCAATCTTAAGTTGTCGCTGTTGCGCTCACGCCGTAATACAGTATTAGATGCGGTTAAAGTCAGACATGAAAAAATAAATAAATTTTACATGAATAAGTGATGCTTAGCCTGGTGGGGGGAGGAAACCCTGTCAAGATCGTCAACACTTGTTTATCTTAATGCTACTGAAACATGTAAACCAAAAAGCATTATATCCACTGCTACCTTTCTAATTTTAAACTCAGTAACGTAACTTCACCTTGCCCTGCCTGCTCCTCCTTGCTGCCCGCCGGCTGTGATCACAAGCGACAACATAGAAGTTCCCGCTGCTTCTTCGGGAAACAGCGCCAAAAAAGAAAATGCTTGGGATCTTGTAGGCGTGGCGGTGGGATTTCAGCAGCGGCGGCCCACTACGGCTACGCCTATGTAAGGGAAACCTTGTAACATGAGACTCCAATAGGAAGGGGGGGGGGGATCTGTCTGCATTCCTTCATGGGGGTTTGTTGCTTGCCGCTCAAGGCTACCAGGGCGTCAGATTCAGATAACAAGAATTTGTTTGGGTTGGGCTGAGATAATTTTCCTCTCTGCCTTCAGTCTTTAAACATTATTATTGTTTAAGGAAATACTGCACCTTCATTCTGCACACCTCTAAGCGCCCCGTGGAGGTAGCACTTTAAAACGATGTTCAACCTTTAAATCTTTACTTTGTGCACAGTTAAAGTCTGATCTAAGTTAATCTAATTATTTAATTGACCAATAATAAATATTCAAAAGTAGTAAATAAAAATTTATTTTTGTAGAAAATATTTTTTTTGCGTTTATTATTCAGATGTTCAAAAACGTAAGCATACTGCTGCGGCACCGGGCTGCCCAGGGATGTGCCTGACTTCAAATCGGCTTTACTAAAGAGGCATATCGGCCCGACACGTCGGTCCGATTTAGATTCCAGCAGCACAAAATACCGTCCCAATAAAAGTCTGAGTTCTGTGACCTCTCAGGATGGTTTGGGTCAGGGTTCTGATTCCTGAACCAGTATTACTGGTCTTGATTCATATTTGGCTTCGTTGTTTAACTTGCTTTTCTGGAGTCGTGTAACCATTCAGATGAGATGATCACATGCTAGTTCAGCATTGTTAGATTTGCATTTGCTGGTGGGTACGGAGTGGTGACATCACTGGTGGTCCATGTCGGTGGGATGGTCGTCTTCCCACTTAGCGTGTAGCACAACAAACACGTTAGACATAGATCCGTTAAAACCCGTCACTGATTGACAAAACTGCACCAGTCATATAGATTTGATCCAAACAAACAACAACAAACGCGTCTAAAACCAACCCTGGACAGTGTGTTCTCCCATGCACCATGTGACCCATGATGTCACTGTTTTTTCTCTCCAGCATAGTCTCGCCTACACTGCTGACTTGGTCCTGGAGCGGCTCACCCAGAAGGTGTCAGCGCTGACCTCCAGCTCTGAGCTACAGCCAGCTGAGGCTGCAAACACTCAGGAAGCTGATGCTCCAGTTCCGATCCAGGAGGAAAACACTTCATGTTGACAAACATGCAGCATTTCATTTAGTCCCAGTCTGCTGTTCTGATTGAATGTGCAGAATACCTCAGAGAGCCACTTTTCTCCTGATCATTTAAGCGATTGGATGGCCTCCACTAAAGGGAAAGTCCAACATCACATCCATCCTTCACCAGACAAACCCTGCATCGACTCCAGGAGCTGCACGCTGTCCGTGCATGTTGTTTAGGTTAAGAAGACTGAAGTGTTTTTACACAAAAATAAAAATTTGGATGAAAACATGATGGGATTCCCGGTATGTCTCTGTGACTCCGGCATAAAGAAGATCAGCAGTTCTCTATCAGAAATGGAACGGTGCCGGTATCTAAACGTGACCTCTGATTAGTAAACCTGAAGGACAATGTGTATGTTTAATGACTCACTTAATTACTGTAAATTAGTTACATTAGATTATCGTGACCCTTTTGTAACATGATCACAGAAATAAGAATAACTTATCCCTGAGTAGGGCAGCTCATGGTGTAACACCCCTCCACACTAGGGCTGAACGATTTTGGAAAATTATTGCGATTTAATTCATGATTATTTTCTCAAGGGGCATTTCTCATCTAACGGAAGCAAAAAAAAAAATCTATGTAACTTGTACTGAATATAAACAAGTTTATATATCTACATATCATATCAACAAGTTTGTCTACATAAACTCTCACAAGTTAAAAACAAAATGTTGTATTTTAAGGTGCAATGCTTTGCAGCCAGGAGCACATCCATTGAAGGACTATAGGTATTAGCGTCAATTGTGAAAACTGATTTGCAGGAAGTGGGGTCCCATTTATTGAAGTATTTTGATTTTAGAGTTTTTGACGTTTTGTCCATGCAGAGCTTCCGTAGTTCAATTTCGTTCATAGCTGCTAGCCAATGAAGTCTTACAGTTTTCTATCTTTAATGATAAATGACCCGCACTTGTACAGCGCCTCTCAGAGTAAGGACTCCAAAGTGCTTTACACTACAGTGTATTCATTCATCCATTCACACACACATTCACACACTGGTGGGGATGAGCTACGATGTAGCCACAGCTGCCCTGGGGCACGCTGACAGAGGCGAGGCTGCCGAGCACAGGCGGCACCGGTCCCTCCGACCACCACCAGCAGGCAAGGTGGGTTAAGTGTCTTGCCCAATGACACAACAGCAGAATTCTCTGTCCGGAGCCGGGATCGAACCTGCAACCTTCCGATTACTGGACAACCCGCTCAACCTGTTGGGCTACTGCTGCCCTTTACTAAAATATCTGCCTGTACTTACTAACAGTTTTTACTTTTTAGACTCCAAATGTAATAATTTGGCACGTTTCTAATTCGTAATTTGTAAGAATGTAATCAGCGATATTAGCATTAGCATCCCAATGGGTTTTTCTATGTATATTAGCATTGTGCTAACCAAGCACTGCCAGTCAAAGTGCAGCCTTTGCGATTAGAAAATCTTGTCACATCGCAGTTTAATTGCATATGCAATTAATCGTTCAGCCCTACTCCACACACACACACACACGAGTTTGTTTTTCTGTTCATATTTGGATTTTGTACTGAATTTGTTTCATTTTAGTAAGTGCATTACCGACCGAACTGTGAAGGCTTTTTTAGATCTTGTTTGGCCAACCCAAACCCTAACGCTAACCATAACCAGTGTAATCCTAAACCTATGTAACAAAAACTTAATTCACATCTTACCTCTAAACCTCACCCCCTAAGCCTAAAACAGGGAGTCCACTGGAACAGGTTTTGGTCCTGATATGGACCATCAGCCTTCAGAGGCGCCTCGTGATTTTTATCTTGAGAGGTGCTATAGAAATGATATTTTCTTCTTCTTCAGAAGATTAGTGAATGTGCCATTTCTGGTCCTAAGTAGGATATTTAAACGAGTACACACACACACACACAGTTTTTCCTTAGGCATTTTTGATCCATTTGTAATTTCTTATGTGTTCTGAAATGAGCTGGGGTGTTATGTGAATGAGCGTTTCAAAGGTAAGTGTGAGATTCGGATCCATGACCCCCTCCCCTCCACCACTCAAGCTATTCGGAAACGTCCACACTCGGGTGGCGTACACGTCATACTGAGATCAGAGACAAAGGCACGTGTGCATCTGACCTTCAGCTTAACCCTCAGGCTTCACTTTAATTTACTGTACACTTTAGTCTTTAGAGGACAGAAACGTCCGCTGGTACAAATGGCTATAAACATTTATACATACAGTCAGGTCCATAAATATTGGGACATCGACACAATGCCAACATTTCTGGCTCTATACACCACCACAATGGATATCAAATGAAACAAGATGTGCTTTAACTGCAGACTGTCAGCTTTTATTTGAGGGTATTTACATCCAAATCAGGTGAACGGTGTAGGAATTACAACAGTTTGCATATGTGCCTCCCACTTTTTAAGAGACCAAAGTAATGGGGCAGAATAAGAACCATAAATCAAACTTATACATTTCAATACTTGGTCGCAAATCCTTTGCAGTCAATTACAGCCTGAAGTCTGGAACACATAGACATCACCAGACGGTGGGTTTCATCTCTAGTGATGCTCTGCCAGGCCTCTACTGCAACAGTCTTCAGTTCCTGCTTGTTCCTGGGGCATTTTCCCTTCAGTTTTGTCTTCAGCAAGTGAAATGCATGCCCAATCGGATTCAGGTCAGGTGATTGACTTGGCCATTGCAAAACAGTCCACTTCTTTCCCTTGCAAAACTCTTTGGTTGCTTTTGCAGTATGCTTTGGGTCATTGTCCATCTGCACTGTGAAGCGCCGTCCAATGAGTTCTGAGGCACTTGCCTGAATATGAGCAGATAAAATTGCCCGAAACACTTCAGAATTCATTGTGCTGCTTTTGTCAGCAGTCACATCATCAATAAATACAAGAGAACCAGTTCCACTGGCAGACATACATGCCCACGCCATGACACTTTGAGCACCATGCTTCACTGATGCGGTGGTATGCTTAGGATCATGAGCAGTCCCTTTCCGTCTCCATGCTCTTCTCTTCCCATCACTCTGGTACAAGTTGATCTTGGTCTCATCTGTCCGTAGGATGTTGTTCCAGAACTGTGAAGGCTTTTTTAGATCTTGTTTGGCAAACTCTAATTTGGCCTTCCTGTTTTTGGGGCTCACCAATGGTTTACATCTTGTGGTGAACCCTCTGTATTCACACTGGTGGAGTCTTCTCTTGATTGTTGTCTTTGACACAGATACACCTACCTCCTGGAGAGTGTTCTTGATCTGGCCAACTGTTGTGAAGGGTGTTTTCTTCACCAGGGATAGGGTTCTTCGGTCATCCACCACAGTTGTTTTCCGTTGTCTTCCGGGTCTTTTGGTGTTGCTGAGCTCACTGGTGCGTTCCTTCTTTTTGAGAATGTTCTAAACTGCTGTTTTGGCCACGCCTAATGTTTTTGCTATCCCCCTGATAGGTTTCTTTTGTTTTTTCAGCCTAATGATGGCTTGCTTCACTGATAGTGACAGCTCTTTGGATCTCATCTTGACAGCAACAGATTCCAAATGCAAATAGCACACTTGAAATGAACTCTGGACCTGTTATCTGCTCATTGCAATCGGGATAATGAGGGAATAACACATACCTGGCCATGGAACAGCCGAGAAGCCAATTGTTTCATTACTTTTGGTCCCTTAAAAAGTGGGAGGCACTTATGAAAACTGCTGAAATTCCTACACCGTTCACCTGATTTGGATGCAAATACCCTCAAATAAAAGCTGACAGTCTGCAGTTAAAGCACATCTTGTTCGTTTCATTGATATCCATTGTGGTGGTGTATAGAGCCAAAAATGTTAGCATTGTGTCCATGTCCCAATATTTATGGACCTGACTGTACATTTTTGCTTTTGATAGATTTGTTAAAGATTTGTTAAACAACTTCAGTACTGCTCGAACATGTAAAAATTTCCATAATTTTAAGGATCTTAACCCTTCAAATGCCAGTTACTCAAAGTCATTGCTGTAATTTATGATTAAACACAAAAAATTAGTTATTGCCCCCCCCCCCCCCCCCCCAAAAAAAACCTAAACTTTCTGTTACATCCGACAGGTGATGTTAAAATGTGAAGGAGGGGGGTAACATAAATGTGACAGTGGAGTTTAAAATGGTTTTATTTGTAGTAAAAGGTTCTAAAAACAAGCAAACAGATGGCGTGCATTATAATAATGCCAAATCAAACAGAACTCTCTAAGGTTAACATCACAAATTATCAACTATAAAAACAACTGGTAAAAACTTATATTAAAAGTTTTACCGAGCCGAAGGTGTTTTAAACCGAAGTCAATAAAATTGCACCAAACCAAGTTAACCTTTAAAATGAACACACAGAAAGATCCCACTGGATCGCTCAGAGTTGAACTAAAAAGTAAAAACTCATCCAAACGAAAGTGGTTGAAACCGAAGCGAGACCAGGAGGACAGCAGAACCCCTATACTGCTGCCTCCCAGACTGCTGAAGGCACAGCCTTTTTATCCAGGCGTTGGTAATCAGCAAGATTTGGCTCCGCTGTGCTCCTCAGCAGCCTGGAAGAGAGGAGGAGGAGGGGTGGTGTCAGGCTGATGATCACCGGGGCTGGGTGATCCTGGCTCCTGGATCTCCCTGGCCAGACTGGTAGCAGTAAAACTGGGACATTTATCAGTTTTGTTATGAAATATCAGCAAAAGAAATTGCATCAATAGTTTTTGTGTAGCAACAGATCGATCTTAATGGATAAAAACGTTCCACTGATTTCCCAGTGGTCCTGTAACATCTGCAACAAATAATCATGCATTCTGTGATATTAGGGTTTCATTTTGGGGAAAAGTAGGCAAGTGGCAAGTAAGTAGCAAAATTATATATATATATATATATATATATATATATATATATATATAGTGTACATTTTTGTAACGGTGGACAATTTTGTCTTGTAAAGACTCAAGTGTTAAGTGTTTTTAGTGTTCTCTTGGTTCATTTTCAGAATTCCAAATTGAATTTCAAAATGTGTCCAGAGAGTGGTTATGTGACAGCATTTTGTACTATTTGCACAAACAAGGTGAAATGGCATCCAAAAGAAAAGCAAAGAAAAAAAAAAGCCCAAATTGACTAAAATGTCCCTATAATGAAGCCTGAGGGCTCAGAGACATGCCATCTGCAGAAAAACTCAGTGGTGGCTGGTGAAAAAAATCTTGGTGGGTCTGGAAAACAAACAGTTCGAAGTGGAGCACAGCTCCACAACAATCTTTTATGTCCCTTCCCTAATCAGCCCTTTCACAGATGAGCTCAATTATTAAATTTTCTTGACAAATTAGACCAATAACATGCTGATGAAATACACCATACCATACCATACCAATTTTATTTATATAGCACATTTAAACACGGCATGAGAGCCGACCAAAGTGCTGAACAAAAACACACAATAAAAAGAATCAAAAATAAAAACTAAATCCATCAAAATCAAGTAATCCAACTCGAAAAGAAAAGGAGAAAGGGAATAAGTTAGACAGAATTAAAAGCCAGAGAATAAAAGTGAGTTTTTAAACGAGACTTAAAAAGGGAAAGAGAGGAAGAGAGTCTGATCGGGAGGGGCAAGTGGTTCCAGAGCTTTGGTGCACAAACTGAAAAGGTGCGCTCCCTGCGGGACTTACAGCGAGAGCTAGGGACATGTAGGAGGTGTTGGTCAGCTGAACGGAGGGATCTTGTAGGGACATATGGGTGAATGAGCTCTGACAAGTAGCCAGGTGCTAAGTTATTGAGGGATTTTAAAACAAAAACCAGGATCTTAAACTCTATCCGGAGATGGATGGGGAGCCAATGGAGATTTGCTAAAACCGGTGTGATGTGTTCCCGCTGCCTGGTGCCAGTCAAGAAACGAGCTGCTGCGTTCTGCACAAGCTGAAGTCGAGCGAGAGTGGAGGAGGAGATACCGTACAGCACTGAGTTAGAGTGTCGAGACGGGAAGTAATAAATGCATGGACAACTGAATGGAGATGACGCCTTTTTAACATGGGCTTAACTTTAGAGAGACGCCTCAGGTGGTAATAACAGGTCTTAACTACCTGGGTGACATGAATGTCCATTTTTAATTTAGCATCCATCACAACCCCTAAGTTTGTGACACGGTTTTTCAATACACGAGCTGACCCTTCTACCAAACACTCTAGAGCAATGGCAGTCTACATTTTTTTACACTAGTTTTTACTCCAGCTGGAGTTTTCACTCTCCTGCAGCCTGTGTGTATTAATTTTATCATCTACTCTGAAGCATGTGCACCTCAACGTGCAATACTTGGTTCCACCTGTAGGAGGCACTAACACGACATAGAAAGTGAATTAGACATCATCACCACAACTTTATAGGAACACATTTTACTGCAGCAGCTATAGGTATGATTTAAACCTCTATATAAATCAAGAGTGAGTTTGGGTAAATAAGAGTGAGAGGAAATATCCATTCATCCTTTCATGCACGCACACACACGCTGGTGAGCTGATGTCTGGTTGGTGTGACTAGAAGGCCTGAGGGAAGAGAAAACAAATAAACCAGAAACAAAAAATGGCTAAAAAACTAAAGAGCAGAGAGAATATTAAAAATAACACAAGGGAGTAATAATCTAAATGAATAAAACTCAACGCAAGGGGATGAAACCTTTATTCTTGTAACTCCAGGACGTGATGGGAACGATAGCACAGGGAGTTACAGGGGGATCAGTGAAAGGACGATTATTCCCGGCGGTCTGGCAGAAACTAACTACATTTTTACCACAGAGAAAATCCAACTTAGCAAAAACATGATTTAATTTGTTTATTTTTAAAATTCTAATTTATATTGTTCTTTTAGTTATTCCACAGTTGTCTTGTCAGGATGTTTCTTGCCACTGGAACTGGATCAGATATGAAGGTCCTTCATCCTGAAAAGAAAACAGTGACAGATGGACAACAGACTCAAGCAGCTACGATCTCACAATAACCAAGGACGTTAAAAAAACAGGTCAGATGCAGAAGTGGTGTCATCATGAGGTCTAGTTTCATACCTAATGCATGCAGAACACTCTTGATATCTTTCTCTGTTCAGCTAAATAAATCCACAACGTATCATAAGTACTGATCAGGATTCAATCCTGCAGGATGCACAGGGGGGAAGTATACCCGAGATCACCCTAAAGAACTTAAGAGCCCTCTACTGGAGAGTTTAGATTCTGCATGTGGCAAAGAACTTTTTATCTGATGAGTTCATTAAATTCATATCAATATTCTCCTCAGATAAATATCAATCAATAAAATAGGATTTTCTGAGTATTATTAAATACCAGCCTTACAGAAGAAAGTTTGACTTGCATGTTTGTAGACTGGCCTGCCAGACTCCTCCTCTGTTTAATCCTAAAACTGTAGAGCTTCTGGATTTCTGGAGGAGCATCTACATAAAGTCAGAAAAAGGGTTTTTCTTGCTGGAAGAAGGATTCAGCACCACCCCAAAAGACGTGTCACCAGGTAGAGAGACTGATTTTTCAACCTCTTTGCTTTATGCAGGAACCTAAACTCAAAATCCCAGTGTGAGTTCTTCCAACGTTAATTTGAATTTTTAAACTTCTGTTTCCCACAGAACCAATTAGTCCAGGAGGCAGAATGTTTGTTGGTCTCCCCAGGCTTGGCGAGGTTGCACCTCATAGAACCAGTTCAACCGTCTCCTTGTGTTTGAAAATCCAGTCACCCCTTTTTAATGACTGAACATTTTATGAAACAGAGTCGGTTTTACATGAAAGGTTGTCTTTATGTGCCAACAACTCTCTCTCTCTCTCTCTCTGTGTGTGTGTGTGTGTGTGTGTGTGTGTGTGTGTGTGTGTGTGTGTGTGTGTGTGTGTGTGTGTGTGTGTGTGTGTGTACACATTGGCCTACGAATATTTCACCATTGTCTCTTGTATGACTTTTGCTGTCCATATTTTATCTCTGCTATGGCAATCAAATCAGTGTTGACACATTTTGATTCAGTTATGTGACACATTTTATAATAAATACCTGCTTTTTAGTTTTTCTCTTATCTGGTGGCATTGTCTTATTAGTTTACAAAACTTCTATTAATTTGTCTAATTATTATCTTAATTATTAGAATATTATGATACTCAGGCCAGAACATATGTAAAAATACAGAATGCATTTAAAAACATGTTACATATCATGTTATTATTATTATTATTATCTAGTGATTGGGTAGGGAAGGAAAGTAGAATAGATATAATAAGTCATAGGTTAGGCCATCATAATCCAGCATTGATAAATAAAATAGCATAAATGCTTGAAAAAGAAAAAGGTTTTGTTAACAATAACCCGATTTTCTGTGTTAAGATGCCCTAGTGGGCGACCTTAGCCAGTGGCTGGGTTGGAATTTGGTATTTTTAGCTAGATGATTTTTAGAGTGCAGCATCACTGAATTTAATGAGTTAGTGATGCTAGTTGATAGCGCCCCTGCAGCAGGAAAACTATTGGGCCATTCCCATCTGTACCGGGTCGGCCCGGGCCGGGTAGCCCCAGTCGGCCCGGTTGATTCCACACATTCTTGTCTTAAGCCCATGTGGGCTTATTCTACCCACCAATCAGAGGCTTGCTCTAATGGAAGGTGTGAATTTGCTGTCAGCAGTGGGTGTGTTGGCCCTAGTCGGCCTGAAGCAGACCCCCTCGAGAAGAGGGCTGAGAATGAGCCTTGGTTGGCCCGGAAAAATACCAGGCCACCCAGATATGTAAACAGCCTACGCTACCCGGCCCGACCCGGTACAGATGGGAATGGCCCATATCATGCTGGTCTTCTTTCCCCTCTCTGCAGTGGCGGCTAGCAATGGCGCCTCCAAGGGGTGGCCATGGCCTTCCTAGGAAATTTGGTTTGACTGGTCTAAAATGAAAAAGCGGTCCACTTTTGTTTCCTTGCCAAGTAAATCCTGGTCAGGCAGACCGTGGAGCTTAAAGATCTGCCTCATATTGTTAAACTCACAAATAGTATTGTGAATATAATCTCCAAGAAAGATGAAGGCCAGTGTACAGGCAACACCCCACATGTCAACGGCTTCAGTCAGAGGAAGACCTAAGTTCACCTCTGGTGCTCTGAAACCACACACCTGTATGGTATCACGCCATATTTTGTGTGTTTCCATAGCAACCCCAAAATCTATCAGCTTGACTCTGAAAGGCTGCGACTGATGATTAACCAGCATAATATTGTCCGGTTTTATATCTGCGTGAGTCACTCCAGCATTCTTCAGTGCGTTCAGAGCCACCAGCAGGTCGCGGGCAACCACCCGAACTTCACTGACATCTAGTGGTTCCCACTCTCTCGTTTTAAGTAAACCAAATAAGTCCATGTCCAGCATCTCAAACACTAAACAGAAGCTGTCATTAAATTCAAAGTGATCGATGAACTTAATCAGATTGTTCTGGTCAGCTTGGAGCACCCTGAGATGTTTCAATATAGTGGCTTCTCCAGTTGCTGACTCACTGTTGTCTTTTGTGGATACATTTGAGAGCCACGACTTCATCTGTCCCGTTTGAAATCCTTGACCACTTGTCCAAAAGCACCTGGAGCTGCAGCTTCAGAACATGGTGGACATGGACAGCAACAGAGTATCTTCAGTCAGAGTTTTCCTCACATCTGATGCAACACGATCATGTCAGAGCTAGAACCTCCTAGACCCCATTGAACCAGACACTTTCAGATCATTTATGAGTTTCTGATTAGTATCTGATTTCATTCTGGGACTAATATAGTATTTTTGAATTACATTATGACCTGAGAACAGAGTGGACTAGGGTGGAACTTTCCCTCAGAGTCTGTGTGAGAGTCACAAACGTTTCTTTTGACAAGTTCTTCATCACAGCAGGATTATCCAGCATCTAAACTTTCTGGTACAGAAACATTCATTGGTTGTTGTTTACATGGAACATTTAGATGTGTGCGAAATGTAAATGTGAGATTTAGGAAAAACTTAAAGTAAATTAAAAAAGTGCCAACAGCGTTTTCCCCACTGAAACAATGTGGACTGAGTTGCCATCAGAGCCGGGTCCTGGTGGAGTTTGGCCGGTCAGGGGCACTGTGGTTCTCCGGAGCCCCAGATTAGAGTCTCCTCTCTCAACAAAGGCAACAATAAAATCAGCTGCGCTCTTTATTCCGGACTTAGCAGAAATTCATCCTTCAGACCAGCGGCGCGTTTTTCAGAGCCGGAAGCTTCATCTGCGCTCTCACCGTAAAGCTGCGGCTGTTTTCTTCGGTTTTGCGCCAGCAGCAACATGAGGCAGCGACAGACCTGATCCCGCAGGTCCAGCATCCAGACCCCTCACAGACCTTCGGTACCGGACAGAAGTGGCGGTGCCGCCGAGAATGCGGTGCTGAGAGCCGCTGGGGGAGGGGGTCCGGGTTTAACGGGAAACATGATGATGGACGGTGGTGTCGGTGACGGAGGAGCCGTGGACCATGGGATCTATGCAAGTCCAAACCCCCAGAACCCGCTTGGGGACGCGGAACCGGATTCCCGCAAGCGGCCCCTGGAAACTCCGACTGAGGAGGCCGGCGGTAACAAACGGACCAACACCGGAGGTAAGCACCAGACTCAACACGAACCACACGAGACCAAAGAAACCCAGCCTCTGGGTCCCGTCCGACTCCTCAGCGCAGCACCTGTGCGCGCGGGGGTGGGGGGTTACGTCCGCCCCTCCGCAGCTCAGGTAGGTCTATTGGCACCTGCTCCACTTCCGGACCTGGTTCAAACCCGGGAAGTGATGTAACTTTAGACAACAGACCGAACAGACCTCTCTTAGGGCTTTCAAGAGAGAAGCTCATGGTTCCAACTCTCTGATCCCGACTGATCCGGACCGCCTTGGCCTGGTTTCCAGTAACCAGCTCCACCTGTAAGGTGTTCAGCCTGGGTGCATTGGGAAAACAGCTTCAGGTGCAGGCCCGAGAGGGCCCGGGAGGGTTGTGTCTGATCCAGGTGGGAGCTGGAGCAGAACAGCAGGTGCAGAAGCTTTCAGAGGCCCGGGTCCCAGGCCTGGAGGAAATCATCAGGATCCCGCTTCCAGTCTAGGTGTAAAGGTGCATTAGAATCAGTTCAGTTCAAGAAACGCAGATGAACAACTTTCATGTTTTAAGAAGTAGAAACTGACTGATTAGCTTTCCATGCAGGAGTGAGATGATTACAGCTGCTGTACGTCTTATTTCCTCCTGTCACAGTCTGCAGATCTGCAGCTCCACATGAATTAAAATGTCTTTAGAGAACCGGCTCTTCCTCCACCAGATATTACCAACATCTCTCTCTGCCCCTCATTCCAAATGACAGTTCAGGTAGAACCAAAAGGACTCATGTGGCATCAGGTGGTGTTGTAGAACAGACCCAGACCTCAGTACTCCATCAGCGCAGCACAAACAGCATGGTTCCCACCAACACTATCTACCTTAGGTGCTGCCATCCTCATGTTTTCTACAGCAGCTCTGACTTGGTGTCAGATAGTTTCTTCTGTATCACCTGCTCCAGGTGAGCAGGCTCCACGCTCTCCCGCTCAACACCGAGGCAGGTACGACAGAGGTAGACTAACAAACTGGTGGTCCGTCATGACTGTTCAGACTGAGACAGGATGGCAGCTGTTCCAGCTTCCTGCAGAAGCTCAGTCTCTGGTTCTGAGTGTTGTTTCATGGATACTTATTAACTCAGCGATGATGTTATTTTGTTGCACAATAAAAACAAACAAAAGGATTTATGTTGAGCAGTTTATCCACCACCAGCTGCCTCTAGAAGAATCATCCATAAAGACCTGTATCAGCCCCCCCCCCCCCCCCCCAAAAGGGAATGGCCACCAGGTTTTTGTGATGGAGACAGGTCTGTGATACACGTCACACCACCTTCTGCTAATTTAAACCTCTGAAATCTTGTTTCCAGAGTTCTACAAAACATTTTTTAGGAGACTGTTATTATTATTAAAATTATTAATAATAATTAATAGTGTTGTTTTTATTTGCTTTGAATTGGCCGTAGTTTGCATTTAGGTGCGTGCGGCTGAGATTCATAAAACCGTGTCCTGCGAGCCGGTGGTCTGAGCGTTTTGTTTCCACTGTTCTTCGCGGCCTTCAGACGCTTTTATTATTCACATGAATGAACTTGTGGTGAAGCGCCCTTCTCGTGGTTTTAACAGAAAAACGTTAGATGGGTGTTTTGCTCTCGATGTGATTTAGCATTGTTACTGAAGCAGCAGTCGGCCACAGCGGCGTGTGGCAACAGCCTGCTAATCGTCAGCCGTCCCTGTAATCAGCAGCCCCTCCGCTACTTCTGATATTGATCACGTTATTCCAAACCGACAGATCATTAACATGACTGGCACTTACAACAAAGGGAAGTAAGCCTGCTCTTTCAAAGCTGAGCCCCTCCATGTGCATTAGGAGCCGAGGACACTGGATGAAGGAAACTGCTCCTCTTTTATCAGCATTGCCCCTTTTTTTCCTGAAAATGAACATCTTGCATTCTTTTTCTCTTTCTAGCATGCTCTGAGCCCGTTTTTCTGGCATGCACACACCTACCGAAAGGTTGTTCTCATGGGGGATTAGGTATGATCTTGTTATGTTGCTAATGGAGGGGCTGGCACAGGAATGTGAGCTGTTTTTGTTTATTTATCTTTTTTCTTTGGTGGGAAGGACACAGGTGCCCTTGCAGAGCGATGTGACGTGAGCGGACTGTGAATTTGCCAGGTGGCAGTGAACGAGAGAATGGGGGGAGCAAAAGAAATAAAGACGGAGCAAAGAGGAGAGAAAAGGGGAGCTGAGAGAGGAATCCACAGGGAGGCTGCCTGTGTGATAGAGCACTTCTTTGTGAGTGGGAGCGTTTGAATTTTGGACGTTTTCACTGTGAAACCAGAATGGGCCGTAGTGCTGAGGCTTGATGTGTGTATGAAGGTAGCAGCATCCAGGAGGAAAGGAGTTGCACCGTTCCCTAGGAAGGATGGTTAAACGAACGCTCGTGTTTACTCACAGGTACTCCAGCACAAGCACGGTGCTGGTCTTACTCTCGTTTGGCCACTTAAGATAGCGCTCAGGGTAAGATTCATGGGCGTAGTGATTGGCTTCATCACCCCCCTCCACCATTCTGCGGCACTGCCATTTGCAATGGTTGATGAGCCTCTCCGCCCTCTCAAACATGGCCGTCCAAGGGATGGGGAGTGGGGTTGAGGAGGGTGAGCGGTGTAAAGCACGCTGTCTCACATCACTCCTCCTCCGCCTCCTTCTTCGTTTGGTTATGTTCTCCATGCTCCTCTTCAGGCGCTGCTGAAGGTCATTCCTCCTCCTTCTCCGTCAGCTCTCCCGTCCGCTCCATCAGCCGCTTCACCTTTGTCACTTTTCTCTAAAAAGAACAAGTGAATGGACTGCCATACTTTATAGTGCTGCGTCAAAAGAGGCGGAGTAGTGGGGAAAATTAAATTTTTGGGGCTGGCTTCGGGGGGGTGGGGACATGACGTGCCGCTGAGAGGAGGCCACCTATTGGCCGAGCGCGGCGTCAGTCCTTCTCTCTGCTGCAGACGGACAGGCCACTCGATGAATATGGATGAGAGCAGTGAAAAGGGTGATGCGGCAGGGAAGACCCCCCCCTCTCTTCAAACCAATGCAGGCTTGAACAATGCGTGCCGTCTTTCACTGAAAACACTCAGAGCCTGCATTAGCATTTTCTCAGACAATTGAGGCTCTGGCCAGCTGCAGGCATGGCTCGGATGCTGCGGTGAAACCTCCTTTTCTGCACCCACTGATGAATAAGACCTCGGTGAAAAAGGTTGACTGGCCGCATTCCTCAACACTACCATTGCACCTATGCCCAGGCTAATGTCGAGATCCCCTTTAGAGATTGTTCCCCGGCATTGATGGCGATCTGACCGAGGACTTAAGAAGCAGCAGATCTCAGAATGGGTAAGCTTCAAACTCTTTTTGTCTGACTTGTTGAATTAATCCTTCATGCAGGACTGTGAGTAGTTTTGTACGTCTGTGAGCCCATTTGTGCATTATTGCTCATTTTCGTTCCGTCGTCCTTGCTCCACAGCAGGAGCAGGTTAGTCCATTGAAATGCAGAATGGTTACTTGGAGGGGTTGTGAGAAGGAGGGGAGGACGGTCACAAGGCATTTCCTCCTGACCCACCCCCCTTGAGTGACTTAACTAAACATATTTGGCTCAAAGACCATGTCTCTCCTCCAAGCCATCCTCCCAGTGTTGGAAGCAGGGATTTGAACTGACACCCCACTGGCTCGGCTTCCCAGTGTGCCCCACTGCTCTTGTTCCCTGGCGACAGATTGCCATGTTTACTCTACCACAAGACGCCATTAAAACCTGTTACTGTGATCTCAGACACTAGGACAGAATTAATTATTGACTAATGACAGTAAACGTGGCTGTGAAGCTGATGGAGGGGATCTCAGCGGCTCACTCCTCTGCTGGCTTCAGTGTGGCTGAAGATGAGCAGAAACGTACGCAGTGGGTTTGGGCTTGTCTGTCAACAACAGGTCTTTGAATGTTGTAATGTGCATCTTATTCAGATCAGCTCTTTGTGTTGGTTCGCTGTCGGACATGACACATATCGTATGATGGGAGTGGAGGTTTAGGAGCTGTTGGATAGCTGGGAACGTTTTTTTTTTTATCCATCAAGGTCATTTTGTGTTTTATGTCATGAGGAAAGCAGAAATCTGATTGCACCACTACACAAAAACGAAACATCCCTCCAATGATGTCAGGGATGAGAAAAGTGTAATATGAAAGATAAAAAATGGAAGTTTGTCTATTTTATTCAAGAAGCTTTTGTTCACGAGTGACGTCTGTGTGAGGTTTTAGGATATTCCTGTAAAAACCTTCCGGATGAAACCTAAAACTGCAACACTGAGCGTATTATTGGGTGTTTGTCAGAGCCAATGGTTACCAGGGACACACATTAAACAAATAAAGAGCAGCTACTTTGTTGGCTGTGAAATTCTCTCATGTCACAGCGTCATGCTCACTCACATCTGATTCTAATGAGGCAACAGGTTGGGCTCTGGCCACCTCCGTCGTGCCGTCCTCCGTCTCCACCACGCCAGTCAAACCCTCCGCACGCAATGTTTTCCTAAAGTCCTAAAACGGAGGACAGAGCCTGCAGCCAGTGAGACAGCCTCGTGTCACACTCAGGAAATGGTAGAAAACGTCTCGTCGTAAAGGTGGACAGTGCCTCTTTGCATCCAAGCCCATTCCACTGACGTCACCCTTTATGGCAGCTGGGAAGGATCGAATATGACGTCACTGCATCCAAATCAGCTTGCAGAGGAGATTGTTTCTATGACTGCTTCAGTATGCACCTGTGCCAAGTATCTATGACACAATAGAGGCAATATTTAGAAGTTATCCCAGTTGCCAGACATCTGCAACTCTAAATTTTTAGACGCCGTTGGCAGGTTATTTAATGACATTTCAGAGCAAGCGCCATATGCGGTTGATCGCTGATTATACACTCAGCGTAATCAGGGTTTTCTTTGACTAACTATTTGGTGCTGATTGATTCCTAATTGGGACCGAGGGAGAAGGAACTCTTACAGCTAAAAACGAGAAAAGCGCCTGACTGCTTATTCTTCACACTGACGCGCTGTCAGTCACCGGCTGCTAAAAGCCACTATAAACCACACGAGCTCCTTCCAAACTAGAGGAGATTTAGACCATTTTGGCACCATCCCCTCTGAACAAATCTATGGGATTGGCTCCCATATGTTCTCAAAGTCCGTTAATTACAAATGATAATTCTGCGTAGCGACTCTGGAGCTGCTTGGACGGTGAGTGCATGAGCTTCCTCTAAATGTAATGCTGCATCTCAGGACACATCCTCTACATTCAGAGGCTTCTTTTCTGTAGCTCAGTGTGCCGAGGATTACTGACACCAAGCTTGACTGGGTATTTATTCAGAGGATGTTAAAAATCCTTGAAAATGGTTAAAATTAGACCTCTGCAAAGTGGAAAGGAGGTCATCATTTACTCCATGAAATCTGGGACAGGACACAGAACATGCCACGAGTCTCTACTAAAATCTGAATGCAATGAAAGCTCCGAACACCAAGTCAACGGATGTCGTCAACGCCGTTGTCTCAGTGCGCCGTATTTCTAAGCCGTAGTATTTCCACTATAGTTTTTGCTGTTTGAAGGCATTTGGGGGGGTTGGGCTCTTGCTGTATACAACGATGTGCGGAGCTGCTGCTCATGCTGTGGCCCTTTCCCACTTTGTGTCTCTCCTAGAGGAGGGCGAGTACTTCCTGAAGGTGCTGATCCCCAGCTATGCAGCCGGCTCTATAATTGGCAAGGGTGGCCAGACCATCGTACAACTGCAGAAGGAGACGGGTGCCACCATTAAGCTGTCCAAATCCAAAGACTTCTACCCCGGTAAGATCGACCACTCAGTGATCCAATCCCAAACGCCTAACCCACCAGCCAGCTGGAGTAAAGATGCTGGGTTACTCTTCATTAAGCTTACACGAGGAATTGCAGCCTATTCTGAGATGAATCCTTTCAGCTTTCAGATAATGAATTTGGGTCTTTATGTAATTTCTTTATTTTCATCTAAATCATTGTTTTTGCTTTTAATAAAGGTACCAAGCCCCCTTCTGACTTTTCCTGCTCCCACACAGCTGGGAGCTTCTGATCACCTCTAGAGGAGGATCAGTGTGATGTAATAATTAACACCAGCTCCTCAACGATAAACCTGCGGGTAGCATGCAGACCCACTTCCTCTACAGACACAGCTTTAGCAGAGCTGTCAGTAAATATGGACGACACCAATTTCTCAAACAAAGTTCTTGGATTCGGCACAGTCAGCAGCAGCTGTCTCTGGTGCAGCCTAGAGCGCCTCCAGCAGGAGCATCAGGATATTACAGACGTGTTACTGAGTATTGTGGAAAGAGCCGTGGTTTAAATGTTTTAGAAAAGTACGTTCACATGAACCAATGCGATACGTTAGAGGGCTGAGTTGTTTTAGAACCACAGGAGTTCCCTATACCAGGCAGACTAGCTGTTAGCTCATCAATCTGGTCCAAGATGGATCTATTCCATTAATTTACTTCCCGTTAAATTTCTTATTTCTTAGTGAAAAGCCCAAAATAAATTGTATTATTAATTTAATGTAGCTTCAGTGTAACGTTACCTGTGGGTTGTTTAGCATGGTAGTCCTGATCCACCGGATTGGTGAACGAAGCTCCACTTTCATTTGGTGATGAATAAACTGAAACTCAGAATTGTTCCTGATCTCCAGATGTGTTTCTATTTGTTTCCATCAGTTCCCATTAAAAATGCACAGGTGTGGAAATGTGTGATTAGCTGCACCAACAACTTGTTTTCCCCTGTCTGGTTTAAACTATAAGAAAAAACAGACTTAAGCTTCTGCTGCTGGAGCATTAGCACGCCAGCACCATGCAGTAGTAGTTAGTTTCACTGGTTCATGTTGTTATGACACATGGGTAACAGTACAGGGTTTGTGTTGGGCTTCCAATTTGATGGTGATAATGGTGTGTGTGTGTGTGTGTGTGTGTGTGTGTGTGTGTGTGTGTGTGTGTGTGTGTGCTTGTCTTTATATGCTTAAGTGGACACATTTTACCCTTTAACCGGTAGTGTGGACATTTCCGCATTGTGGGGACATCTGGCTGGTCCACACAATGACAAAACACCCTTAAATGTGGTTTTGGAGGAATGGTGTGAATTAATGTTTGTTTTAGATCAGAATTAGGAATAACAGCATTGGTTATGGTTAGTGTAAGAGTGGGGTTAGGCATAGGGGAGTCAAAAAATGAATGGAAGTCAGCGGAGGGTCCACACACAGAGAGACGTGTGTGTGTGTGTGTGTGTGTGTGTGTGTGTGTGTGTGTGTGTGTGTGTGTTCTTGTCTTTATGGGTTTGTGTGGACCAACCCCTGACGGGAGACCAACATTGTGTGGACATTCACCATTGTGTGGACATTTACCCGGTCCACACAACCAAAACCCTAGAGGAAGCTTCCTTTGTCCTTATAAGTGTTCTGACTAATTTTCACAATATGACCCCATAGAGATGTTAATCCCTGAAAAGTGTGTGAACTGCTCTGCTCTTGAGTGTCCCTGGTGGACACACTTCAGTACTGCAGCTAAAACATTTCTTTCACAGTTGATTTTTTTGATTGGTTGGTGGAGGGAATTTTCTGATTGGCTGTGTGGACTGCTCTTGAGTCACTCTAGTGGACGCTCTCAGTACTGCAGCTAAAATATGTATTTGGCAGTATTTTTTTTATTTGTCTATGATGGTAATTTTCTAATTAACTAATGGTTGGATTTTCTTGGTGGCTGTTCCTTTCATGTTGGAATATAAGCAGGAAGTTGATTAGGAAAATATGCACAACTAAGTTCTTCAGTTTATTTTAAATATAACATGTAGTTCTTGAAAACAAAAATTAAATAGATGATTTTTGATTATATAAATGATTGAAAATAATGAATACATTTACAACTTAATTATTGTTTTTGCTACTTTTTCAATGTGAATATTTTTCAAAGCCTTTTAATAGTTTTTTTGTTGTTTTATTGTTACTTTTAAAGTTGTGGAGTAGAGGCTGACACATTTTTGGGATCCCAGTGGATAACATGAGGCCTGCAGGATTCCCGTGAAATGGGAGTCAAGTTATTTATAGTCACGTTATTGGGACAAAGCAGGAAAAATAATCATCAAGAGTGGGCAAGATTAGGAATAAAATTAATTTTGTTTCCCGTTCAATATGAAATGAGTTTCTTTTAAAATAATGTGTCGTTTTAATTTATATTTAGTTTTGTCTGACCCCAATCAACTAAAATTAATAACTGAAAATACAAAAACACTTCTAAAGCATTCCAGAGACTTAAATGGTCTTTCTATCTAAACTACCGAATAACTCCTGGGCGCAGCCAACGCTCCGCTTCCTGGGGATGGGTCAAATACAGAGATGAATTTCATCATTGTGTGATGATGACTATGGAACTTTAACTTTAATTACAGAAATAAATGCATTATTGCATCGTATTCTAAGTTTTCCAGTTTCACTTGTTTGTATAATTTGGAGTTTTTATTGGCATTTCTATTATTCATAATCTAGTAACAGCTTATCTATGAATAAAATTCCTTAAAACTGACACTAGAACAGGCACAAATGGCCTATTTGAGACCACATGGCAAAAAATGCAGGAAAACTGCCCACATTGCCCAAACGGACCCTTCGCACATTCCAACAGGCACAGATTTGACGTGTTTGGTTTGGGCCAGAACCGGGATGCACTAAAAAAAGTTTTGTGCGCCTCAGATAAACGTAAGCCGAACAGCAGCCAAAAAGGGGGTCAAATCTAGTTAAGGCTCCATTTCGGGCCTTTAGCTCTAGCATGTAGGGATTTTTTGACCTACCTTCCATCGTACAATTAAGATGAAATGTGGTGAGCACTTACAACTTATCAGTAGCGACTCTCACCAATATTTCCAGATTTTTGTCTTATTCAGGGGTCGATCTATTACCTGAAAAATGCCTAAAAATTAATTTTGGCCTACGTTTCTGTCTTTTATGTTTATGTTTATTTATTTGGGAGACGCTTTTACCCAAAGCGACTTACAATTTGTAACCTATAGGGCATGTTGTGATCTGTGGGGGAAACCGGAGTACCCGGAGGAAACCCACGCATGCATGGGGAGAACACGCAACTCCACGCAGAAAGGCATGCAGCCCAAGATAAGCTGTTACTAGATTTTGGGGGGCTATATCTTGGAAACCACAAAATACTTTGGCATGCAACCACCTCAGGTGGACTCGTCCCAGGCCCCAGATCAACATACTAAAATATGGGGTCACTGGCACAAGCAGAAATTTTTTTCTACTTTGGACCAACTGAATCACCAGGTCTTTTATGGAGCTATGTGTCCAAGACCCTATTTTGTGGCTGAAATCAGACATAGGACTTTTTTTTCTGGGGGGTTTCTGGGAATTTGACACTGAATTCTGATTGTGCTGCCCCATGGGGACATACCCTCTGAAAACGGGGCCAATTGGCCGTTCCGTTGAGGAGTAATCGCAATAAAAGAGAATGACCCCAGTCACCTGCCGGTCGAGTGCCCACAAGGCCAAAAGAGCACTCAAACGACAAGCTACAGCTACGAAATTGCCAGGGCTTGCTCGGGGTGGTGCCTGCATGCGGAATCTGAGGATGTTTGGTGAAAATCTGCTGAAAAAATGCCACATTTGAGACCACATGGCAAGAAAGGCAGGAAGACTGCCCACACGGCCCAAACAAACCCTTAAAGGGTTCCGACCAGCATGACTTTGACGTGTATGGTTTGGGCTAGAACCGGGATGCACTAAAAAAAGTTGTGTGCGCCTCGGACAAACGTAAGCCGAACAGCAGCCAAAAAGGGGGCCAAATCTAGTTCAGGCTCCATTTCGGGCCTTTAGCTCTTGCATGTAGGGATTTTTCGACCCACCTTCCATCGTCCAATTAAGACGAAACGTGGTGAGCACTTACAACTTATCAGTAGCGACTCTTACCAATATTTCCAGATTTTTATCTTGTTCAGGGGCTGATATATTACCTGAAAAATGCCTAAAAATTCATTTTGGCCTACATTTCTGTCTTTTAAATGAGTCCAAAATGAAAAAGGCCTAAAATGTTTTGTGACCTTTAACCTTTCTGTATGGCCTAGCAGCCTATAAAATGGGGGGGTCGGACCAGAGGGTCACCTGAAGCTACAGTAAAAATTTCAAGGTTAATCAGAAGCCGAGTTTCAGCGGCTGAATATTAAAGGTACACTTTAATGAGGTTCACCTTTGTCCTAGTTACAAAGCAAACAAGCAGGGGAAAGGGATGCTTAACCCTTCAATTTGGCCTAAGTTTCAGTCTTTTCAAGCAGCTCAATGGCACGCATGGCACCAAAATTATGCCACCTCCTAACAGTGAAAAGTGTGGGTTTTGGGGGGCTATATCTTGGAAACCACTAAAGACTTTGGCATGCACCACCTCAGGTGGACTCGTCCCAGGCCCCAGATCAACATACTAAAAGATGGGGTCACTGGCACAAGCAGAATTTTTTTTCTACTTTGGACCAACTGAATCATCAGGTCTTTTTTGGAGCTATGTGTCCAAGACCCTATTTTGTGGCTGAAATCAGACATAGGATTTTTTTCTGGGGGGTTTCTGGGAATTTGACACTGAATTCTGATTGTGCTGCCCCATGGGGACATACCATCTGAAAATGGGGCCAATTGGCCGTTCCGTTGAGGAGTAATCGCTATAAAAGTGAATGACCCCAGTCACCTGCCTGTCGAGTGCCCACAAGGCCAAAAGAGCACTCAAACGACGAGCTACAGCTACGAAATTGCCAGGGCTTGTTCGGGGTGGTGCCTGCATGCGGAATCTGAGTTTGTTTGGTGAAAATCTGCTGAAAAACTGCCACATTTGAGACCACATGGCAAGAAAGGCGGGAAAACTGCCCACACGGCCCAAACAAACCCTTAAAGGGTTCTGACCAGCATGACTTTGACGTGTATGGTTTGGGCTAGAACCAAGATGCACTAAAAAAAGTTGTGTGCGCCTCGGACAAACGTAAGCCGAACAGCAGCCAAAAAGGGGGTCAAATCTAGTTCAGGCTCCATTTCGGGCCTTTAGCGCTTGCATGTAGGGATTTTTCGACCCACCTTCCATCGTCCAATTAAGACGAAACGTGGTGAGCACTTACAACTTATCCGTATTGACTCTCACCAATATTTCCAGATATTTATCTTGTTCAGGGGCTGATATATTACCTGAAAAATGCCTAAAAATTAATTTTGGCCTACGTTTCTGTCTTTTAAATGAGCCCAAAATGAAAAAGGCCTAAAATGTTTTGTGACCTTTAACCTTTCTGTATGGCCTAGCAGCCTATAAAATGGGGGGGTCGGACCAGAGGGTCACCTGAAGCTACAGTAAAAATTTCAAGGTTAGTCAGAAGCCGAGTTTCAGCGGCTGAATATTAAAGGTACACCTTAATGAGGTTCACCTTTGTCCTAGTTACAAAGCAAACAAGCAGGGGAAAGGGACGCTTAACCCTTCAATTCGGCCTAAGTTTCAGTCTTTTCAAGCAGCTCAATGGCATGCATGGCGCCAAAATTATGCCACCTCCTAACAGTGAAAAGTGTGGGTTTTGGGGGGCTATATCTTGGAAACCACAAAAGACTTTGGCATGCACCACCTCAGGTGGACTCGTCCCAGGCCCCAGATCAACATACTGAAAGATGGGGTCACTGGCACAAGCAGAAATTTTTTTCTACTTTGGACCAACTGAATCATCAATTTTTTTTGGAGCTATGTGTCCAAGAACCTATTTTGTGGCTGAAATCAGACATAGGATTTTTTTCTGGGGGGTTTCTGGGAATTTGACACTGAATTCTGATTGTGCTGCCCCATGAGGAAATACCCTCTGAAAACGGGGCCAATTGGCCGTTCCGTTGAGGAGTAATCACAATTAAAGAGAATGACCCCAGTCACCTGCCGGTCGAGTGCCCACAAGGCCAAAAGAGCACTTAAACGATGAGCTACGGCTAAAAAATTGCCAGGGCTTGCTCGGGGTGGTGCCTGCATGCGGAATCGGTGTTTGTTTGGTGAAAATCGGCTGAAAAAATGCCACATTTGAGACCACATGGCAAGAAAGGCGGGAAAACTGCCCACATGGTCCAAACTGACCCTCAAAGGGTTCCGACCAGCATGACTTTGACGTGTATGGTTTGGGCCAGAACCGGGATGCACCAAAAAAAGTTGTGTGCGCCTCGGACAAACGTAAGCCGAACAGCAGCCAAAAAAGGGGTCAAATCTAGTTCCGGCTCCATTTCGGGCCTTTAGCTCTTGCATGTAGGGATTTTTCGACCCACCTTCCATCGTCCAATTAAGACGAAACGTGGTGAGCACTTACAACTTATCAGTAGCGACTCTTACCAATATTTCCAGATTTTTATCTTGTTCAGGGGCTGATATATTACCTGAAAAATGCCTAAAAATTAATTTTGGCCTACGTTTCTGTCTTTTAAATGAGCCCAAAATGAAAAAGGCCTAAAATGTTTTGTGACCTTTAACCTTTCTGTATGGCCTAGCAGCCTATAAAATGGGAGGGTCGGACCAGAGGGTCACCTGAAGCTACAGTAAAAATTTCAAGGTTAATCAGAAGCTGAGTTTCAGCGGCTGAATATTAAAGGTACACCTTAATGAGGTTCACCTTTGTCCTAGTTACAACGCAAACAAGCAGGGGAAAGGGATGCTTAACCCTTCAATTTGGCCTAAGTTTCAGTCTTTTCAAGCAGCTCAATGGCACGCATGGCACCAAAATTATGCCACCTCCTAACAGTGAAAAGTGTGGGTTTTGGGGGACTATATCTTGGAAACCACAAAAGACTTTGGCATGCACCACCTCAGGTGGACTCGTCCCAGGCCCCAGATCAACATACTAAAAGATGGGGTCACTGGCACAAGCAGAAATTTTTTTCTACTTTGGACCAACTGAATCATCAGGTCTTTTTTGGAGCTATGTGTCCAAGAACCTATTTTGTGGCTGAAATCAGACATAGGATTTTTTTCTGGGGGGTTTCTGGGAATTTGACACTGAATTCTGATTGTGCTGCCCCATGAGGAAATACCTTCTGAAAATGGGGCCAATTGGCCGTTCCGTTGAGGAGTAATCACAATTAAAGAGAATGACCCCAGTCACCTGCCGGTCGAGTGCCCACAAGGCCAAAAGAGCACTTAAACGATGAGCTACGGCTAAAAAATTGCCAGGGCTTGCTCGGGGTGGTGCCTGCATGCAGAATCGGTGTTTGTTTGGTGAAAATCGGCTGAAAAAATGCCACATTTGAACCACATGGCAAGAAAGGCGGGAAAACTGCCCACACGGCCCAAACGGACCCTCAAAGGGTTCCGACCAGCATGACTTTGACGTGTATGGTTTGGGCCAGAACCGGGATGCACCAAAAAAAGTTGTGTGCGCCTCGGACAAACGTAAGCCGAACAGCAGCCAAAAAGGGGGTCAAATCTAGTTCAGGCTCCATTTCGGGCCTTTAGCTCTTGCATGTAGGGATTTTTTGACCCACCTTCCATCGTCCAATTAAGACGAAATGTGGTGAGCACTTACAACTTATCATTACAGTCTTGTTGTCAGTGTGAAATTGCTGGTGGCCACCACATCAATACATTTATCTTTGGCTTCAATTTTTTTCATTTTAGTCTACATGTGGTTTTATAGTGTTGCTACATGTGAAGGAAGTCTATTAATTAATATTTTCATCAAGGAGTTTGCATATATTATTACTTAAAAAGTATAGGTTGTGTTTCATGTGTATATTTTAATAGTCTTCACAATATTTAATAATTTTTTTAACTACATCATTCTCACTAGTGTTGCAGGGCAAGAGAAACACTGGACAAGCCTCAGTCCATCACAGAGACACACCCTGGGACAAACAACCAGTCGCATAATCACTCATAACTAGGGACAATTTAGATTCACCAGTTACCTTGATTGATGTGCATGTTTTTGGTCTGTGGAAAGAAACCAGCGCTTACATAGGGAGAACATGCTACCTCCACACAAAAAGGCCACGCAAGCTGGATTGAAACAGGTGGCTTATTTGCTATGAGGCAACATTGCTACTAATTTCACCACCATCAAGCCCCACAATAGTTCATTATGATGAAAGTCCAAGTCTGAAGTTAAAGAACTTATATCAAATAAAAATTTAGAAATAGAATTTACCGACAGGTAATTGAATATTAAACTCAAAGTTAGTCCTGTATCCTGTGCTCCCATTTGCTAAGTTTTATGTGAGCTTAAAAATAAAAGCATGTAAAAGAAGGTGTTTTTAAAAATTTTGGTTTCAGATAAAAAAAAACAACCAAACATTTAATTTTTTTAGTCTTTATTTCTAGTTGAAAATGTAAAGGGGGATGTTTTTTTCTACAGGGTCAAGTCATGAACATTGAGGCAGGGTGAGGGAGACGTGGCCCTTTTCAATCCAAACTGTTCTGTACAGGTTGTTTCTCTTGAGTTCAGAGGCACTCATCAACAAGAAGTCAGGGTGGGGGATGGGTGGCATTAAACAGTGGACTGGCTAACTCAGGGTGGGGGATGGGTGGCATTAAACAGTGGACTGGCTAACTCTTAAACCTCTGCTGCATTCAAGGAAAATGTGTAACTACCAGTACACTAGTTACACTCAACATCAAATCTGAACCCTGTCTTTTTAAATATAAATTTCACACTGTGTTAAAAAGTGCATAACAATTTCCTTAAAAGTCATTACATGAGCAATTTTTCAAAAGAAATATTTTTAATCTATTAAAACGTGGAGATCTGCACGCAGTTCTCAACTTTCTCAGTGCTCCTGAAAGCAACATCAGTGAGGGGATTCACGCAGCTGCAGAGCATCGGAGAAGCAGATGGAAACTGTTTCAGTGTTTGGAACCAGAAAAAAGTCTGCAACTAAACCAGGTAAGATTTATTTTTATTCATAGTTAACTGTGTGAGGTGTTTGTGTGTATGTATTTTGTTTATTTTGTCAAAAAAGATTGACAACTGGTGTAGTTTCGTGTAGCCTGTGTTGTAAGCTTGACAAAGTAAAATCAGGGGATCATTTTTATCTTTTATTTGTTTTCAGAACAGTTGAATTATCTTACTTTATTCCTTAAACCACTGCAGGGATCCTTTTTATTGCTTTGAATGTACTTGCTTTGCTGCAAACTTCAACCCACTGTTTTAGCTTGCTAACCGGGATTTAGCATGACATATTGACAAAAGGACTTGTAGCCCAAACTATTGCCTTTGACTTTCTAGTCAATTCAAACTGTAAAGAAGACATTTGCTTCCAATCTATGAGTTTGCTTCTCTGAACATACCAGTACTGGTCCAGAACTACAATGATTACCGGAAGTGCGTTCATCCTGGAACTATGCCAGCAAAAAAGCACTGAGGTGCATTAGCAGTTTAATTAGTTTTAATTATTTTAAGTCACACAGAGAATAAGAAAATAAACTGCTGCATCAACCTGTAATGTGTAATTACTAATACTAAACTGCATTGTAGACCTGTGTGCAGTAAATGGTCAATGTACAGTAACTGAGTAAGCCAACAGCCTGTGGGTGGACATTGAGTAGTTTACCACAGTGAGATTATCTTTTTGTGATTTTTATTTGACAAACAAACGCTGTAAGTATTGCTGATAGGTTAGTGAATTAAGTTAATTAATTTTTACAGTCAAAATACCTAATGTATTTGAAACTTTTACACTAAGGACCCACAATTTTAACCACAACACATGAATATTTTTTAAATAAAATGATTTTATTGAACATGGTACTTTTTGATGGAAAATTTAGCTGCACAGACTAACACTGTAACCTGCAGCTCAGTCTCGTCTCCTGTGCTCCTTGTACAGAGTGAAATTGTCTGACTCCCATACAGGAGAACAATTTAATCTGTTAAGCAAACAATCAGCTGATAGTTTAAGACGGTCTATAAAGTTGACTACAAGCTAGTGAACATTAAACCACAACAGCATTCTGCCGGTTACCGGCAGTACTCATAGCTCATTTTTGTCTTCCACTCAGCCAAGTTTTATTTCATATTTTACTTTTAATACACACTAAATATACAGCTGTAGAAGAGAAGCTAGGGTTTTTCCTGCGTTCAAATTTATGTGGCCGCCACGTGAGAGACCAACTCTTATCTGCCCCTGGGAGCCCCGTAATGCATAGCGTCATTTCAATATGGGGGTGTCCGCGACAATTTTTTATATGCAGGTAGCGGCACTGTGGCTGCTTTAAATAGTGAATCGTTGCATTCTCCCTCAGCCCAAATCCTCGGATCACGCATTTTAGCTAAAATGCTAATGTTAACTTGCCTTGCGTTGACTGTAGAGTTGTGGGTGATGGTCACGCAGATGTGTCATGAAATTTGAAGCGTTGCTGCCTTTCACAGACACTTTTTCTGCACGTGCTGCAAACAGGATAGCCGTCTTCTATCAACTGTCCCTCGGCATTCTTCATATATCCAAAAAAATGCCCATACTTCCAACTTTGTCTTCTCTGAGAGATAATAAATGTCCTGAGCGCTGCCGTCTCCTCCTCTGGCCATTATTTCGGCTTTAGCCTCAAGAAAGTTTTGGTTGTAAACAACAAAGTGCGCATGTGCTGCAGGCAACTGCAGCAGATGATACGGTGGTCGGTAAGGGTCACCGCGCCTACATTGCAGCCACGGTAATCCACCGAGATAATATATATTTTTAAAACAAGACGATTATTATTATTGTCCACTTTTTTACCGGGGTTTACCACTACACTGGTTACCGTGACAACCCTAATGCCACCATTACATTGTTAGCAGCAGAAATTAAATGTTCTTACCATTTCCAATACAAATGCATGTTAATGAAATCCATTATATTTTACTGGATATATTATGTGTTATTTTGACTAAGGTGAGGGTTATTAATGAAAACCTAAAATGTTACTGAAATGTAGGTCGATTTTTAAAAATATTTTAAACTTTAAATATCAGATGGGAAAAAGGAACTAAATCACAATCTAATGCATATTATTGAACCTTTTATAATAAGTCTGTTGTTTCAGCCTGATAATTTTGTTGTTTTATTTCAAATGTTTTAGCAGCAAACCAGTTTTGTTTCACTTGAAACGTTGTCAAATGGGATATTCAATTAATCAACAGAAACTTAGATGAGAACACTTAATGAAAAAATATTTTTGCCTTTAAAAAAGTGAGGCAGTTGAATGCACACAATATGCATGTGCTGGTGCATGGTCAAGATGGTACCACCTCTGCCTCAGTTTGAGCCAGGAAGAACCCTGGAAGCATTACCTAAAACAAGGAAAATACTTCCAATCATAGCCATGAATACGTAGATGCCCCATTGGCCACTGGAGAACGTAACAGCTTTGTCGCTGTATTGGATGGGTCTCCTCACTGTCCACAGTCAATGCAGAGTGAGCAACTATGCCCGTTTTTGTTCAGCTTACGGTTAACACAACGGGCGTACAATTGAAAACAGATCACTTGGGATTACTATTGACTTTTCTAGCCTTCCTGATTGTACTTTATATTTTAATTTATTTTGTTTCATTATATTCATATATTAATTATGCTATATCATGTGTCTGATTTTGCAAAAAAGCTTGATAAAATGTGCTGTTTAGTTGGGTAAGCACCTTAGAAATGAATGCACTGGGGGCAAATTCCTTCACATTTACATGTTCTTTTTTGTAGATAATGAGCAGAAGGAAGAAGAACAGGAAGAGATAATGGTAAGTATTTCTTAATTATCCTATAGGACTTAAATATGGCTTAAAAATAAAATCTCAGATTTTTTCTTCCAAATTCTAATTGAATTTTATTATTTTTCTCCCTTCTTTTTCTTGAAAAGAAAATACAAATAACAGACAATTTTTTTTATTTTGTCAAAAAAATTGTTTTAGAAACATCTTTAGGATTTTGGTCACCATGAAGGCAGAAGGCAGCTGGTAATCAAACAAAATATTCACTGATTTAGTGTTGTATTAAATTTGTTTAGACTTTTCTACTTATAACTTCAAGATCATATATAACAAATATATATTTTTAACCAAACATAATCAGTACTGACACTAAACAGCTTTGTTTGAATTAAAAACGTCTGTGATTGCCAGTAAACTGAACCTGGGTCAGGCTAATGCTTGGAATGGACGTACTACCAACATATATGAAAAATTTAATTTACAACTATTTACTGGTTAGAATATTCTTTAGCTGTCTGTTATTTCAGGTTTTGGTTTGGAACTAAATTATTTGCCAGTGTGTTATAGCAACCCAACTTTAACTAGCTTGATTAATGCTTTTTAACCGTAATAAACCAGAGGCCCCTCCTGTACTGGAAAGAAAAGTTCCTTTAGTAAGGTTGCTGAGAAAGCTAACAGCTGGCATTGGTGAGGAGTAAGCACCACCTCACCCCTGCCACGTGGACCTCAAGAGATAAACCATCAATCCTGCTCAATGGTCAACTTTCCTTGCGGGGGTCACCCATTAGGACAGTGGGAGGGTTAAACTGAGAACAAATCAAGATAGGAAACAATCTGCCTGATTTTTCACCATTAAAATGCCACTGTATTCATGAGGGCATAATGCAGCTCACTGATGGCAGCATTGGCCCAGTCTGTCAGCTAACTCATGTTGGAAGGTCCCAGTGGCAAGAAATCACAAAGTTGTCAATAACGGAGTATGGACTGGAATTAGATTAGTGTGGTTTGTCAGTGGCTCCACAAAGGGTCTCAAATCATGTCACAGCTCCAGAAGGATCTCTGTCAGGAGGCAGCATCTACTCAAAAGCACCTCTAGATTCTCACTACAGGGAAAATGTCCACTAGAGAACACGGTCTGCTAAATCTTCCAACAACAACAGATCTACCATGCTACAATGTCAGCTTCCCGTCGGTCACAGATGCCTTTTTATCGGTTCCAATATCAATTACACGACAAAACTGTTTCTCCACAGACATAATTACTGATTGGGTAAAAATAATTTGTGGATGAGGAAGAATCGTGGATGACTGAGACCTTCAATACTACGGTTACACCATTTTACTATTAGATGCTGTTCGTACGCATGGTCAGACGTGTTATGTTTAAGAACATTTCTACACACAAGTTTCATCATGCTAAATACCACACTATGACCTGTTCATTACTAAAACAATCTACTGTGCTGCTAAGTCTTTGTGTCTCACATTAACTAATACCACCATTAAAACAGTGATTTAAAATGGCATTAGGTGAAAGTAGCTGTGTAGATGGTTGTGTTGGTTCTCTGATGACCTGTCCAGATGTACTCCATCTCACCAAATGGATAAAGCAGGTATAAAGTGCGCATGCATGAATAGAAAGATGAATAGATGTAGTTCTCCCTCATTACTGCACTAATGTCGGACTAGAAGACTCAAGAAGTCCTGTAACAAAAGTGTGAGCTCAGCAGAGCAACTCTGTTGACTGCAGGATGTTCTTCATGTTACTGTCACATGATAAAGTGCAGGGGTCACATGGCAGCAGCTTTACAGACTGTTGTCCCAAAATTAAGCCAAAATTTCTTTCTGGCCACTGCCAAGTTGTATTTTGGAGCCAAAGTCTGAACTCTCAGCACATGGGGCTGAAAGTCTAAAGAAAAGCGTCCAATGGCCTATTAGAGTGGGGCTGGATGATATAGCAAAAAAGTATGTCGATAAATGTTGTTTTAAATTGATCATAATCGATAATTATTGAAAAATATATATATATTTTTTTAAAATGTAGAAAATATTTTACATGCACCCCTGGCCATTTTATTTTTGGTATTTTGATTTTTTTCTCCGCCTCTTCTTGCTGCAACGTCTTTAGGGCTTCCACAAATGGCTATTTTAGTAGTCGACTAATCGTGTCATTTATAAAAGTTTAGCTTATTGCACCAGGATGCACTAATATACCATCATTAGCTTCTAGTCTGAAGTGTGATCTGCTATGGGCCATCTAATAATAAAGACAAGATGATAGCTTAGCAAACAACTTTAACTTGTAACCTGTTGATACAAATGCTACAACTACATGGAGGTAGGCACCTAAAACCAAAAATGACTTGTGTTCACAAGAGGCATGGTGGCAAGGTTGAAGTGCTTCATCTTCCAATCTTCACTCAGGAAATAGCAGGACACACCAAGGTACACCCTTTGTAGCACGGCTAGTCCACACATTAGCAGTCAGGGATCATCGGCAGCTCTGAGGGTCTGCTTTAGTGTAAAGATAAAAGATATTAAAGTTAGTTTATTTACCAGATTAATAATTCTGTTAAATCAAATAAAGTAGGTTAAGTTTTAACACAAAGAAAATGTTTTATGCTTTAAAACTATTAGGTTTCTTGATTGTTCAGTCAGCGGCCTTTTTATTTTTTCATAAATGCATTTTATTCTAATGTTTATTTTATTTGTATCTAGAGAGAAACTGACACACACACACATCTTAAAAGTTGTGTAACTCTTCTTTTCCATCATGGTGGTGAAGTGGGACCAGCCTGGTAGATGGTTGTTGTCATATATATGTCTGTAAACTCCACTCTAACGTAGCGGGATGGAATCAATCATTAGCGTTTGTAACTGGAGCAAAAATATGTGACATACAAACGTGTTCTAAAGGTAACAACGTCACCATCTCTACTGGTGTTGCTGCAGCTATAATCACAAGTAGCTCTTCTCAGCTCTACTGACTCTCAAAAAACTATTTTCGACATTCAAAACTCTGCTCAACCCTCCTTCTCCACCTCCTACCAACAATCTATCAGCAGTCACCTTTGCCTCATTCTTCACTGACTGGCAGCTATAAGCTATCAGTTTACTCAACTGGCCACTCCTGAACATTCGCTTCCACAATCTCCTTCTAGCCCAACCATCTCAGGCCCTACTGCTTCATTTTCCTCTTTTTCCCCTCTCACTGAGAACTGTGTGTCCAAGCTTGTCACGTGCAGCCGCCCTACTACATGTCCAGGACCCCATTCCGACTAAGCTGCTCCAAGCTATTGCTCCTACAGTAGCTGCAGCAGGCACTTATGTGATCAACGCTTCACTGACATCCGGATTTCCTATCTCTGTCAAGCATGCTCTGGTTAAACCTCTGCTAAAAAAAAACCCATCTCTTTCTCCAAATCATGTGGAGAACTACCGACCTATCTCTCTCCTCCTTTTTCTGTCCAAAGTCACAGAAAAGGTGGCTTTCATGCAGATCACAGAATACCTCTCACAAAACTGTCTGCTTGACCCTTACCAATCTGGGTTCAAAAAGGGCCACTCCACTGAAACTGCTCTTTTAGCAGTGATGGAATCCTTAAAAGAAGCTAGAGCAACTGCCAAATCCTCAGTGCTTATCCTGCTCGACTTATCGGCTGCATTTGACACTGTCAAACATGGCTTCCTTTTGTCCACACTCTCTAGCATGGGCATCACAGAGAAAGCACATGCCTGGTTTGAATCGTACCTCACAGGACGATCATTTAGTGTACAGTGATCCCTCATTTATCGCGGTAGATGCGTTCCAGACCTGGCCGCGATAGGTGAAAATCCGCGAAGTAGGGACACCATATTTACAGTATTTATTTAACAGGAGAGGGAGCGCAGCTGATCCTCATCAGCCTGATCAGCGGGACGGCTTTAAAAGGAGGACGGTTATCCAGATACCACGCGTATGATTAACTACTGCCTGACTCGCTTCTCCTCCGGATTCTCTCCCATCTTGGAGACTTCTGGATACTCACCGGTTCGCTGCCTGGATACCAACTCCGCTCTGCCGTCCCGCTCTCCACCGTGCTCACGCTCCCTCTCCGTTACCTCGTCCTCCTCATCCGTCTACTCTGCCACCTGGAAATCTACAATTCGCCTCTGGATATCACCCCGGCTCAACTCCACATTCACCCTGAACTTCCGCATTTTGCCGCTTCCTGGTTTACCCTCCACTGGATCACCAGTGCGCCCTCAGTTCTCATCATTAAAGAAATAAAATTATTGTTTATCTTTTACCTCGACTCGAGTCTGATTCTGTATGTCTTTGGTTAGACACTTACCCCAAAACATGACAGAAAAATACGGCGAATCGGTGAAAAATTCCGCGAATCGGCGAATTTCCCTTGAATAAGGCTCCAAAGAAAAATTCTGCAAAGTCGTGAATCCGCGATAAATGAACCGCGAAGTAGCGAGGGATCACTGTATCTTGGCTTGGACAATCCTCTACCATGCACCATCTTGCCACAGGAGTCCCCCAGGGCTCTGTTCTAGGACCTCTTCTCTTTGCCATATACACCACCTCACTGGGTGAGATCATTCGATCACATGGCTTCTCCTACCACTGCTATGCAGACGACACCCAGCTCTATCTGTCATTTCCACCGGACGACCACACTGTCTCTGCACGAATATCAAACTGTCTCTCTGACATATCAAAATGGATGAAATCCCACCATCTCCAACTCAACCTCTCTAAAACTGAACTACTTGTCATCCCAGCAAACCCATCCATACAGCACAATATCTCAATCCAAAATGACTTCCTATCTCTGGCTCCTTCAAAGGCAGTTCGAAATCTGGATGAACACCTGACCTTTAAAGATCGTGTTGCCTCTGTTGCTCGTTCATGCCGCTTTGCGCTGTATAACATACGAGAGATCAGACCATACCTAACACAACATGCCACTCAGGTCCTGGTGCAATCTACTGTCATTTCCCGCCTCGATTACTGCAATGCCCTTCTAACTGGTCTTCCAGGCTGTACTGTGAGACCTCTTCAAATGGTCCAGAATGAAGCGGTGTGTCTGGTCTTCAAGTAGCCAAAAAGAGCACAAGTCACCCCTCTGTTCATTGAGCTCCACTGGCTACCGCTAGCAGCACACATCAAATTCAAACTGCTAACACTAGCATACAAAGTCCGAGATGGTACGGCTCCCATCTACCTGAATCCTCTTGCAAAGGCTTACGTCTCGGCCTGGCCGCTCCGGTCATCACAGGATCGTCGACTAGCAGTGCCTACACCACGCTCAGGACAATCCAGACTCTTCTCATGCATTGTTCCACAAATGTGGAATGACCTACTAAGCACTACCAGAACAGGGGCTTCCATTTCAATTGTCAAGAAACTCCTGAAGACCCTGCTCTTCAGAGAGCATCTTCTAAACTTGCACCTTCCCTGCACCCGTCCCCCTCTCTACTGTCCACTCCTTGTTCCCTCCTCCCCATGACTGATGTCAAGTTGTTGTTGTTGTTGTTGTTCAAGGGCAACATGCCGATTATCACTTGTAAGTCGCTTTGGACAAAAGCGTCTGCTAAATACATAAACATAAACAAACTCTGTTGATGTCAGCTGCTAACAAGAGGTAAACTTACCGAGGCGACTCTGTTCTTCCTCTTAAGATGCTCGTGCATCGCCAATGTGCTCCTGTGAAAGAGTTTTGCTTTGCAGAGTTTGCACCATGTGGCTTTCTTTTGAATTAGTATAATGCTCCCAAACTTTTCAGATATGTTGCGACTCGACACTTTCTCCGATGATGAAGGCTGAGCTGGATGGCCACCATTGCGCATGCGCCTTGGAGCCAAAGTGGTGGCTGAGCAGAGAGGCAGGAAGCAAAAGCCCAACGTGCCGCAGCAGGCGACATTTTAAAAAATTGTTTATAAAATAAGGTTTATTTTATTTGTCTGCGTTGTCGTGACGATTCGACTAATCATGGCAGCCCTAGACATCTTGCTTCCTTTCGCTCTCTTTTGGTTTGAGAGGGGAGGGCCTGGTGACGTAGCGTGCCGAGTCTGTGGTTTTGATTGGTTAGGAGTGAAGGTTGGTTAATGTTTGACGCGTCCGCGAGGTCCGCACGGCTCCACGCGGAAAAGTTCCGTCATTTTAACAACCACGCCCCTCCACCGCGCCTCCGCACGGCCCAAACTTTCCGCAACGCACACCTAGGAAATTTTCTAACCACGCGGACGGTCGGACGCAGAAAAACATGGCGGACTGGCAAGAACTAGTATGGCAGAGGTTCGTAAATAGACATTTGTATGATTCAGCTCTCAGAGATCACCGTGATCAACATGTTGTTAATAATTTTTGGAGAGAAATAGCTCGCACTGTCAGAAAAGATGAGGATGCTGTTAAAAAATGCTGGAATGCCATGTTGTAAACAACAGTAATTTTTACTTCTTCTATGGTGTAGTGTTGGATGCATGCCGTAGAGCTCCATGCTGCCCCATTCAGTTTGGGAGAATATTGGCTCACCGCAGAGACAAGCCGCATGAACCATAAACACTGCAATTTGTGAAGCGCGTTTCATCCGCGAGCCGCATCACCAAGCGGAAAGTAAATGCGTCAAGCATAAACCAAGCTTAAGTAGTGAGTCTAGTATGCTGCTACCTGATAGGTTATAATGAAAAAAGGAAACTTTTTAATTGAAGTTTTATTGACCAGTTTTTTTATCTATCGCACCACATGTCTATCGATAGATATATTGAACTATTGAATTATCGTCCAGCCCTATATTAGAGCTAAACGTATTTTGGAGAAAATGTTTTGAAAATACAGCAGCAAGGTAAGAAGTGCAAGAATGAACCAAAGTCAGCAGCTGGAAATATTTTTCTGAAGTGTAATTAAAGGTTAAGTTAAGAATTGTGGTTTAGAAATTGCTGTCCTAAACTTGAGTCTTTGCTCTATTTCTTTCAGGAGCTTTCTGCTTCAGAGGACTTTCTCTCAGACTCCAGCCATGATTTGGACAGTGATTATATTCCATCAGCTCCTCCTTCCTCAGAGGATGAACTAACCTTTTCACAGCCTAAGCTCATGAAGACACATGTTGCATTAAAAAACCCTGGCAAAACCTCTCTCAGCCAAAGCTATGTTCATGAACAGAAGACACTGATGGACAGTGGTAAAAGTAATGAAGCTCTGGACATGCATTACAATGCAGATACTGAGGAAGAAAATCCGGAGGAATATGAAGATGATGAGGGTAGGTCATGTGTTACCGTTAAAACTTGCACTAAAGGCTAAATGATGACCATGTGTTCAGTCACATTTCAAATGAATAGTCAATAGTTTGAGATACTAATTCAAATTGTGTATATGTGAAAGAAATAGAGTGCCACAGAGAAAAAAAATATTAGTATTTTTCTTTAAAACTCCTTATGTTCTTTGTGTTTCTTTTCTAGTTCAATTTTTCTGATCTTGTCTCATACAGAGTAGCAAAGTTTATGTTTTACCTTATGTTGCTGACAGTTTTGGGTACTTCCTGTCACCTTCGGGAAGTAGCTGAAACTGTCAGCAAAATAAGCTAAAAACAGAAACTTTGCTACTCTGTATGAGATAAGAACAGAAAAGTGGAACTAAACGATTTGTAGAATTGAAAAAATGTTTTGCTTAGTGATCAACTGTAACAGTTCTCATTGATTTTCAGTTATCCATTGACTATTACCCCTTCTTTCCACCGGAGCCGTCAGCAGCACGTTACTGCAGCAGCACGTCTTAGCTGCTGAAAGGAACCGCTGTGGTCAACAGAATCTTTTCCACCGGAGCCGTCAGCAGCATGTTGCCGTCCTTATGCGCCGGTTCTATTTTCTACGCGCAACGCCTCTTAAACGGGTCAAGTTCGACATTTTTGGGGAAGGAAAGACAGGAAATCGGACGCGGAAACGGAGCGAAGCTCCCGAGATTTTCAGAATTAAGAAATGTACTGCCTTCCGGTTGCTTTACTTTAAAAAAAGTTACTAACTGTGCGGCCCCGTGAGAAGTTATCACCTAGCTAGCGGTCTCCTTTGTTTTTCAGGTCCGTATTGGCAATTATAAAACAGACAGAACATAAAACACAAACCTTTTGGAGCCATGTTGTAGTTTTCTCCTGCTTGTTGTGTTTACTGACGAAGTCACTTGTGTGACTTCGTGCTCTGTCGGTGACAGCTGCTCCCCTGCTGCTTCGCGTCTCGTGGGAAGGGCCAAGCAGCAGCTTACGCGAGCAAGACGTGCTGCTGCAGTAACGTGCTGCTGACGGCTCCGGTGGAAAGAAGGGGTCAGTTCGTTATTTTAGTTTTATGGCATTAAAAAATTATTGTAGGATTTAGTGAGGTAAAAAAGTTTTTTTCTTACTTATTTGATAACATTTGAGTATTTTATTTGGTATCTGTCAGACAGGATTGATGTTCATGAATGTTTTGTCTTGTAGAACCTGACATTCTGACTCAGAGGCCCACAAGAGCAGAACCATCAGATGATCACAGACAGACAGCAGGAAAAAGAGGTAATTTTTTGCTTGGCTAAAGTACCTAATGATCATAAGGTGACACTTGATTTTACAACTGTTTTTCTTCTCTTTGAAGTGACATACAGAGGAAAAGGGCCAAGGAAGAAGGTTGAACCAGCTGAAGATTCAGATGGTGAGACATCACAAGGTTCACTGCAGATGGATTTTACATAGATGTGACACTCGTTCCTGATCCTTTCCATCCTCATCACTCCCAAAGATAACCTCAACATTTTGAGCTCTGCAACCTCTTCTACCTCCCGTCTTTTCTTCGTTTATGCCGTTTCTTAACCAGACAACATGACTGCTCTCACTACTGTCTTTACAGCTTTTCTTTCCTTCTTGCTGAAACCCGTAGACTCACTGCAGTGTGATTTGGTACATAAATGTAGTTGATTCACTTTGGTTACTAATATATTCTGAATGTTCTTTATTTTTCAGATCAGGGAGAACCACTGAGCCAGTGCTCAAAATATGCAGAACCATCAGAGGACATCAAGAAGAAATATAAGATAGGTACATTTTTTCTTCATTTGTCTTTGTGCTGTTGGGTGTTGGGTTTAAATTTCTGTGTATTTTATCATATACTCATTTCATTTTTGCTAGTTTAAAGATTTGCATATACACACCATGCTGAACTCTCAAGCCTACTGCACACTGGCAGCAAAAGCGCCGTGGAACGCCAACGCCGTGGAACGGCAGCGGCGTGGCACCGCATGCAATAGAGTCCATAATAGTATATGGAGTGTCACAAACAAGCTGCGTCACGGCAATTTTCAGACGCGGCCCAGGAGCGGCATGCCGAGGCGCTAAAGATAAGATCATGTTCTAATTTTTCTGTGAGCCACTTCTGGGATGCACCAATTTCCGCAGTTACCGTTGGGCTAGACGGGAAATCACACACAGTTTCAGTGTAAAATCCATGGTAAAAGTATTGCAGCGATGCAATGTCACATAAATGAAGCCTACGTGTGATTGGCTTATTTACTCCTAGTATCATATTCCATCATATATGACATCAAACAGTGATAACAACGTGATTTCCTTCTTTTTGGTTTAATGGCGGACGGCATAAATAAACTGTAGCCTGTGAAGTCTCTAGGGATCATGTGATCTCGCAAGTCGAATGAGGAGCACATCGAAGCAGCTGCTTCGTGGCTGATCCTCTCCTGGTGTGCGCTGGTGTGCAGCAATTTTCTTGAGTAAACCTCTCCACTGCCATTCTGCGGTGCTTTTGCTTCCATTGTGCAGTAGTCACTCTCAAACAGCGCACTGCTCCGAGCTTAATAGAACTTAAGGACAGCAGCTCTGGCTGTAGCTCAGTACTGTCTAATGACGAGAAGCACATATGATACTACACTGCATCCTGATGGCATGACGGGATGTCAGATATTGGTCTAACATTAATGTTGGCCGATATCGCCATTAAAATTTAATATCGGAAAATATGTATCGTTTTCAGTCGTTTAATGACCCAACTTTTACCACTAAAACCACTAAAACAACAAAAAGAATATTCACCCAAGGCTTACTTTTCTCATCTAAAGATCTTTATAAATGTTTTATCATCTTAGTTGCAATTTACAGATTAAGAAAAAATCCATTACCAACTAATACACCATCTTAGTGTCACACTTGGGGAGAAAGAGATTCAGCTGCTGTTGGAGACAATATCAATATGGCACTTTTCCTGTTACTTATTGAAGTAGTTGTCATTTTGCACAGAAAATGTTTAAAATATAAGCATGCATGATAAATGATCAGAGATGTTGAAAACCTAAAATGTTTTAGTTTTCCTTTTTTTGTGAGAGCATATATCGAGCATTTTTATAGGAAATTACGAGTCGACAATGTTGGTAAATCAGATATCGGTAAAAAAGACAATATAGAGCATCCCTAGAATTTAGTGAAAACAATTACGTCTAGCGGTCCACAATATGCAGCTCACAGGCCAGAAAGATGTAGCTCACTAACCAGATCCATCCAGGGGAAAGTACAGCCTTTGCTGGGTGGTGTAATTTTCAGGTGAGGTCCTCAGAGAGATTAATGCCCAGGAATTTGAAGGACTGCACTAGCTCCACTTTGTGTACTCATCTTCCTCAGAGATGAGTCCAATGATGGTTGTGTCTTATTCATATTTGATGATGGTTTGATGGGTAATTTGGTGTACAGAGAGAAGAGGGAGGGGCTCAACACACTGCTCTTTGGGGAGCCAGTAATGAAGGGGTATATAGGTATACAGGCCAGTTTTGACTCTGTGTGAGTTCAGTGATGTAGTCTTTCATCCAGAAACAGGTGCAGAGTCATAGTGTGCCTATAATTGTAAAATTTGGTATTCTCTTCTAGAAGAGGACTTTTGTAACCGTTATTTTGTAGATAGGTTGCCGGCTCTCGGTAGTACATCGTAGACAGGCTACAGTTGGGTTTTATAATTCTTCTTTATTTCCGAACGGCAGGACAGAAAACTCAAATGCGCAGTTAGCCGCTGCTACTCCACTTCCTCCTTTTTTCTCTCCTACGCTTTTCTGTTAACACAGCATGTCTTCTTTCCCCTAATCCACCAGTAGGTGTTGTAAACAGATCAGCCTCTTTTACCGAGAACTCAAATCTACATAATCACAAGCATTACTGTACTGACCAAAATAATGAAATAACAAACACAAGAATAATATAAACATTAAATAAAGGTTACACTTTAATCAAATTTTTTCTCAAAGGTCTATTGTTTGCCATCATCTACATTTGTTTCTCATGTGAGTCAAAGCTAGATGAAGTCGAACCTTAAACTTACAGTTGTTTTTCTTCTCATTGAAGGTACCTACAAAGTAAAAAGGTCAAGAAAGATTGTTGAATCACCTGAAGATTCACATGATGAGACAGCACAAGGTTTACTGAAGTCTGATGTTACATAAATCTTGTTGCTATCATATTGGTTACCAATATGTTCTGCATGTTTTGTTTTTTTTCAGATCAGGCAGAACTGTTGAGCCAAAGCTCCAAATCTGCAGAACCAACAGAGGGCTTCAAGAAGAAAAAGAAGACAGGTACATTTCTACATTTGTGTCTTTGGGCTCATGTTGTGTTAAAAGTTGTGGCTCCTACTGACAAGCAAATTAGACACTGCCGGTTCACTTTGACCACCACCAGCAAGCAATGTGGGTGAAGTGTGTTGCCCAAAAGCAGGACTGTGACAGCCAGAACGCTGTGTGAACCTGCATCCCTCTGGTTAATGGCAGGAACTTAACTCCTCTCATACTCCTGCAGGTCTTTAGCATCTCATCCTTGTTGTCTGCCTCCCTTTCTCTTGAATGTAGTAGCAGTAACATATTGAGGAGCATCAATACACCTTACACAGAAACTGCAATGATTTTACAAAAAAACTAACTCCTCTGAGGAAGTTGGTAGTCAGTAATTTTGGGTCACTCACACTTCCTATTAGAAAAATGCTTCTAAAGGAGGTGTCACCTGGAGGAACAAGAGAGTGACTGAGGTAGTGATTGACAGCACCCCACTCAGCCTCCCCATGTGTGCTCTCCGAGTTTCTCAGTCGAAAAAACGAGTCGTTAACAACTGCGCGCACACTCATGCGTGCAAACGAGCACACACACACATAAGTCTCACAACTCAGGAGAAGAGAAAACACAGAAACAAACTCAGGCTGGAAGACTATCTGTCCACCTTGATCTCTAAAAGAAAGAAGGAGGAGGAGTTGGATTTTTTAAGGAGGCGAGTGACTCCGAGCCATAACGTGTCATATCAGCAGGTGAGTGGTTGAGCCGGGTGGAGTTGCGGCCGAGACTCAGCTAGAGTCCAGTGCAGTACAGCCACGTAGTTCGGTACAGACAACGTCACCCTGCAGCTCTATAGCCATCAGCTGTGGCTGATTCTAAATCCATGCGGAGCAGAGAATTAACCTGAAGATAGAGATAGAATTATGGCTTTAGGCAGAATTATTACATTTTAAATAAGTTGCACTAAACTGCCACAATAATGATTATTCATGTCTACAGCACTATTAGACACTAATCCATACAGGTTATCAGCAAAACAAGTTGATTTAGGTGTTACTCTCACTTTAAGGAGCGTTGGTTCA